GTTGTGTGATACTGGCTTCGATGGGGTACAGATTATGTCTGAAAGAGAAGGGCGCGCTTGGTTGAGAAACCCAGTACAGTTTCTGATTGTCTTTACACCTGTGCTTGCTCCTTAGTCATACCTTTGCCTGCTCGTAACTCAGCCGAAAAAGCCCTTGATTATTTTCCAGACGAGAAAGTTTTCAGTGAACAGAGGATGATTTCAAACAAGGCTTGATGTATAAAGGGGGATGACCCAACCTTATACCTCATAAAAATGTCAGAAATTTAAATACTAGATAAATATCCCATAACTGCAACTCCTGGGCTGATTTTACTGGTACATTACTGCCAAAGAAAACGGCAAGGTACTGCACCGGTTACTGAAAAATCTACATATCCTTCAGAGCTTCTCAGTGTTACTGAGTGGTTTTTAGGCATACAGAGCTGATAACATATTTAGATAACACACAGTAAAATCATCAATTAAGATGGCAAAAGTCGTAATTGCATAATCAGTGCTCATCTTGGGTTGGATATAGGTCATTTCCTAGACCTTGATTTGCAATCTGAGAAATTGTTGATAAGCCTAGGTGGAAAAATCTGTTTAAGTCATTATAAAAGTAAGGATATATATGTATAGAAATGAAGAAAATGGAAACTGTTTGTTACCAGTGGGAGTTTGTTGAAACTGGAATACAATTTTAGCTAACCTGATATTTACAGCTGTGATGTCCATGAAATTGATATCTTATCATTTGAAAGTTGTCCTTCCATCAACACAGTGACTAGGTCAGCTTCATATCATTAACATATCCTTTTTAGAAGCTGTAATCCTGTATCTGTACCTAGACCCAATAATATAATTAATTAGGGTGGGTTCTAGTGAAACATTTACATCAGCATCGATTACCTTATTCAAATTCTGGTAAGAAAATTTTGAAAAGGTTACATAAACATTCATGAAAGATCTGAAATATAATGAAATGACTCGCTTTTGACATATTTTTTTTTCATCACTTTGAACTTGTTAGGTGGCAACCTCTTCTATAACAATGTTGTTCTTATCACTTGGAACTTGTTATGTGAACAACTTCTTCCATTACAAAACTGTTCCTATCACTTGGAACTTGTTATGTGAACAACTTCTTCTATAACAATGCTGTCCCTATCACTTGGAACTTGTTATGTGAACAACTTCTTCTATAACAATGCCGTTCCAATCACTTGGAACTTGTTATGTGAACAACTTCTTCTATAACAATGCCGTTCCTATCACTTGGAACTTGTTATGTGGATAACTTCTTCCATTACAAAACTGTTCCTATCACTTGGAACTTGTTATGTGGACAACATCTTCCATTACAAAACTGTTCCTATCACTTGGAACTTGTTATGTGGATAACTTCTTCCATTACAAAACTGTTCCTATCACTTGGAACTTGTTATGTGGACAACGTCTTCCATTACAAAACTGTTCCTATCACTTGGAACTTGTTATGTGGACAACTTCTTCTATAACAATGCCGTTACTATCACTTGGAACTTGTTATGTGGATAACTTCTTCCATTACAAAACTGTTCCTATCACTTGGAACTTGTTATGTGGACAACGTCTTCCATTACAATGCCGTTTCCAGAAATATTGTTTCTGACAGCATTTCTCATAATTTTCAATTTTATTACATACGGTATCGCCATCACGTAATATTTGAAATTAGTAAAATTCTGCAAACGCCTTTCTTCTATAAATCTTGCTGTTATACTCTAAAAATAATCAGTTCTGGCTCTGCTTTCTCTGATAATACAACAAAATCTGGCAGAGTTCTACTAGCCTATGTCTGTGAACAGACAGTAAGCAGGAATTCATTCAAAAAAAATATCTTGGCAATGGTTTAAGTTGTTGCTAGTGTGATGTATAGGCACGGTGACACTTTTGACTGAGGAGAGCTAACCTTACGATTTGTCAAGCGTGTCTTGATTTTGTAAGTTTTAACAGCATTGGGAAACTTAAGTAAAATTGTAGTCAAGAGGCATGTCATGGTTGTTCTGGGAAACTTTTTATTTCCTAGCTGAAAGATCCACTTGTAAAAAACCTGTAAATCAGTTTTTTTCCATTATTTCATGCCTTGTTACTTATTTTACTATTGTCCAATAGACAATGCCCATCATTACAGTTAAAATTTCCATATTTGATGGTTCAGATTTACCCAGTTTCATTAAAGTTTGAAGCAAAATAGATGATGTTCTTCTCAACCTTATTTTCAAAGAACAAATACATCTGTTGTCGTAATTTTATTTTGTTCTCCTAAACATCAAAAATAAAATCCTTGAAAAAATCAACTTTACCAGATGGACAATACTTATCACTGCAACTAAGTAGAGAAACAATGATGCTTTGTGAAATCTATCTGTATCTTCAATGTTTGCTAGGCTGGGGTCTGGTGACCATAGCGATGATGCTGGCTGACATTAATGGTGGACTGTCTTCACCCTTACTTATCTAATAGCTGCCAAAGTATTTTTGGTATTTGACAGCCTGAAGAGAACATTAAGACTGAACTTAGGGTTGTCAGGATGTAAAGATTCAACACAGCGGGTTTGTCGGGTTGGTCGGAGAGAGAGTTCCAACATGGAGTCATGGAATCAAGACCCGATAAAGTACAGTTGAAGATATTTTTGTCCAGAATCATCTGTCTTTATCTTAAAACTGTCGGATATGACTACTGAAGCAACACTATATCATAATTTGCCAAGCATTTGTTTTGGGTGTCTTACATACATAGACTTATAAGTTATCAGGACAGATAAGATCCCTCATCCATTTGACCTTGACCTTTAATCTGTACTTAGATATTGTGATGTCAAGTAAAGGTTGAAGATTTGAAAATAAATTCTGTGTGTTAGCTGTTTTGATATAAACATTATTTAAAATGCTAGAACACTTTGATAACATGGAAAACAGTTGACTGTCAGTTTGCTTAAAAACTTTTACTGGTTTTTTGTTAGTTTATTTTTAAATTCAGTTTTGTACAAAGCGTACTTCATTATATCTTTTATTGTTAGTTTATTTTTAAATTCAGTTTTGCACAAAGCGTACTTCATTATAATATTTTTTTTGTCTTTTATCTACTATTTATTTATTTTTTTGCATCAATACAAAGAACTCATGAACTTAAGTCTCCCGGGGACAATAAAACAAGAAGATAAACTTGAGTAATGATAAAAATCAGGACATATATAATTCCATCAACACAATATTGACCTAGTTCATCTATAGTACGTCTGTATCGTTATGAAGTTACCACCCCCACCCCCTCAGAAAGTCAGCAGTAAAATATGGACAGTACATTGGTGTTCCAGAATGAATCTTAACTCATAAAACATGTATTACATACACATTACAGACTTCCACACTTAGTAGGTAAAATGATAGGTATGATCTAGTCAGTTTAAGACTTTATTCTCATTTTACTGCTCGGTGTTTCGACGATAGTTTGATAATGTGTTTTTGATAGATTTATTTAGAAGAGTTGATTGGTGTATCATCATAACGTTCACATAAAGTACATTTCACAATGTGACCATGAAATTCAGAAATGATTACTAGAAATATGGGTTTTTTGAGAAGTTTGACTTGATGAAGAGATGCATACAGTGTTATGTTGCTGAATTCCTTAAAAAGTATTGACACAATCAGCGTCTGAAAAGTTTTGAAACCATGTCATTCTCTTCTGAGCTCTTAAACACTGACATGTACAAACCTCAAAGGTGATTTGGTTCTGCAGTATTTAGAGATAGACAAAAAATATTTTCAAAATTTTTTTTAAAGAAACTAATTAAAAAAAGCACCTGTTCCTTCTAAGTTCTTTTCTTGGCATGAACTTATTTTTTATTTTTAATTCTGTATTCAGAAATATAAAAGGCTGTTTGATGTATGATGGTTTACTTCTGTCAAAGACGCCATGATGTGTGTTTGAACAAACTTGTGAAAAAGTTACTGTCTACCTAGCTGTAAGGTTGGATACTGGCCTGCTGGGTGTAACAGCTGATCCAGTCTCCCAATATATTACACTGTATTGCAATAAAGGACACAAATATATAGATCAGTTTATCTACAATGCCATTTTCACAACAGTTTACTCTTCAATTCGCAGTACGTCTTATCAAAATGAATTTCTATTTTTGAAAATTTAAAGTCATTGGAGCTCTGTAGGTTTTTTCCCCATGTTATGATGACCTTGTAGTGTGACTTAGAGATTAGAGAGATGTCTACCTGTTTTATCGGGAAGTTGCTGTACAGCACCACCTGTAAGTTAGAATGATATTGAAACATTACTGATGTATGAATACAGAAATTTTGCCAAAAAGATGCTATTTTTTACAGAGAAAAGCATGATGATATGTGATTTACCCATTTGTGTGTATGTCGTGTATTGTACTCTGATAGCATTTGTGAAAGTTATACAGTAAGTAGAAAGTCAGAGAGGGAAAAGAAACCTCAATGACTTCCATAAGAAATGTGATGCGATTTGAGATAAAACTTCAAGACTTTATCCAGAAAGAGATGTCTGTAGATCCAATCATGGCAGTAAATGTCTGTACAGTTTCCGTACACTGGATAAACAAGAAAACAATACTTTGTAATGATAATTGTAATTACCATTAGGACATTTACAGGTTTCTACTTGAGTGTGATATTACAGATACTTATAGTGGAAATACATGTTGCATGCTAAATCTCCATTTCTTCAGTGTGTTTGTGAAACAGGATGTGTGCCAAACTTTTTCAAAACCTAAAACATTTGAATATTTCTTACAAATATTTAAGTATTTGTATGTGCTTGTATTTTGTAAAAAGTGATGAAGGGATTAGGAACTTTGTTGTAGCCTTACGTGTATAGAAGGAGGATCCTTTATTTATATTATAGAAATTGTTAGTACAGCAGTACTTCAGATAAAAATGAATTAAGATCTTAACACATTTAACTGTGAATTCAATTTTTTTGCTTCTTTTTCCAGGTACATCAGTACTTTAGTGTTTTACCAGAGGATAAAGTACCATATCTGAACAGTGTCGGTGAGAAGTATCGGGTCCGTCAGCTGCTACAGCAGTTACCTCCCCATGACAATGAAGTGCGATACTGTAATACTCTGTCGGAGGAAGAGAAGAGAGAACTGCGTATGTTTAGCACCCAGAGAAAACGAGAGGCTCTGGGACGAGGCAGTGTGCGGCCTCTCCCCCTCACCATGCAGGGAAGCATATGTACAAAGGTAAAAACAAGATAAATCCAGTGATATAACAGTGTAAACTAAACTGATTTTAGACAGAACAATTAAAACCAGTAATGTTTAATAAAAATTAATCAAGGTGATAAACTAGCCATTAACAGGGTAATTTCAATTAAGGTAACTTTCTTGTAATATGTGTTCTTTTTTATTTTGTGAACAGTTTTGATACAGGAAATCTGGTCTGTAGAGATTTCATACACAACATTATATCTGGTCTGTAGAGTAGATCATACACAACATAATATCTGGTCTGTAGTGATATCATATACAACATAATATCTGGTCTGCAGTGATATCATACACAACACAATATCTGGTCTGTAGTGATATACACAACACAATATCTGGTCTGTAGAGATATCATACACAACACAATATCTGGTCTGTAGTGATATCTTACACCACACAATATCTGGTGTGTAGAGATATCATACACCACACAATATCTGGTCTGTAGAGATATCATACACAACACAATATCTGGTCTGTAGAGATATCCTATCCTATAGAGATACTTTACAGGCCTATGGAGTTATCAGTAAGCTGTAGGAGGTCTCTATTGGTGTCCTGTGAGGATTTCTTTCTCTGTTAAACATCTCCTAATCAATTCATTGACTTTAGTGAGAAGCACGTAGCACCTCTAACAACCTACAAGATCCTGTTTTTCTACTGAAAATTGTTTTTTACCCTGTAACAGCAAATACAAACAAGTCAGCAGTTTCTCGGGGAGATATTTAACAGTTTTCCTATACTGTGATGATGCTTTTAGGGGACATTTTAACCTCCAGCAACGTAACAAATATCATGACACATATCGTAATAGGTCCCAGTTTGGGCAAAGATTTAGAAATTGAAAAAAGAATGAATGTAGGTATTTGTATTATTTCTGAGAAAAAAAAGAGAAATGCTGGGTGAGGGAAATGTGAAACAAACTGCAACACTGGGACTTTATTGTATATGATACTATACTATTGACAGTCAAACTAATTCATTACATGGAATGATGCGAAGAAAATTTGAATGAGAAATTTTTCCTGAGGTCTAGGCTGGGTTTATGTAACGGGTCTCTAGGCTGGGTTAAAGTTTATGCCATATTGGATTACTACAACAGTAGTCTATCATTATAACAATACACTGTCTCCTAACTACCTAGTGAATGGCCGTGTTAGAGTTATGTTACAACCGACAAAAAGTTACATGATGGCTAGGGTGGATCATAAGCACTTAACGGGGCGAAATAGATACACGCATTATACCAAAGAAAGTGGGCTTAGTATCTAGGGCTGGGAATTTGTACTGGAAACCTTATCCTGTGTATGGATAGGAATCCTCTCTAGTGGTAAATCTACCACACAAGTAATACATACACAGAAATACATACACAACAAATGGCATTCAGAAAGTAATAGCTGGAGATAAAATTATTTTTCTACTAGCGTTACACAGCAATGAATATTTAAAGGGTGAAAATGGAAATGGGCTGTAACACCACTCCTCCCCTCCTTGTGTCCACTGGCTGTTCCTGCAGAAGTTACAAATGTTGCTAGTAAAATGATTTTAACGAATTGATTTTTCCATCCTTTTAACCTTTTTCACACCCTATTAAACATTGATGGATGGTAGATAAAAATGGCCTCCATCATGGGAGTACTTTTTCTAGTGTAGGGGAGGTAACTCAATTTGTAAAATATGCATCCATCCCCACTTATCTGAACAGATCTAGAGAATACAGATGTTTATTGGTAAGATAGCACCTAGTGATATAAAATGTGACCAAGATGTTAAATCTGTATCCAACCAAGGATTTATTTATTTCAAAATAAAAAAGAAATACAAAATTATGTTTTAAATTGATGTCACAAGTAATCATGAACAAAGGAAGAGACATCATGTAAAGGTACATCTTTATCCTGTTTCACTGAAGTATTTTCAACAGAAAAATTCTTGTATGAATCGTATCACACAATGCCTTTCACAGTAGGTATCTACTTGAAAGTGGTTTGAGTATTTGAAAGCATGAATGAACGTTAAAATAAACACTAAAACAAATTCCGCAGGAATCATGATTTGAATTTGGGGAATACTGCAATGGTAGAATTGCAATGTTTCCTTCCAGAATTTTGAAGGTATAGTAAGGCTTAGGTAAAAAGAATTTCTCTTTAAGTTTGCATATCATGTGTTCAAAGAAACAAAGGATGAAATTGGACCTAAATCTATATAAACAGTGCTATGGAATGGTGGAGACAACTCTACATTATTATGTTTGCCTATTTCAGTGCCAAGAGGTTGTACCAGGAGGTTCCATAGCAGTATTTGCATCACGCGCTGGACATGACCAGTGTTGGCATCCGGCATGTTTTCTGTGTACCACATGTGAGGAGTTGCTTGTTGACCTCATCTACTTCTTTAAGGACGAGGCGCTCTACTGTGGAAGACACCATGCTGAGCTGATCAAGCCACGATGTGCTGCATGTGATGAGGTAAGCCAATCACATTTCTGTTGTGTATTATCTGTTTGATATTGTAACAGAAATATAATCTGTATTGTAATAAATGTGCATAGTTTCAATTATTATAATCATGAAGAGCCAGAGAATGTGTTTAGCCCTCTGACTATGCAGCAAATACACAATAGACTGGGTAGTGTGAAGGTTTACATTGATGGAATACTAAGTACTGGATCCTCTGAAGTGCAGTCAGCAGTTTTACTGTAAACTGTAACTATCAACTTTATCCTGCAATAAGTTCAGGATGCCAACACATTAATTTTACTAAGTGTCATGGGTGAGCTAATTACACGAAGTGTTGGTATAGAATTTTACCTGACATCAATATATATATTGTTGGAGTTATTGACAGATAATTACAGTATGTGTTAACTTATAGGTCACCATGCCTATTTTGTCAAAAATAATCCAGGAATATAAAATTTACTGACAAAATTGATACTTTAGAATGATTTATTTATGTTTCTACCTGCTGGATAAGGTTGAAAAAATATTATCTTTTCAGTGGGCTGTTTGACGGCATATCATTTCTCAAACATCATTCATGTAACACTGAGAAACATTATATTACTGACACTTATAATGATGTCTTAAATAAAATTTTCTTGTATTTTACAGATAATTTTTGCAGACGAGTGTACTGAGGCTGAAGGACGAAGCTGGCACATGAAACATTTTTGCTGCTTTGAATGTGACAGACAACTGGGTGGCCAGCGGTACATCATGAAGGAAGGACGTCCCTACTGCTGTATATGTTTCGAGAGAATGTTCGCTGAATATTGCGACACATGTGGAGAGCACATTGGTGTGGACCAAGGACAGATGACCCATGAGGGTCAACACTGGCATGCTACTGAAGTGTGTTTTAAATGTCACACATGTCAGAAGTCATTGATTGGACAGCCATTTTTACCTAAACATGGAGTGATTTACTGTTCTGCTTCTTGTAGTCGGGCAGGATCGATGCAAACACAGACTCCACGTCGACCTGAGGATTACGCGGCAGACATTGATGGCATGCGACTAGGCTCCCCAGTTAGTCATGCCCTACAGGAGAACAGTGTTATGGGAATTCAGGAAGCTTTGCGCCAACAGTATTCTTTATCTGACAATAGTCAGCCTTCGTCAGATCGTGATCAAGGATACGCTACCAGTAGTAATAGCGAGGTATATGCACCAGGAATGTACGAACCACCTCAGTCACAACTGTCTCGCGTGAGAGATTCACAGTGTAATTATGAACTTAACCTGGATGGTCTAAGTGAAACGTTACCGCCAGTATATGAAGGTGTGCGGAGAAAGAAACGTTTGTCACAATTCTCTATGCCGGATTTGTCAAAGGAGCCAAGCTCTCCTCTGCTCAACGAGCGACACAGCAATAGTAGTTCACGGAGTCGAAGTCGATCTGGCTCTCAATCAAATCTCAATCTTGGTGGCTTCCATAACTATGAGGAAATTGGGCCAGCATTGTTTCAGTCAGATTATCTTCCTAATAACGTATCTCATGTTTATGGAAACCAGCCTGAAAGGTCTCTGAGTTCATCACATGGCGGTAATATACAGAGTTACCCAGAGTTACGTAACATACGCTGTATAAATCAATCACCTCAGAATGAGGCAAGGAATCCCAATCCATTACCTGATGGTGAAAAAATGAACCCGATACGTCGTCCTCCTAATGGGCGTACTCCTCAGCCATTACAGGCCTCACGATACCCACGTAGTCGGAGCTTTGAGGGTCGTCCCTCAGACAGACATCATTATCGTGATTACCACAGGGATCATCGGAGTCATGAACACAGAGGTCATCACCATGAATCCAGAGGTCATCACCATCATGACCGCAGAGGACAAGCAAATGACTTTCAGGACTTTAGAGGTCATATGAATGAACTACCCTCCACAAGTCAGGAACCAGTGAACCAGAACCGGCGTGTAGAGTTTCTGAATGATTATGATGATGATCAGTGTAGTACGTGCTCCAGTTCTACAGATTCTGATGACTTTTATTACTATTATGACAATCCACGTAGCCACACCAATAAAATTTCCTACGTGGACGATATGGGTGTTGGTCTTGGACAAACAAATGCCATGAGGTCTAGGACATCTGGTCGGCACCGTAGTAAAAACAAGCAGTGTGTCATCTCCTAAGCTGAGGAGGTATGATTTAATATTATCAAGTGGTCATTTTCATGTAGATGGAAGGACATCGTGAGGATTGTTGTGTGATATTGTTCAAGAAAGATAACCCTTGAATATTACACACTGCTTACCAAATTGTCAAATTCTATTGGTATTAAACTAAATGTGTTCATTACTTACCGGTATATAAAATTATTACTTATCTCTACAATAATAATCTGATATACATTTTTTCATTGTGTTCACATGCATTCAGTATGTTCATTGCATTAAGATTTAAAATCTAAATTGATGTAATTTGTAGAATACAGGAATTGTCATTTTGTATGTGTGTTATAAAAAGACTTTATTAATAGATTACTGGTGTGTTTAGTTTTTAAAATCCTATAATTGGACACAGAAGCATTAAACAATGTCATTACTGATGTGTAATCAAAACTGATTAAAGCTTATTCAAGGCAATACAATAACATTGTTTCAACTTAATAAGAATTAGACTGATGCTAATTGTAACCAAATAGAAAAGTCATGCTGACTGGACAGATTTATGATTTTGACATCAATTTCTAATTTATTCATATATGAACTTCCCGAAAAAGAAATAAAAATCTGATTGGTCCTATTCATTTTAAGTTACACCCAATACCTGTATTTCTTTCAACGATTGGATTCTGTTTGATTGATTTATTATTGATATGTATGCAAATTTATAAATTCAAAAATCCTGAACTGCCAAAATAAGATAAGATATATGTCATGATTTTTGCATGATTTTAACCAATTTCATTATTTTAGAAATTTTTATTGTGTAAATTCTCACCCATGTTATTTATCAAGGTAACCACTGCTGTCATGGATATTACATAAGTATAATGTTGTGATTGTATACATTCACATGTGTCTCATCTCAGATATACATTCAAGTCTTTTTTTTCCACATTCAGACTGTTGCATTTTGTCTACAAATCATTTTAATCTGCAGGTAACATATTACATTTTAAGGCCAAGGTCACCAAGAACTTTACTAGCAGGTAAAGGTCAAGGACAGTTGACCTTAGTGCTAGCTTGAATGTACATGTGTTTGTTTTGAATCATGATGGATTTTTTTCCTTTAGAATTTTATGACAGTTATACTTTGCAAAAGAGTTTAGTGCTAAATATGTGTAAATTGACTATACTCACAAAATCAAGTGTTGTGATATTTTCCAGATATTGACTTTGAGGGTATGTCTAGTCTTGTGATCAAATGATCACAGTTTGTAAAAGGTACATTCTCTGTAATTTTTTGTGTATTAAGCAGACCTGTAAATTAAAAAATATCCACATCACTTTTAAAAAGCTACATACTTATTGGTTTTCCCAAAACATACTAATTTGTCATTTTTCTTGTATTGAATATGTCTTAATTTGTAATAAAAAGTAAATAACTCAATCTTTCAGTTACACACTTGTTCAAGACTTTTGAGAGCTGTATTTTATACCTAATTCTAAGTTTTGCATTTTTAACAGAAACTAACAGAAGGTGTACCTTTAAAATGTTTTGTATATATTTGTAAACAATGTGTTTGTTCTGAGTATGTTGATCACTATGTGTATATTATGACCTATTTAAATCTGTGTTAAATGTACATATATGTTAATAGACCTCATTGTTATGTCTTCTTGACACAAAGTATAGCAATCAATTTAAGTTACTATGGTGAGACCACGGCACATGGCAACGGGATATAGGGCAAAACTAACCTTGAAACAGATACAACTTTTTTTAAATATTAGAATAATAAATACCAAAAAAAATGAATTTTTTTGTTTTAATCTGGATAAAAAGAAAGAAAAAGTAATCAGTTATGTAACTCCACACATGTTTGTATCGAATTTGAAATCTAGTGTTATCATTCTATGTTTGTGTTATCTCCCTTGGCCCTCTGCCTGGACTCCAGTTTAATATCCAGACATATGAGATCAGTATTATACTTTTAAGCAAAAGATCTACAACTCACTGATTATTATTACATTCATCAGTCATCAGGGACAAATTCACAAATTCATTACTTAATTTTCAGCCAAAATAAATCTTAGTGTATTTTATAACATATTTTTATCAACTCAGTAATTTTAACTTTAGAACCTATGAATTCATTTTTTCCTGTTCCAACTCAAATTATTTTTCCTATTAAAAAAAAAAAAAGAATAAACCTTTTTTCCTTCTCATTTTATAATTCTTAAACTTTTAAACCTAAAAACAAGTTTTTTTAATTTCCTAATTTATGGTGAAATTATTTTATTTAAGTTCTTTTGAGCTGGTGTAATGCCTGTAATGTATCTAATTCTGTCACCTCAGGAACACACTGTATATTGTATCCTTATATTACAATTTTATTAAAACTTATCTCAGTTTCCAAGGATCTTCACAAATTTTCTAATCAAAGTGTTCAAAGAAAGCTTTTCTCAAATTCACAAGCAGTATTTTGTTCATAAGTTTACTACACTTTTGACTATAGGTCTTTAATATTGTAAATCAGTTAGCAATATAGGTTCATACAGACCTGTAGTAAAGTGGAACTTCTCCTTAAAGATACTTTGTCAGACACAACAGAAAATATTATGTTAGAAAGTACAGATATACTTTTCTATTGTGACGTTCTTTTACTTATAAAAATACAATTCTAATATATAAACTGGAAAATAAAGACTTTTGTGACAGCAATGTCAGGTAAAACTGCATCCCATCCAGACTTGAAACAATAGGCAAGGAAAGACCAATTTTCTGATACTGATCAGGAAAAATAAAGTAAGCTTTAACTGAAATGACACCATACTGACTTGATGATATTAATCTATGTCGTAAAATTGTGAACTGCCATCTCTGTTAAAAGATTGGAACTTGTAGCAACCAGGTTTCACAGAAATAATTTAACATTGAGCTGATGTTTTCAAGGTCTTAACACTTTGAGAGGATCATTATTGTTAAAAGGTTTGCAGCCCAGGTGTTTATAGTCAATTAATCTTCAGATTCTTTAGGAAGGTAAATCTTGTCAAATAACTTCAACCCTTTAGGAGGTTCTTTAATGTCAAAAAATCTTCAATCCGTAGGAAAGTTGTTATTGCCAAAAAACTTTCAAAATTTAAGGGAGTCCTTATTGTCAAATACCACAAAATCTTTCACCTCTTTAGAGGTCTCTATTATTAAACGAAAACCTTCAACATTTTAGAAATAATATTATTGCCAGAAAATTTTCAACTCTTTAAGAGGACCTCTATTGTCAAATAATCTTCCAGTCCTTTAGGAGGGCTGTTACTGTCCAATAACCTTCAACACTTTAAAGGGGCATTATTGTCAAACGATATTCCAGCTCTTTTAAAGAGCTGTTATTGTCAAAAAAGAATCTTTCAATCCTTTAGGATGGAGGAATGTTTCTTTGTCAAAAAAAAAAAAAGAAGAAATTTCAGACCTTTAGGAGGGTCCTGTTTGTCAAAAAATCTGCAACCTGTCAGGAGAGTCACAAACATTTATGTGGGTTGTTATTGTGAAAGAACCTTTGATTCTTTGGAAAGGTTGTTAAAGCCAGGTGGTAATATAGACATTTGTGCTATAGGTGTAAACATTGTGATATTAGTTGGGTGTCTGTGATTGGTTTATTGGTTTTGCAGATTAATTTTGTGGGGCATCTATCAATTGGTTGTAGACATGCGTGATATTTAAGTTCTTCGTCTCTTTTTATGCAAATAATGCTTTGTGCCTTTGTGGATGAATCAGTATGCAGTCTTTAACTTTCATTGTATATACATGTGGGACAAGACATCAAAATAAAACTGGATTTACCTCTTTACATGTATTTATTGTTTTGTTTTTCAAAGTGTTGTTTGCTCAAATATAGCGAGACATTTACAAAAATGACGGAAGAAAAGCTGGAGTCGATACAATCACTAAGAGAGATGTTGGTGTTAGTTAATCCCATACATTGATTAAGATAGACGCTGGAGTTAGTAACACCCATATACTGCTTGAGAGGGAAAAGCTACAGTCAATAACACCCATATACTGCTTGAGAGGGTAAAGCTACAGTCAATAACACCCATGTACCACTTGAGAGGGAAAAGCTACAGACAGCAACACCCATATACTGCTTGAGAGGGAAAAGCTACAGTCAATAACACCCATATACTGCTTGAGAGGGTAAAACTACAGTCAATAACACCCATATACCGCTTGAGAAGGTAACGCTACAGTCAATAACACCCATAAACTGCTTGAGAGGGAAAAGCTTCAGTCAATAACACCCATATACTGCTTAAGAGGACAAAAAAACTACAGGCAGCAACACCCATATACCGCTTGAGAGGGAAAAGCTAGTCAATAACACCCATATACCGCTTGAGAGGGAAAAGCTAGTCAATAACACCCATATACCGCTTGAGAGGGAAAAGCAACAGTCAATAACACCCATATACTGCTTGAGAGGGAAACAAAGCATTCAATAACACCCATATACTGCTTGAGAGGGAAAAAAAGCATTCAATAACACCCATATACCGCTTGAGAGGGTAAAACTACAGTCAGTAACACCCATATACTGCTTGAGAGGGAAAAGCTTCAGTCAATAACACCCATATACTGCTTGAGAGGACAAAAAAACTACAGGCAGCAACACCCATATACCGCTTGAGAGGGAAAAGCTAGTCAATAACACCCATATACCGCTTGAGAGGGAAAAGCAACAGTCAATAACACCCATATACTGCTTGAGAGGGATAAAAAGCATTCAATAACACCCATATACCGCTTGAGAGGGTAAAACTACAGTCAGTAACACCCATATACCGCTTGAGAGGGAAAAGCTACAGGCAGCAACACCCATATACTGCTTGAGAGGGAAAAGCTAGTCAATAACACCCATATACTGCTTGAGAGGACAAAAAAACTACAGGCAGCAACACCCATATACCGCTTGAGAGGGAAAAGCTAGTCAATAACACCCATATACTGCTTGAGAGGGAAAAAAAGCATTCAATAACACCCATATACTGCTTGAGAGGGAAAAAAGCATTCAATAACACCCATATACCGCTTGAGAGGGTAAAACTACAGTCAGTAACACCCATATACCGCTTGAGAGGGAAAAGCTACAGTCAATAACACCCATATACTGCTTGAGAGGGCAAAGCTACAGGCAGCAACACCCATATACTGCTTGAGAGGGAAAAGCTACAGTCAGTAACACCCATATACTGCTTCAGAGGGAAAAACTATAGTCAATAACACCCATATACTGCTTGAGAGGGAAAAGCTACAGTCAATAACACCCATATACTGCTTGACAGGGAAAAGCTACAGTCAGTAACACCCATATACTGCTTCAGAGGGAAAAACTATAGTCAATAACACCCATATACTGCTTGAGAGGGAAAAACAACAGTCAGTAACACCCATATACTGCTTCAGAGGGAAAAACTATAGTCAATAACACCCATATACTGCTTGAAAGGGAAAAGCTACAGTCAATAACACCCATATACTGCTTGAGAGGGAAAAGCTACAGTCAATAACACCCATATACTGCTTGAGAGGGAAAAGCTACAGTCAGTAACACCCATGTACCACTTGAGAGGGAAAAGCTACAGGCAGCAACACCCATATACTGCTTGAGAGGGAAAAGCTACAGTCAATAACACCCATATACTGCTTGAGAGGGTAAAACTACAGTCAATAACACCCATATACCGCTTGAGAAGGTAACGCTACAGTCAATAACACCCATAAACTGCTTGAGAGGGAAAAGCTTCAGTCAATAACACCCATATACTGCTTGAGAGGACAAAAAACTACAGGCAGCAACACCCATATACCGCTTGAGAGGGAAAAGCTAGTCAATAACACCCATATACCGCTTGAGAGGGAAAAGCAACAGTCAATAACACCCATATACTGCTTGAGAGGGAAAAGCTACAGTCAATAACACCCATATACTGCTTGAGAGGGTAAAACTACAGGCAGCAACACCCATATACTGCTTGAGAGGGAAAAAAAGCATTCAATAACACCCATATACTGCTTGAGAGGGAAAAGCTACAGTCAATAACACCCATATACTGCTTGACAGGGAAAAGCTACAGTCAATAACACCCATATACTGCTTGAGAGGGTAAAACTAGTCAACAACACCCATATACTGCTTGAGAGGGAAAAGCTACAGTCAATAACACCCATATACTGCTTGAGAGGGTAAAACTACAGTCAATAACACCCATATACTGCTTGAGAGGGAAAAGCTACAGTCAGTAACACCCATAGACTGCTTGAAAGGGAAAAGCTACAAGTTCCTGTGGTAGTCAGTTTACACAGGTTTCGCTATAGACACAGAATTATTGGTCCCTGTGGTAGTCAGTTTAGACATGTTTTACTGTAGTAACAGGATGACTGGTCCCTGTGGTAGTCAGTTTACACAGGTTTTGCTATACACAGAATTATTGGTCCCTGTGGTAGTCAGTTTAGACAGGTTTTACTATAATAACAGAATTATTGGTTCCTGTGGTAGTCAGTTTAGACAGGTTTTACTATAATAACAGTATGCTTGGTCCCTGTGGTAGTCAGTTTAGACAGGTTTTGCTATAGACACAGAATTATTGGTCCCTGTGGTAGTCAGTTTACACAGGTTTTGCTAAAATAACAGTATGATTGGTCCCTGTGGTAGTCAGTTTACACAGGTTTTACTAACAGAATTATTGGTCCCTGTGGTAGTCAGTTTACACAGGTTTTACTATAATAACAGAATTATTGGTCCCTGTGGTAGTCAGTTTACACAGGTTTTACTATAATAACAGAATTATTGGTCCCTGTGGTAGTCAGTTTACACAGGTTTTGCTTTAGAGACAGAATTATTGGTCCCTGTGGTAGTCAGTTTACATAGGTTTTATGAAGTAATATAATAATACATAATGTATATATTTGTTGACAATACAAAGAAGACCAAACAGTTCATATGTTCCATTTTTAATCAGTTTCTATACATACATGATATATATCACAGACTTTGAATAAAAGTTAGATACATTATTTACAAATGAAAAGATTTTTACAGAAATAGTGAAGTGACAAACAGACTCTCTCCATCCTCACATTGGAAAAATATAGGGAAATGTGTGAATATTTACTTGTTTTATTCAATATTTTTCCCTTGTGCAAGCATACAGATGTTACATGCATGTAAACTTCACTTCTGATATTAAAGTGTTAAAGACTTCACAAAAAGAAACAAGTCTTTTTGACAGTTTTTTTCTCTTTGATAGATACTGATTTATAAGTAAAATTTACTTTTAAAGCAAATTTTGTATTTTTTGTGCTGAAAATATTTAAACACCAAAAGTTTGGTATTACCAAGTGAAAACATCGTTGAACTTGAGTTTGTGCTACACCACAAAGACCCACCAACATTGGCAGCAATAATCAGTCCACAAGTATGTTGGTAAGGCTTCCATGTCTTCAATTAAAAGTTTTTCTGGCCCTGTCCTCTAACCAGCCCCATTGACATATCAAAACTGTTATGGACAATAACGTGTATGGCATATGATTAAACTGATAATTGGATCATTGAATCAGTTCTTGATAACCGCCACCTTCACTCTGAACTCCTAACTCATCACATGAAACATACATGCAACCATAGGGTTGACTATGAGATGGTTGTCCTTGATGAAATACAATTTATCAATTAAAACCTAAATATTTCCCCTACCTCTAGAAAATGGAATTATCTTAATTTTCATCTGATATTAAGTCTCTTTTTTATATAACATATATACACCAATATCATAAAAATCTATGAATTGGCACAACCTCTAATCTTATTACTTAGAGTAAGCACTTCACCCTCACCCCTCCTAATATGCCTGCATAATCACCACCCTTCTCCCCCCCCCCCCCCCACCCCATCCCATCCCTTCCCTTGTATTAACACATGCTACATGCTCCTATCGAGTTGTGGTGTTGAATTGTGTAAAATAGGCTGCTGTTGGAGGGTTGGTATATACTTCCTTGTTCAAGAAATCTTTGTGTGAATTCTGCTCTGTAGCAAGTCGTCGGTTTTCCTCTGCTTGCTCACGGTCCAGATCACGTCTCTTGCGTTCCATCTCCCGTTCGAGAAGCATAGCAGCACGAGCGTTTGCCATCTGTTGTCTCTCCCATTCTTTATTCCTTAACTCTTCCTCCTGGTCATGTCTCTGTAACACACCCAACATACATAATCAGAACAGGGACATCAAAACTTTAGTACTACAACATTTTATCAAACACTTTGAAATACAGCATACAATAATTAAGAAAAAGATCAGGCAACTGGTTTTCTCTTGCTTTGTTTGCTATCATATTGCATGAAGATAATTGACTTTGCAGGGTTCATACACTTAACTAATTTTGAAATTAATGGTTTCAGGAAAAAAAATTGATGGAAAAACTTTATAAACACTGCAGGAATCTTTACATTACACATCATGTGCATAATAAATGAGAAAACTTCACAACCATTAAACATTATTAAAATAACGGTTGTTTCTGTCATTATATTGGCTATATAATGTATAATTATATATCATCAGTTTTGTACTTTAAGCATTTAAGAATCAATTCTAGAAAAAAAAGAAATAAGAAGCTGTTTGTTTTTTATATTAGAAAATATGATACAATTTTTCTACAATGTAATCAGCTTTCTATATCATTCACAAATTCTTATATTAAACTTTGTCTTCCTTTCATTTTTAATTGATTGATATATCTAAAAAATCAGTTTCATTAATCAAAATTGTACAAACAATATAACACCATAAAAAATACCGTACATCTTTCTCTGCCCTTTGGAGTTCCTGAAGGTTACGTATATGTTCCAACTGTTGAGGACTCATGCCCTTCCACCTATCAGTAATAACACGATGGGGACCAAATGCACTCTGGGCCACAGACGGATTCTCTGTCAGCACATCTCCGAAGATATGGTTTGCAATCTCTGTCATGTTATCATCATGTTCCTGTTGTTTTTGTAATCTTTCCTTCTCATTTCGTTCTCGGTCCTGTTAAATAAAAATGTAAACCTGTATATTGTTCATCTGACACCCACTGAAAAAAAAGGTATGATATCCTTAAATCATATTTGAGAACCAAAACTTTTAACTTTTAGTTACATGCTAACAAAAAATCAGTCCATTCAAGAAATTGTCTGCCATTAATGAACCAAATGAACCAACAGAAATCCCTAAACCAAAGTCATAAACCTACCAGTGCCTGGTTATAATCTTTCACTGCCATATTTATTGCCCTGCGACATTCGTCTTCAGAGTTAGCAAGGTCCATTGCCCTTTGGTCAAGTTCCCGCATTTTAAGTTCATACAATCGGTTAGCCTGGTCCATGTTCCTTTTGGCCTGAGCCTTCTCGTCACTCTGTTGTGTTGACCACTCTCTTAGCTGTTCTTGTTGGTACTGTTTTCTGGCCTTGTTGTTCAAGTCTTCCCCTATCAAAGAAACATGAGAGTTGAATAAAAATTGAAATCAATTCTGAAAAACTATCTATGAATTAGTGTACCATTTAATACACATCAACTATCAAATCAGCACTCCATGTCTGTATATAATTTTTTATCTCTTTATATCATTTTATCATTACAATGCATTTGTCTATTTTTCAAAATTTCAAATACTAGGATATTGTCTAAAAATGAAAAAAAATTCCTTTTAAAAATCGAACAGGAGACATTCACATGATTAATACTTTCTTTACCTTCAAACTTCTGAAGACTAGAAATTCCACACCTTGGGTCATCATCACTAACCCTAGCAGGTTTGTCCTTCTTTAAGTAATCAGGATCGTACAGATCAAATTCACGTCTACTCGCTGGTTGTTGGTGCATGGAACGGAACTCATTAACAGCTTTATTTAATTCCCTCACATCTTGATTTTGTCTTTGTTCCAACATCATAGCAATTTTATCATTTCTGACTGCATCGGAAGCTGAAATGAATGAAAGTGGTGATAAATCATTAGAAAAAATGGAGTATGGATCAATTGCTTAATGGTGATTCATTAGAAATGGATAACATGAAATAGCCTAATGGCATTTAGAAAAAAAAAAACCTTGCCAACATTTTTGTTTGTTGAGCTTAGATTACAGGGGTTGAAATATTATTGTATTATTGTACAAGATTAATACACTTACATCTGTATAAATTTCCATCATAGCCCAAGAGACACCAAAACGATGTATTCAGACAATGGTAATGCAAGTTGCAGGATAAATGTTACATCTTAAAACATATTTAAATTGTCAAATGTATACAGTGCTTGTAGCTCTTCACTTACCGAAGGCTTTGTCTCTATTTCTTTCATATTCCTCCTGCTGTTTCTTATCTAAATTTTGTTGTTCTATTGCTTGAATATCTACCTGTTAAAAAGCAAACAAATGCCATTTCAAATACTCTATAAGCGGAACATTTATAGTTCAAAGTGGTAGACGTCGTTGTAAACATCTTATTGCTTCTGTTGACGAATCTTCTTTCATACACTTCGACACAAAACAAGGAAACTCAAAGATTTCTCCAATAAACAATAAAACAATCAATTCTTAATATGTTGGTAAAGAGGTCATCTAATTAACTGATATAATGTTCTTGTAATGGATAATAATGAGTTTTGTAAGCATATCTTGAAAATGCATAAATTGTTGCGGTGAGGTTTGGTTTCGAATGAGATAAAGGTAAACATCGACAGCGGCAGAAGAAGCTTACCCCGATTGTTCTGGTTTTCGAGTTGAAAATTCGCGATTTTCTCTGTTCTTCCATCAACTTCCGCCTTTCAATGGCAGCAGCCTCCTTGTAATCCACAGGTAAATCTAACTTATACATCTTGAAATGTTTTGTGTCGCCCTTTTCTCTGATTATTCAAGGGCCTTTCGCTCAAGGCTTGCTGTAGCACTCGTTGCCAAGTTTACACGGTTGTCAACCGGATTTCAACTGCGGGATCATTTCGTTGTAATATTCTTATCTAAATAGAAATATTTAAATATATTGCATTTCTTCATGACATCAAAACAAAGGAGAGAAAAACTTAAGGGAATTATATAATTATGTTGTACTTTAATTTTTTTTATTTCATCCAATCAACATACTAAAATACCGATAAAGAAAAACCTTGTAAGATCTCGCGTGAAATAACGAGAGCATTTTTCGCAGCGACATCTATTCGCGCTAAAATTATCGACCATGATTTGATGATATGTTTTCGAATATATAATTCCGGTTTACATCAGCATCTTAGATGCATTGAAAACCTATTTGCATAAGTGTGCCGACGAACCAACCACAGAATGCCTGGGCACCTAAAGTATATCGAAGTGGACAATTTTAAGTCTTACAGAGGCAAACAAAAGATCGGGCCGTTCAAGAGATTCTCTGCCATCATCGGACCAAATGGATCTGGTAAGTCTTGTAAAGTGTAAACAACATATTGGTGTATGCCGAGTTAGTAAATACGCATAGTTTGTATTCAGACATAGAACGTGAAAGACATAAATTGAAAGACATCCATACAGTAACTACCGTACGCACCTACATGATATTTCCTAGTTGATGGCATTGTTTACATTTTGGACGAAACATCACTGTGACCCTGATTTCTGACATTTGTTATTTAGACTCAAACTGTGGAAGTTCTCTTTAACTATAATTTCCGCATCTTGTTTACATTTTGTTTTATAATTAATTAATCGTGCCCTTGAGATTCTTGCAAAAAATGATAATAAATAAACTCAAGTGCTTTTGAAGTGGGTTGGTATGAACTGTATGAGGATACTAGTGTATTAAGACATGGGACAAGCTGTCATTTAACTACTAATAGCCAGTCATTCAGATGAGACTGCAAACAGCGGCACATATCAGAATATCCTTGCATGAAAAAATCCCTTTAATGGTATTGCATTGAAGAGGTGTCAAGAGTGGTCAGGTTTGGATATTTTTGGATCATGAACAGTTCAAATGAGATAAAGCTCTGTAAGAGATTAGGCAGACTTAAAAATGCATACTAGAACCCTCCATCTTGTGTAAGCATATTGTGTAGATTAACAATTTTAAGTAATCAGACTTAATTTAAGACAATTTAAGGCCACAAAGTAAATTTCTATTAGGTCATTGGAATAATTGACTCCACCTCCATATTTAAAAAGTAAAGGACTGCAGTGAAGACAAGGTCTATGCTACTCAGCCGAGTGGTTGATTGACATGCAACAAACCCACGTTCAGTTACAGTTTTTTACTGTTCAGCAGGAATGTATTTATCAGTTCTTCCACATAGACATGAGTTGTGTCATCCATAGTCTCTAGAAAAGGCTCGGGAAATTTCTAAAACAAGGAGTTTTGTAAAAGTATGTGATTCAGTGTGCCAAACTGGATATGTGTGGTAAAATTCTGTTAGGCAGGAAATGCTATGTAGTAGTGAGTACCTGTGTCAAGTTTTTCTTGATCAAACACATTAAAGACATTTCTTTCAAGCCAATCAAAAGAACATTTTAGAAGTTTTAATTGACTGTTCAATGCTTTGGTTGCATACATGAAATAGGTGGTGTTATTCAGCATATATTACAAAGAAAATGTTTCACAACTATTTTGTTTTATGTAAAATTTTATGCGACAAGTTGTACTCTCAGTTTGCTTTGTATGCCAAATGAAGACATCATTATTTAATTCATCTTTGCAGGAAATTCTGTGGATTTTGACTTGAGTATGTTGAGCATTACATAACACATAAGTGGTAATGCTAAACATAATCCAAATCCGAAGATGTTAAAAAATGTAAATCATTATGGGGGAAGATTGTCACTGTCTGTTGGAAGCTAAATATTACAATCATATCTTTCCTTTTCGTCACACAGCATCTGTCTGTCATGAAGGACAGAGTGGATTTTAACGAAGTTTGGTCATAAGCATCCATGAAGGCTTCAGTTTTATATAAATGGTTGATCTTACCCTCTTGAGCATGAGGAACAGAGGCCAACAGAGTGTTGTCTTTCAAATCCTTCACTTCCTGTAGAAATGATTGAATTTTGTCCATATTGGATCTGAAGCATTCTTAGGTAAAGGGGACTTGATTTTGTAGAAGTAGTGGCTCTCAGCCCCCTGGTGCAGGAAGAATAGGTGCCAAAAAAAGAGATTTTTTTAATAAAACCTTCATCTGTAGGAATGTCAAGAATCTCAGTTGGTGTGAAGCATCCTTGGATGAAGAGGACTCGGCTTTGTTCAAACAGTGGGTCTGTGCCCCCCTGAATAAAGAAAAAAATTTAAATCCTTCATCTATAGAAATGTCAGGACTTTGCCCTAGTTTGGTCTGAAAAATCACTTTATTTGCCATTATTTTGCCTTTTTCTTTTTCAGGAAAATCCAATTTGATGGATGCCATCAGTTTTGTACTTGGAGAGAAGACCTCAAATTTAAGAGTAAAACGACTTAGTGTAAGTATATACAAAGCAACAATGGCTTTCATTTTACTTAAATATAGGGATAATGTTCTGTGAGTGAGACACGAAATATTGGATCTATCAATTTTGCTTTTCACTTCAAAACTCTCAACTCTAGATCTCAGTAGTAGCATTTACAAAGCAGAATTTTGTGTACTGTATTTTGTACACATTGCTGTTAGTCAAGAAACAACATCATAGTATTCTATCTACATGTTCCAAGCATACTCATCCAAATGTAATTGATTTGATAAATCCATGAAACTGCAACAAGTGGAGCCAATTGGATGTTAAGTAAGACATACTGACTAAAGGTATGTGGCATTAAAGCTGTCCCAGGCCTTCTGACAGAGCAATGCTACTGTTGCTACAATTATCATTTTAATGTAAATATTCTAGCATCACATTCCCAACATATAGTAATACATGTATCAACCAGCAAAATTATCATAACATATATGAATACAAATCATTATCAAGTATGATTTATCATTCATTGCCTACTACAATTAAATATGCACAGGTAAAACATCTCATCCTCTTGCCATTTTTATCAAAACTTCAGTTTTATGCAAAATTTCTTTTCTTTTTTTTTTTTTAATGTGACTTAATATTTTGCAAGTTTAAGTAAAGTTTTATTTTTGTCTGTGAGATACATGTAATTAGAAAATGTTTTATTAATGAATTAAAGATTAATTGGTTTACACCATGATGATAATGAATATGAATAAAAGAACAAAAATTAATGTCAATTGTATTGAACTTAGCTACCAGTGATATGTAGAATAATTATTTCCACGGTACAAAAAAACAATCCTGTTTGAAAAATGTACCAGTATTCATTATTTGCTTTCCAATTTCATATATTGTAGGATCTCATACATGGAGCTCCCATTGGACAGCCAGCTGCCAGCAGAGCCTCTGTCACAGCTGTATATACAGGTGGAGATGACCAAGATTCATCATCAGATATTCACTTTACACGAGTAATTCATGGCTCAACTTCTGACCACAAAATCAATGGAAAGGTGAGTTTAACAGTCACTAAATCAATTTTGGTGATTTTTGGTTTAGGTTATCGCATTCAAATAGATCTTTGTTAATTTATGAGATCAATGCCATGAAAGATACATTAGTCATGCTTAAGTAATTTTAAACTCTCTTTTTACACGTGTCTAGACGGTTTCATCACAACAATATGCTGCAGAACTGGAAAAAATAGGAGTTTTGGTGAAGTCCAAGAACTTCCTGGTGTTTCAAGGGACAGTAGAGAGCATTGCTATGAAGAATGCAAAGGAAAGAACACACATGTTTGAAGAAATCAGCAGGTAAGATTATCCCCCATTTTAAGAGGGGTTAGTGGTATAGTGTTACCATTACCCAAGTCCATATATCCTTTCATGTTATTCATGTTTACCTGCCTCGTCACGCTTTGTCCTTTTTCCGACTAGATGACAGCTTGAGAACTAATCAGCAGATTTGATTTATAGTATCATAACATCAAGTTTTACACCTGATCAGATTCTGGTTTGTATATGAGTGGGCACATTCATGTCTTACAGATATAGTCTAGTTCTCTGAAAAGATGACATGAACAACAGGCCAAGCTGTAGATCAAAGTTCAATGTCAAATGTGAAATTAATGAAAATTTTAGATCTAATAGTCTTGAAAGGGAAACCAAAACCAGTTGGCCTTGTACGTTATTTATGTTTATAACATAGGTACAAATGAAATTGTTGTCAAAAAATATTTGTTATGTCTGGGACAACCATTTTTGAAAATTTCAATCAAGGAGAAATACCATGATGTAGATTTCACATCATAAAATGATATTGCATCCTGACCAATAAAGGAGATGATAGTTCTGCTTTGAATGATAGAGAAAATAAGCTGTTTTATGTAGAGTTCCTAGATGTAACATGACACCAAAGACAGTTTATTGGGGAATATTTTTCCTTGTCATTACAAAAGACAATTTATATATATGCAGTATCATGTTATACTATTCTTATATCAAGTTAGTGTGAAGCATGTAGAGTTCTAGGTCATGAGTTGAGTTCAAATGTCTTCAAGTAGTAACAAAATCAAGAGGTCAAAGGTCAATGTCATTTTATTATGAATGACAGATTTTGAAGTAGAAATTCTGTTACCACCTCCTTAGAAGATGTAAATCATATTTATCATTGTTGCAGATCTGGTGAGCTGAAAGAAGAATATGATCTTGCTAAAGCGGAAATGTTAAAGGCAGAGGAAGATACTCAGTTTAATTACCACAAGAAGAAGGGCATTGCTGCTGAAAGGAAAGAAGCCAAATTAGAAAAAGATGAAGCGGAGCGTTACCAAAAGCTGAAAGAACAACTTGTAAGTTACATGCATTTGATTAGAAATTATTCTTTGATCAGAGTAAGATGGAAAAATATGTTAAATTTTACATGTAAGCAGGAAGTGAATTAAGAAAGCAATAAGTGAAAGGCAAAGTAAGTTGTTGTCATAATTCAAAAGTGCATAATGTTGACATCAAATTGCTTAACAAGATATTTGTAACAGCAGTAAAACTATTGTGGAATCAAACAGTCACTTGAGAAAATTTTTTAAGAATAACCTGAAGTTAATCATACCTATTGTCCTCTTGACATTTGTAACACTTCAGCACTGTTGAAATGACGGCAGAATAAGATAATTCCTTTGAATAAGGAAACCTGGGGTCAGAGGTTGTTTCAGATAATAAGGATTAATCAATTATTCGTCTGTTTTTACCCAAGTTATATTGATCATATCTATACCCTTATTATTTTTTCTTTTTCATTTTTCTGCAGAGTGAAAAACAGATGGAGTTACAGCTCTTTAGACTATTCCATAATGAAAGAGACATTGATGAGATGTCAGATGAACTCAACAGAAAAAACCATTTGCTAGAAAAGGAGGTCCGGAAACGAGAAAGGATTGAAGAAGAGATAAAAGAAAAGAAAAAAGAACAAGGAAAAATTACCAGAGAATTAACAAAAATAGAGCAGCAATTAAAGGAATCGGTAAGAAATATAAGGAACAAAGTATTCTTCATTTGTTCTTAAATTATCCTGAATCATAACTATTATTGCCTAATATCAAGGGTCAGCAAAACATTCATTTCTTTTGTAAAATTGTGGCTTTTCTGCATGCTGATTTTACAAGAAAGAAAATACTTAGTTTCGAAAATTTCTGGAAAAAATGGGCAAAATATGTTTTAATTAATAAACACGGTAATGAGCAAGAATAGGTAGACAACCAGTGCAATTTAGATATATACAAAGTATATTCTTACAATAAAAGCTTTTAGATGATTTTGTTTTAAGTAATTAAAAATTATTCATGGAAGATAAATTCTTTAGCTAAACTAGGATTGAAAGTTGAACTTTCTTACTTTGACAGGAAGTAGAACTGAACAAGAAGAGACCATTGTACATCAAGGCCAAGGAAAAGACTTCACATATGATCAAGAAGTTAGATTCTGCAAAGTAAGAACCTGCCATTATCAGCTGATGTAGAGCTTAATGTGTTACATACTTTTTACCTTTAATTTTTTCATTCTGCTTGAATCTTCCATCAACATAATCAATATGGTTGTTAGTTGGGCCTTATTTTGGGTATAATCCAATTTTCTGACATTGTTGTGAAGTATGTTGTCACAATTTTCTCATGAAGGGTCATTATCATTGACAAGTTAATTAGGGGTCCAAGTTGTGCATATCTTTTTTTGACCTTCTTAAGATATAAATAGATATGAATTCAAGATAAGCATAAACAACCATTTGGAGTTAGTTTAAAATCTTTCCAACTATTTTACACATTACTATATTAGTTGAACATTTTATCATGTGAATCATTTTAATAACCTGACATGCTGCAAAAAAATAAAGAGGAAAGAAAAGAAATGATCAGTCATACATAGAATCAGATCATTAATGGTGAGCTTAAAAAAAAAATTCCTTAGACCTCTAGTGTTCTTTTCAAGATTTCAGTATATTAATCATGGTACATTCATATTTTCAACATGCATAACCAAATGTTGAATTTATATATAGATGTATTTATATATATGTGTATTTTTTCACAGAAAATCTTTAAAACAAGCAAAAAAGACACATGATAACCATGAGCAAGAGGTAAGTGTCTGTTGTGTTATGATAGCTAATAAGACCTGATAACTATGAGAATGAAGCTAGTATTGGTTGTTTCATAATTCAATATAAAATCTTTGTAATATTTAGAAATAAGAATGGGAGGGAAGGAGGCAATGATTTTAACAAATGTCAGTGGTGGAGATTTGTGATGCTAGCTGATAATTTTCTGGAATAAAACCTCATCCTTTATTTGTGATTTACCAGTATTGTATACTGTATATATTTGATTTGAACAGATCAGAGAGTTAGAACAAGAGTTAGATGAAGTAGAGAAGAAGCGACAGGAATTCGAAGAGCGAATAGAGGAAGAATCCCAGTCCCAGGGCCGTGACCTCGACCTGGAGGAGTCTCAAGTAAGTTTTTACTTTTAGTAATAACATTGATCTATACACCTACAGCTACTTTGATTATTCATTATATCATTATTAGAATTTGCAAACATATACTTTTATATTAACTGACCAATATATGTGTTATATATATATCCAGTGATTTGTTTATTTTTAACCAGTGACTTATGTGTTCTGCATTCAGCTTTGCTGTACTTGCTCTCATTGTCACAATGTTTCTTCAGTTTCATTTATAATAATTCTTTATTCCTTTTCTTTTTACAGGTACAAGAATATCACCATCTGAAAGAAGAAGCAAGCAAGCGAGCAGCAAGAAATACCCAGGAAATGGATTCAATTACTCGTGAACAAAAATCAGACCAAGACAGATATGACAATGAAAGCAGAAAAAGAAATGAACTTATATCTAAAATAAAACAGAAAGAAAATGAAATGGAAGAAAACAGGAAACGAGTGGAGAAATTAAATGAATATATAAAGTAAGTCATATATCTGTTGGACAAAGCTAGCTGTGTTTGTTAAATATTTTCTCAACTGGTCCAACTTTTGTTATAGTTAATTTTTTCCAAGGTTTCAGCCATTGAATTAAAATTTTCACATAAATGGAAACACCAGAATTTGAAAACTTTGCCCAACTTCAGTGGGAACTACAAAACATTTATCAAGTAACAGTTCCTTGGTTGCCTGCAAGGACATTTATGTTACCCTCAAACTTAATTTAACAGCAACATCACTTCGAATGGTAACTAAGTGTGACCTACAATTTCCGTTTAGGTAGCAGGTAATGTCAAGTTAAGGTACATCATTATTAGTTTCATTAGTCTTGGAACATTTATGATTGCCTTTTGTTATTAACCAGATTCTCATTTGAGAACATGACATTACATGTGATTGGCCAAAATTCACATAGCAATATCTACTGATGAGGTAGCAGTTACTTTACCCTTCTAGACCATATAGACTGGTCTTACTGTCATTTTATTATTCAAGGGTCTAAAATTATCAAATTTCAGTTTGAATTTTAATTTTCTTGAAACTGTCGTGATTCTATTGTTTTAACTCTCAATAAATTTTAAAAAGTAATAGCTGTAGTTTTTTGAAAGTAAAAATAAAGATAGGAAATAGAAAAATAAAAAATCTCTAGATTGAATCCTGAACCTTTAGTCCAACAATTTCTACTGCATTAATGTAGCCTATGTAGGTGTCTAGGGGCCATGTTGCTTCAAGTAAAAAGTACTAGTTTCATGTATTAATACCAAGGGTCTATATTACATATCTACAGGACAAGTAACAATGCTGTGGCAGAGCAGCGACAGCTGGAGGAGACAATGTCAGAGGATGTAGACACAGCAAATCGCAGAATTGAAGAGATCAATGAAGAGTTAGCCTCTGTCATGGACCAACTAGGAGAGGCTAAAGTAGACAAACACGAATCTGCCCGTGCCACAAAGAAGAAAGAACTTCTCAACAATCTGAAACGACTCTTCCCAGGAGTGGTATGTTCAATGGAAAAAGGATTGAAAATAAATACATTATCATTCATATTAATCTTCATTGAGAGTTGTCTAGACTGTTGAAATCATTTTCTTGGTATTTGCCTTTTAGTAGTCAAGTATATTTCCATTATTTCATCGTTCTCTCTTTAATAAGATACTCTCAGTTTGTCTATTGATGTAGATATTATCTGTTGTTGTATATATACCATAAAAGTGATGAACTGGCATACCCAAAATGATTTCATGGAAAATAGTATACTGAACTTTACACATATTGTGTAATGTAATGATAGTGCCGAGAAAATAGTTTGAATTAGATTTATAGCTAAAGCAGTTAAAAAAACTCAATGTACAAAAAAAAGGTGGGGGGGGGGGGGGGGGGGGGGAATACATAGTCTTGTGCTGTAGATGTTTTACAGATTTTTTGTTGTATGAAGTGTAGTATTTTCAGTAGATTTTGATAAGTGTGTAATTTTAGCAGGATTTTTTCTGATGAGTCAAGAGGACCATTTCCAAATATCACTGTAAATTCATGGTTAGTCATCAATTACAGTTATATTGGTATTTTTATGGTTTATAGTTCAAAATATTGTATGGATTTTTAAGACAAACCCATTATTTGATGTACAACAGGAGATTATATATGTTGGCGATGTTTATTGTACAGACTGGACGTTTGATTGACCAGTGTGAGCCAAGCCACAAAAAGTACCAAGTAGCCATTACCAAAGTGCTTGGTAAATACATGGATGCCATTGTGTGTGATTCAGAGAAGACTGCCAAGGATTGCATCCAGTACATGAAGGAGCAGCGTATTGATCCAGAGACCTTCCTTCCTCTAAACTATCTAGATGTTAAACCAGTCAATGAAAAACTCAGGTGAAGAAAACAAACTTTGGATTAGGATAGTTGATAAAAAGTCAGACTAGCAACTCTTTAGAAAGGGGGTACTTAAGTATTATTTTAAACCAAAGCCATAGGTAAATGTTTGGTAAATATATATTGCACAGGTGTATGATGAAAAGTTCCATGCTATTTCATCTTAATGATAAAGTGTACTGAAATGAATGTTTTTTAGATTGATCTTATTATATGCAGAACTATTCATTTTTACTTGTTTGGAAACTCTGTTAACACTGAGTTTGCTCTTTGCTGTGAACATTTGGAAATATAGGGTTATAAGGTAGTCATTGATAGTAGTTTTCAGGGCCTTTTAGCGTACAGCTGAATTTATTGCTGAATTATATTACAGAGAATTTTCTGAGCCACGTAATGTTAAGTTGGTGGTGGATGTGATTCGGTATGATCCTCCTGTGGTGAAGAAGGCCCTGCTGTTTGCTTGTGGTAACTCGCTGGTCTGTGAGACAGTGGAAGATGCTAGAAGGGTGGCATTTGGTGGACCAGAACGTCACAAGGTAATTTTCAAAACACAATGCATATCGCTTGTAAATCTAATATCTAAAAAATCTTTCGCTGAAAATGTGACTTGAAGTTAATTTTAAATTATCTTAAAGTCATTAATGATTTGAAAGACATTTGAGATTTAGAGTAAGCTGTCTGGAATTTTAGATTACTTCAGCATTTAAGTCTTTTTGACTGATGTTAGAACTGGTACTTAAGTGTATATTAAGTAAAGGTCTTTGTTTTGTTGAAAGCAAATGAAAAAAAATTCTACATTCATTGTATTATCTACCATGTAGAAAAAACTGATTCTGTATTAAAAGGCTCAGTTGTTAAATAGGCATTGTGAGTGGTTTTAACATTATTTCTCATATACCCTAAACCTGTTCCTGAATTTACTGGTAAAAGGAGAAGGGGTTTTGTGAAAATATAAGAAGTGAGATAAAACCCAGTTTGTGAATCTGCAGTCATCAAGGTAGAAGAAACAGGACATGTTGAAGAAAACAATTTTGATTTTTCTTGAAGATATAAAAATAAATGTTTTATTTTTTTCCAGTCTGTAGCATTGGATGGGACACTATTCCAGAAATCTGGTGTTATATCAGGTGGTGCAAGGTAAGAAAGAATATCACTGTAATGATAGCAGTACAGAAATAGATTAAACATAGCCAAACCCAGGACATCATTTCATCTTTTAAAAAACCTATTTAGAATGACATGGAGTAATGTTAATTTAATTCATAACACTATGCCAGATGGGAAGCCATTTATGAAGTCTTAAACAAACATGAAGGCTAGGACATTCAAGTGAAAGACTTTTTGCAATACATTGAAGGTGTAGGTGAGCTAATGTGGAAAAATCTAGTGTAAGGTTATTAGGAATGTATGAGCTAAATGAGGAAGCATTTTCTGAGGGATTTAAGGATTTTGAAGTCCTGTAACTCTGGCAAATGCTTACGGATTTTGATCAATATTAGATTCCTGAGATCAATATACCAAATTTGGTTCAAATCTGTTGATAGCAAGTAAAGATGTGTGATGAAAAGGAAAACAAATGAAGTTTGAAGGGTTTTAAAAACCAGTAACTATAGCAAATGGATTGGGGAGGATTTAAAATTTTTATCTGTTTATGCTAGTAAAATTCAAGAGAAAATACCCTGATTTAAGATTTTCTTATTAGCTCAGATATTCGGCCCTTAGTGACTCTTAATTGTTGATGGACCTTGATACGATACCCATTATTTGTCACATGTATCTATATCTGTATGTCAAATCTTCTACTCAGTGACTTAAAAGCCAAGGCTCGGAGATGGGATGAAAAACAGTTGGGACAGCTGAAGAGTCGGAAGGAGAAACTGTCTGAGGAACTGAAAGAACAACTGAAGAACAAGAGGAAAGAGTCGGAGTTAAACACTATCAGGTCACAGATCAAGGGTCTGGAGACCCGTCTCAAGTACTCTATTACTGACAGGGATAACACTGTGAGTTTTCAATATAAATTATAGAGGGAGATTTAAGGTCTTATGGAATGGGAAGTTGTAGATATTATTAACTTGCATGGAAGGGTGGAAGATTTGATTCAATTGTAATGAAATTTGTAAGATATGATACAATTGTATATGAGAGTGTAAGATATGTAGTTGTACAGGGGGAAGTAAGATGTAATAAAGTTGTGTGGAAGGTTGTAAGAGATTACACAATTGTATGAGAGGTTTTAAGATATACAGTTGTATGGGAGGCTGTTAGATAATAGACAGTTTTATGGAAGATATTATTTAGTTATATGAGAGCTAATTTTGTTCTACTTATATAATAATCAACAACTTATAATTATACATCTTCTTTACTTTAGCTCAACAAGCACCTGACACAGAATGAAAAAGATCTCAACACTTATAATGAAATGCTGAAGTCTTTTGATGTAAGAAAAAATGTTTTTATACAGATTTGTTTGTTCACAAAAAGCAATAACACATGTCTAATTATGTTTAATAACATGTCTTTATTTTAAAAAAATTTATAATCTGATCACTATATTTCTTCTGCCAAGACCAAGATAATAAAAGGTAATAAATGCTTTATAAGGTAACATATTGAACTCAGATATACCAGACATAAATAACTGAGTTATACTATCAATGAAATTTAGCAACTTGATTGTTTATAATTCAGCCAAGAATTCAAGAGATTGAGCGTCGTATGTCAGAGAGAGGTGATAAGTTAAAGGTTCTCAAGGAGAGAATGAACAGGGTTGAAGATGAAGTGTTTATGACCTTCTGTATCCAGATCGGTGTTGAGAACATCAGGTAATTGTTTAAATAAAATGTCCTCAAGAGTTATGGCATAACAAACATTTCATAGCAAACTCCTATTAATAACTTTTATATACAGTGACATAAATATCATATTTGATAAAGTTGTACTGAGTTTTGTCCTGCTTTGAATGTGAACCTCTGAAGATTAATACCATTAAAAGCCAGTTTATATGAAATAACTATAATCTGTTTCAGTTTAACAATTCTGCATTTTACAGTTTAGTAGTTCAGTTGTTAATGTTGCCAGTGATACTGATTTTAAACTGCATTTTTTTCTTTGTCTTTAAAGGCAATATGAAGAACGAGAACTTAGAGTGCAACAGGACAGAGCAAAGAAGAGGCTGGAATTTGAAAACCAGAAATTCAGATTACAAAACCAAATAGAATTTGAAAAATCTAGAGACACAATTGGTAATTTGCGTTAAAAAGTTACCAGGTTATAGTAATGTGTAGAAATGAGTACATTTTTACTTGTGTTTTACATGTATTCAATCAAGGTAAATCTAAATGGAGGTACTGGTACGTCGCCAAAATGAAGTAACTTTTCTCGGACACATTAATGGCAGAAGTATATCAGCTTTATTTGTTATTAACTTTTGGCAGGTTAATATTTCATGGGAATTTTAAAAAGAGTAGTGGTTAAGGACAAAATTATACTTGAAAGTACTCGCCTGTTATCTTATGATCAATTCATTGCTGAATGAATTTAGATGAAGAAAATGTTGTTGTATCCAATATATGAATATATTCCACTTACTACATAGATTTTAAAGGATGAATTCATATTGCAGCCAATGTAAAGAAGTGGGAAAAGGCATACCAGAGTGATGAGAGAGAATTGGAGAAAGTTAAAAATGATGAATCTCGCCATATGAAGGTACATTATCTAAAAGTGTGGTGTTAGTCACATATCCTAGACTAGGTAGATACATTGATATATATCTGAACTTATCTAGGTTTGGTTCTATTTCTAAGATTTTACCAGTTTCTCAGATACCACAATATGATAGTTCTCTAATGAAGGGACTGACTTGGCTTAATGTCATAGCCCATTACCTTAGGACGAACAGAATGAAACAAAGATATTGTTGAAAATTCAGGAGTGATAGTTTTGTCAACATTAAGATGTCATAGTTTTTAATCATTGTTCAAGTATTTTCTCAGATGTTTGTTGTAACTTGTTTTGTTGTATTCAGGTTATTGATGAAGAAATGCAGACACAGGAGCGATTAAAACAACAAAGAGTGACATTTAAATCACAAGTGGAAGATGAGGAATCGGATATCAATGAGGTCCGGAAACGACTGTCTGCTCAGCAGAAAGAGATTAGTGCTGCCCAAAAACAAATCAATTCTGTGGAAACTAAGTTAGAACAGAAGCGTGCAGACAGACACAGTTTATTAAAAGCTTGTAAGGTATGTAAGCAAACCTGATTGAGAACATCAATCAATATGTTTGATTGTTAGCATGAAAATACCATGTTTATGATGGGAATTGAAGTATTACATTACCTAGGTCCGTATATACAGACAGTATCATTACCTATGTATTTCTTTTGCATTTTGATAACAAGAATCACATATATAGATATAAAAGATAAGTCTTAGTTAGATCTCTGATTAGTCCAAATTCTGATGAAATGCTGACTAAATTCTTAGGAACATGTGTCCAGAAAAACTGCTTCTTTGCTAAATCAAGTTAAGGTAGTCTTAATATTGAAGCTCGTAACAAAGTAACTTTGTGCTTGTCTTTAGATGGATGACATACAGATCCCATTCAAGCGGGGAACATTGGAAGACATCAATCGTGAGGATGAGCCGTCTAGTCAGCCAGAGAGCAGCCAGGAAACTCCCATAGACAGCATGAGTAGTCAAGGAGCCAAAGCCATATATGCTAGAGAGGCTAACATCCTCATAGACTACAGTGCCTTGGATGAAGATGATAAAGAGGTAGAGTTAAGAATTAAGCAAAACAGACATAGAGAACTGAGAAAACGGAAATAATAATGAAAACTCTGTAACAAGCATTTCGCTGAATAACAATAGCTGTTTTGATTTATCTAACTTCAGTAACTGCCACCTTTGAAGTTCTTTTATTTTCAGCATTTTCATGTCATCTGAAAAGATTGTATAGGGATATATCACTTGACATATTTTTGAAAAGGTGTATGCTTGAAGAAATGCTTTCATTGCTATAAAATTTCATAACCGTACATATAGCACCAACCCTAACCTGATGAAGACCATCATAGATAATGAAGGAATCCTTAAAAAAATAGCATTTATTGACAATTATGTAGTCTTGATTTGATTTCTATGTATTAACTGTGAAACAAGCTATCTTACTATTTTTAAAAGATATTTTTATTGATAACCTGATCTTAGATTACACCATCTTAATAAATCTCATTCAGGTAAGTACTCACTAGACATCAGAGTGAAGATGTAAATGTGACTAAGATGTCTTTTGAAGGTTGTTTGTTAAAATACTCAGATATTTTTTTCATATGATGCTTTGCTTTCCAACAGCTTGAAATGGCTGATGAAGTGAGGAAGCGAGAAAACCAATACCAGAAAGCTGTAGCTGATATGCACACAACAATTCAAAGGATTAATGCTCCAAACATGAAGGCTATGGAAAAGTGAGTAGCAGTGTGTTTGGATAAGAGTATTGAAGCTACATAACAGTAGTATTCACCTACTTTGATTTTAAATGTCTTTTACAAAATATCCAGATGCTTTACTTGGAAAATATCAAATAAATGGAAATCCAACATATTTAGAGTTACTTGTACTCCTGTGAGCATGCCATGCAAATCGGGTCTCTAAGAACCTGATTACTGATGATTTTCAGTGAAATATGTTTAACATGATAATACGGAAAGATTCAAATTACGAAGTATTTGGATTCCACAAGGGCATAAGGTATAATCCTTTTACCAACTTCGATAAAAAATGAAATATGGGTAACAAATGTGGTAATAGTATTCTAATTCTTTTTTCGACAGACTGGATGGTGTTAGGGAAAGATTTCAGGAAACGTCAGCTGAGTTTGAGGATGCCAGGAAAAGGGCAAAAAGAGCTAAACAGGCATATGAGAAAGTCCGCAAAGAGAGATATGATAGGTTCATGCACTGCTTTGAGCATGTAGCCACCAGAATTGACGAGATCTACAAGGTAAACACTACTGAGGAAATTAATTTGTTATTGTTCCCATAATCTGAAGATAAGAGTTAGATTAAATACCTCACCACCCAAAGTTAGTGATTATGACAGTACTTAAATATGAGCAGATCTTAAATGAATTATATCGCAAATGAACACACCTGTACCTGATCTGTAAGAAGCTCATTATTTATTGTTTTGGAATTTTCAGACAATTAATATATTGTATTCCATTTAAACCGATATCAAATATAATATTTCAAGAAATATGTGTGGAAGTCAACCTTGAGTCATGTAGAAATTCTTAATTAAGCAATAGTTATCCAATTAGACAGGTATGGTTGACCCCCTCAAACTTGGCATGCCTGGTATTGGTGCAGTCTGGCCTCGTCTTGATATGTATCTTGCATTCTTATTGCATTGTCTGCTGTTCTAACAGTTTCAACCCTCAAAGAAAAGGGGCCTTAGTAATGAAACTAATTTGTCAATTAATTTCAGTCGCTGGCTCGTAACCAGAGTGCACAAGCATTCCTGGGGCCTGAGAACCCAGAAGAACCCTACCTGGATGGTGTTAACTACAATTGTGTGGCTCCTGGAAAACGTTTCCGGCCTATGGACAACTTGTCTGGAGGAGAGAAAACTGTAGCTGCTCTTGCTCTGCTCTTTGCTATCCACAGGTAATAGTTGTTAAATCGTTTTTGTCTGTAATTGTGGCTTTGTTTCATTGTTTTTATACTATCGTTTCCAGTACTTACGATAGATTTTCATGTTTTAGTGCCTGCTGTCATTTCATTGGTGGAATATAGTATAACCTATGTCAACCTGACCTGTTCCATATCTTTCAACAGATTTAGTTCAAATTTAGCTCCATAGTATCATAATTTCAAATTCTACACTTGATCAGATTAGAAGTGTGGGCACTCATGTCTTAAAGGTATTTTTAGGTCACCTGACCACAGTCAATGATGAACTACTTTGATCTTTCTTTGTGTGGTGTTATGCAACGTGTTGTGGGTTGACTTTATCTTGTGAATGTAATGAGTAAATATGAACAGATTTTGATAAAACTTGGTATGTAGCCTTACATCAACAACATGGGCTCCTTGTCTTTTTAAAAATGCTCCATGATGGAAAATATCTTAGTTTATCAATTGAAAGATTATATTTGGAAGGTTGTAGGGGTTATATGTATAGTTCTGTGAATATGAGTAATATATACACATTTTAGTACAATATTGTATACTGTCTTCTCCTGACTAACTGTAACATGCTATTGTCCTTAGCTATCAGCCAGCCCCATTCTTTGTACTGGACGAGATTGATGCTGCTCTGGACAATACAAATATTGGAAAGGTATGTGGCATGTGGAAAGGAATATTGGATAATACGGTTCAAAGACGTAGTAATTAATGTTTATTATAATACTTCTCTTCTGAGACAGTTTTAACCAGGTAATGATTGAAGTCAGTTATTTGTGTATAATAAATCCTGTGTAAAGATTGATTCCTTATATAATTACTGTCAACATTTCAATGAGACTATAGTATTAACAGTGAAAACATGGTTGTTTGATTTGTGAGATGAAAGAATTTGATTTGGCAAAACAGTACACTATATTGGTAACCAGCTAAGAAAAGATCAGTTCTGTACAGGAAATATTTTTATCATTTTGTAGGTGGCCTCATACATCCGTTCACAATCTGAAATGAGCTTCCAGTGTATAGTGATCTCCTTGAAGGAAGAATTCTACAACAAGTCAGATTCCCTCATTGGAATATACCCAGAGGTAAAGGATCTATATAAAACCTAGCCATTTAAGACATCTTTTACACCCCAAGATTCCAGAGTTATGGCCACCATCCTTAAACATTTATAATGTGTGTATAAATGATATGTAACAAACCCAACTATAGTGAGTAGCAGGGGAGTCCTAGGTCAGCTAGAAGTTTTTTGGATTACTTTTTGTAGTAATTTCAGTTTTCTTCATTAACCCCAAATTAGGGTACAAACCCCGACCCCGAAATTGGTGAAATTAAAGACTTGTACCCTTCTGTTTCCAAGTACATTGTTAGAGGTACACTGTACATTCATTTTTAGAAGAAAGAACACTGAATAAATTTGTCAGCAGTTTCTAAATTTATATTATTTAAGAAACAGGTTTTCTTTCTGCATTTAAGAAATCTGCCTTACAAATGTAGCACTCAATCTTCATCCTATTGGGTAGCAGTGTTTTTATGTGATATCAAAAGTTGATTTAATAACAAAAAATGTTTTATGATGAGAAATATCAAGTGACAACTTATCAAATACATTTGATTATAAAAATCTGTCTCTTCTTTGTCACTTGATTTGTCCTCTCTATTACAGGTGGGAGACTGTGTGATAAGTCATGTGTTAACAGTTGACCTTAACGATTACCCAGAATCCCAGCTAGGTGAAGATGAGGACAGTCCCAGCAAGTCGCGGTAGTAGACACAGTTGACAAGAATATATTTTATGTAAAGTGCAAATTTTATTGTTATTGTGTGTTTGCTTTAGTGCAAACTTCTGTGAAACTTTGTTAAGACTGCCAAGCCCACATCAAGGCAACACTGACTATAATTCATGTTTTATGTGAGAACACATAATGTTTTTTCAAAACTGAGACTTTAAAACATTTAAGCTCCACTAGGGGTATTATTTGATTCATCCATTTCATTTATATAAATCATAGATGAAGTTTTGTTAAGAGATGCCTAAATCATTTCATTGTAAATAAATATTTTTAAAACAACATACTTTATTTATCAGCTATGTGGAACAAATTAGTTGTTAGTAGATATGTTTATTATAGTTTAATAAATGTTGTATGTACACAACTCTGAAGCTAAAGTCAGTGTGCCAGTTTTAAGTTCCTTTGTACATAGTAATACTTGGAATTGACTCTTGCTGTCTGAAAACATTCATCATGTAAATCTAACAAACCAAAACACTAGGTACAATACAAGGCTACAGAAATAGCAAATAGAAGTTATGTCATTACAATATGCATCATCTTTCTACCAGCATATCCTATGTTTAATGATAACTCCATCTATCAGATTTTAACTGTAAACATGGCCAATTCAGAATCTGAAATGGCTGAGGTAAATTTTGATTCGGTGTTAGTACTGTTTGTTTCCTTGTAAGAACTGGCTTTTAACCACATTACACAGCAAGAAAAATTTCTAGAAGACTTCACAATCTGAAATACCAGTTATCTGTATCAGCAATCCTCAATAGAATGTTTGAGAGAGATAAAAAAGTATATTTCCATTTTCCAATTAAATCTATAACAAAGATATGGGAAAATGTAGATCAAGAATGAATAAAGCCATCTGTTTGTTATACTTTGTAAGTATAACATCACTCTATAGTTTTATCTGTTTTACATGTTGATATAGATAGGTTTTATTTGGTTAAGTCAGTATGATGTTGATGTATGTCTTTTACACACCTTTGTTGTTTATCAGATAGAGATATTAACTCCAGTGGTATCTAGCTGTGTGTATTTGTTGTATCTATGTGGACGATTCCAGGGATTTTATTGTTGAGGACCTGCTGTGCTGATTTCTATGACATCCTTGTCGTTTACTTCGTCATCCTCACAAAACCGTTTGTTTGTAAAAAAGTTATTCACTTTGATTTTACCAGATTCAGATATGTTCTAATGAGGAGAAAATATTTTTGATACACAAACCGTAAATAAACCATCAGTATTGCTTTAGTTTACACTTTCTCAAGTTTGAACACTGAATGATTCTTTAAATCATATTTACAGTAAAATTAGACAAGGATGTTTGAAATTGAGGAAAGGAAACCTGCAGCAATGAAGATTCAACATTACTGTATAATTATGTCAATGACATTTCATAATAAGCTATTTTGATTGGTTGTTTGGTAACTACAGTATCACAGCTGCCTTTCAGAGTAGACATGTCTAATTCTTTGTCATGGTCATTAATAATAAATGAATTTGTAAAAGTTTACTTGTATTTGTTTATTTTTTAACTGATCAATATTATAGGACTAAGATATACAGAGATTTTGTATGACTTGCCAAAATGATGAGATTTAATCATTACACTGTAAAGAGGTTGTTTTTGTAACAGCTCTGCTAATTTGAACTGTCAAAGTGAAAACCAGCACTGTATTCTACAATGTGATCAAATTTACAACAATCAACTCCAAGCTTAATGAGAACTTCAGAACAGAAAGATGAATTAGAATACTGGAACATCTTCCAAGATGTTAATTCTTTCATACACCCACTAAGAGTAAGATCAAATATAATAACTGGTATTTATGTTGGTCTGAGTTCAAGATTAATGCATCCTCTAGTGGAAATCTTTGGTACTTGTAATCCCAACCATGGGTGGTTAACACTTCAAACCCAAAAGCTTTGGATATCATAGGGAAATCAACCTCAGAATGACCCAGGCTTTTAACAGAATAATCAAGCAAACAAACTATGTTTCAGGAAACAAAATGATCTAAGATATTTCCCAATTACCTTGCTGTGTATGGGCATGCTTGAGAATGCAGTAGATTTAATTTGCTCCATAGTGTGATAGCCTATATTAGATATTCTGGACCCAGAGAGGTTAAGGGTTACAGCCATAGTTGACCACTTTCAAAAATAGATTCTTTTTATAAGATATCACTATATCAACAGATTTAGTTTATATTTTACAAAACAATTACAAATTTTATACCCAATTAAAATAGCTGATTGAGAAGGTTAATGTGTCACTTGACAATTTTTTGAAACGCACCTATGGTAGGTCGCTGACCTTTACTGAGCATTTTATCATGATAAAAAGGGATGATAAAACAACAAATCTGACACCAATGAAAACCAAACTTTATACAGAAACGGTGACAAGTTGTAAAGTTTATGATTGGCATAGCGGTTTTGAGAAAAGGACACTTTCAGTTCAAAATTTTGGATCACATAAGCAAATTTGAGGGAGGCTGATTCTAAATCCTGACGTTGGTGCCTGCTTCTGGTGAAAATGGTGTAGGTTAATTTTTAGGTAATTACAAGTGGTACATTAACCAAAATTACAAGGTCTATGTTCTTAACTTATATGGTCTATGTTTCTAAGGATACTTGTATGCATTGTGTAGTGGAGGTTACCTCTGACCTACATTTTATGCTTGATTGACCTAGTGTAGGACTTTCTTTTGAAATTCTTTGTGTATCTTTTTGTGCATATTTTGTGAAAATCATACAAAGGCGAGCTTTTTTGGATCAAAGAAGTCAACAGACCTATTGAGTCAAAGGTCACTTCTAGTAAAAGGAAATTTTTTAGCCCACTGTCAGATGATGGCCATGTGGGATGCAGTACATGAAAGTTTATAGCTTATTCTCAAATTCTGGATGTAGCTTCCCCTTGGTCCCTAGTTATACCTTTCTGATTTTTGGACTGATCAGAAAAACAAAACAGCCATTAGACAACCAACTTGGATTTGGTAGTTAAAAAATCATTTTTGTTAATTGTTGCAAGTATGATAACTCGGAACAAAAATAGAAAGATTAGAAAAGAAATCAAAAGATCCATAGATTTCTTATTTAGGAACTACAATGACCAGGGGTCATATTCAAATTTTGTTTACTTGAAGTAAAATATTTTATGACTTAAGGAAGTAAGCTTGGTCATAGTCAAACTGTCTTCCTACCAATGATTGAGGTTAGAGGTCGATATCAGCATTTTGTATTTTGAACTTTTACATACTGTATATTTAAGATCATTGGGTCAAAGTTCAGGATTGCAGTCAATTTCTACCCAGCTGACAGTATCCTAGTTATGCATTACTGATGATTCTAGAGATGCACAGGATATGCTACAGTGACTTGATCCGACCTACATGTTATGCATGATTGACCTGGTATTTAAGGATTTTATTCCATGATCTGGCCTTGATGCACATAATCTCAAGGATTGGGGTGAGGTGATCTTTATCTATACTGATGTTTTCCTTTCTTTGTGCCTACAAAAAACAATATTTTCATGTCTCCTTTCATTTGATCAGGTAATGATACGATAGACCCAATTACTTAACGGTAATCTAATGATGGATTTGTCATGATTTAACTTAATGGCAATGTAGTCAACAAACTGACTCAAATATCTGTATCAATAAACTTTTGATTAGTTTAAAGTTTTTTGGGTCATGAAGTAACACCCCCATGCAACCTAGATCGTTATTTCAGATAAAAATGCAGCAGAACTTCCTTTTCAGGATACTTGGAAATAAAACTTTGATTGTCATTAATTGGATGACTTTAAATAGAATGTAATAAGAAAATATAACAGGAGAAAATTTTACATGTTACATATTTAATCTTCTTTTATCTTTCCAAGAATATTAAGTACAGTATATACAATTGATAAATATTTACATTTAAAATTTCATATCACAGACATGCAAAAGGGTATCGCAGGTCCTCCAGTCTTTTACAGGAAATTAAGATGCAAACATCACAGACATCTTGATCTTTTACATTTTGTTTTGTATACAGAATGTCGAAAAACAAAAAATATCAAATCAAGTATTCCTTTTTTTATATTTCACTGTGGCAGCTTGGACACTTTGCAATACTCGAAATGGTACAAGAACTAAATGTTAACTGATTTTCAATTATTTCCACGACAACCCATTCTTAATTTTTTGTGTACATTTTAACATGATTTGAAAAACAGGACATAGATGAAGTAAGATGTTATTAAATATAGTATCCAATTAGAGTTGCTATCGGTTATGCCCGCTGTTGAACGGGAAGTTGTTGGCCTGCTATCGTCGGTCCTGAGGGCATGGATTTTTCATTGGCACGGATTCTTATGTGTTCAGCCATTCCTGGAAGTCTGGAGAAGTAGTTCCTGGCCAAGGTATGCTTCTGTTGAACTTTGTGTATGAATACAGAACCGTAACCCTGGCAACAAATATAAATACATTTTGATGATTTTGCCTTCTTATTTTTTGTCAAGAATTTTAAACAAAAAACATATTTAATAAAGAGAAAAAAGAAAGTTCTCTTGAAAAACAGAACATCAATACAAGACAAAAACTACACACATTACTGTAAATATAACATAAGCATTAGCTAGTCTCTCGAGAATCAGAATTTGATCAGTATTATGTCATACTAGTAAAATGACTAATTTGAAAGAGAAAACTGATGTTGAATGGCTGAAATGGTGATGAAGAAAGATTATAGCATAGCATGGCTGACTATGGTGAGGCATGGCTGAAGTGATATAGAGAAAACTCTGTGATGTAGCATGACTGAAGTGGTGATTTAGAGAGAACTATGATGTAGCCTGGCTGAAGTGATGATGTAGAGAGAACTGTGATGTAGCATGACTGAAGTAGTGATGTAGAGAACTGTGATGTAGCCTGGCTGAAGTGGTGATGTAGAGAACTGTGATGTAGCCTGGCTGAAGTGTTGATGTAGAGAACTGTGATGTAGCCTGGCTGAAGTGGTGATGTAGAGAGAACTGTGATGTAGCCTGGCTGAAGTGATGATGTAGAGAGAACTGTGATGTAGCCTGGCTGAAGTGGTGATGTAGAGAGAACTGTGATGTAGCATGGCTGAAGTAGTGATGTAGAGAGAACTGTGATGTAGCCTGGCTGAAGTGGTGATGTAAAGAGAACTGATGTAGCATGGCAGAAGTGGTGATGTAGAGAATGACTGAATTGAGATACAGTCAACCAAACAATGATTGACAGCAGACCTAACATAGAACTATGGACTGTGTTGTTGATTGACACTTATTTAACAAAGAATGGTGACAATACCTCTTCTAAATTAACTAGTTTTTCATGTGCAGATGACTCGTCCTTGGTGAGGAGGATACAGTTCCAGGGAGACCACTCTTGGTGTTTGTCCCAGCGGACCAGTACAAGGTCGTAAAGATCCTCCCAAGCACTCAGTATGCTCTGACTGTTCCAGATCTTCTCCACAAGGTAACGTAAATCTTGTTCCTGGAAAACAATAATAAGCTTATATCACTTATGTAACATACATTTTCCTAAATCTTGGATCAGCACCAATGAAAACTTTTTGTGTTAAGAAAAAATGTTACAATGAGCTGTGGTTTTTGATAGAAGAACTGAAGGGCAAGTAGTGTGATTCTTTTACTAGTATGTAATGAGCCAACTAAAATGTGGTTAAACATTGTAGTCTTAATTAAACCAGACGTAATGTCTGAGTATACCTGCAGGAGGAAGGCAATTTTGGAGTTATCTCCGTACATCTCCTCAGCTTTCCTAAGAACCTTAAGCATGTACTGATAGGTACTGATGTCTTGACGTGTGCGAGCATCGTTATCAATCTTTGAACACTTGCGACATTTTCCTACAGTACGGGAATTTGATGATAGAGCAAAGTCTGTGGATGGCAGATATTGGTTACAACTGGGGCAGAAGTAGATGTTCTTTCGCAAGCTTGATGGATCTTGTGGCACCTGGATGTGAAAAAATTTCAAATTCAAACTCAGGATATTTATGCTCTGACATTGATACGTAAATAAATAAATTGTAATCAAATTGTTTGCTTTTGTTTCCTCCATTTGAAAGCTTAATCTGTTTATATAAAGCAATATCCATATTTTCAAAAATATTAATAAGATTTTTTCCATACACCCACATAGTATGAATTCATGTTATCAAAGATGATGTAACTCATAAGAATATACATGTACTCAATCTTGGTTTTCAATCGATCAAAAGTATTTACTGGTATAATAAAAAAAGTAGATTTTGTTTATATTTCTTTGAATTAACTGAAAAGCTATTCCCCATGTACCTTGAGTAATTTGGCTGCCTCTGGATTGAAGGTTGGAGTTTTAATGTACTGAAGGAAGAGGGTGGAGATGCGCTTACGCAGTCCATCCAGATTGGATTCCTTCACACCTCTCATCAGGAGGTCTGCCTCTCTGTCAATCAGCTCAATTACCTCTTGGGTAAGTTTACAGTCATGCTCCTGTACGTTGTTAATATATCATAATTTAAAACCAGAAATTAGAAAATTTATTCAGGAACAGATATTTTTGAATTTGTTGAATGCTTCAGAACTTGCTGGAAGTAACAAGAATTCTACTCTCTAAAAGTCCAGAGATATTATATATATAATCCATTTTTGTATGTAGGCATCCATTGTGATGTACACCTTACCTTGACTGTGTGTTTGAGAGTGAGGAGCACATCTAGACGTTCATCCTGTGTTAAGTATTTCATGTTGATACTGTTGTAGATATCCTGGAGTTCCTTGGCCCTAATTGTGTAGGGGGTATCCATCTCAGTAACTTTACCGTCAAATCCCTTCCATTTCTTAGGGGCGGCAGCCTATAAAATGAAAAAAGAAATTGTTTCAGAACTTCAGAAGTACTTCCTGAATTGAAAACAAATTGTTTAAAAAATAAGGATACTCTAGGATAACTCACCTACTTAAGCATTGGTTGATACTTTGATAATAGCAATAATGGATTGACTTATTGCCAGATATGGTTTTATTGCTTGTATTCAATTACTCTACCTTCTTGAGAAACTGTTGTATCCTCTTCTCTTTATTTTCAACGTCTGCCTCCAGTTTGTGCCTACCAATGGCAGATATAAGTTGTGTCTCTTGATCCAACAACATACAAAGTGCTGCCTTACGTTCTGCATCTTCCATCGTATGATTAATCCTCTCTAGCTCCTCCTGACGCCATTTTTCTAATGCGTGATATAACAGGTCAAAATCTTCCTTTGTCTTTGGATTCATTCTCCTCTCAAATTCTCTCTTGATTCTTTCTTCTTTTTCTCTCCGTTTCCTTATTTCTTCCTGTCTCTCCCATTCCATCCTCTGTTGTTTGTCCATCTTCAGTTTTTGGACATAACGTTTGGCGAGCCAGCGACGGTAGTATTTTTGTATGATGATGACCTGAAAGAAATAACATGGCAATCATAAGACTAAATGGAAAATACAATGTGTTATTTTTCCATTTTCAAATTTTATTCATCACATTCTCTTATTTTTTCAGCTATACCCTATTAAAGTTTTCATACTTTTTCTATCAGCTCAAAAGACTATCACTTTCATTGGTATTTTTTAAAAATGGCTTTAAGTACCTGGCAAAGCATCATATCAAGGTGTTCTTCCGCTGTTGTATATTTGCCTGGCTTAACCAACTTATCAGTGAGGTTAGCTACATAGACACCAATTTTTGTCATCTGTGTGGAAGTGTCATTTTTGGTCTGTTGGAGATTGTGACGCTGCTCTACCGTCTGTGTGTCACGACAGTACTTGAGCAAGGTGGACGGAGCAGGTTGTTTTCTCACAGTCTGAGCTGATGCATGATGGAACTCCACACCTGTTTTCTTGTGTCTGTAACCACCTAAGTATGGCTTCTTTCTTGTGGTTCTCTCGATCTCAACCACGACATCTTTTGATGTTTCATCGTCTAAGAAAGGGAAACCATGTAGAAGTGTGAAAAAAAATAGAAGAACCATTCTGTTTCAAAAATCAGGATTATGTTCACAGTAATCTAATTTTGAAAGCCCACGTCTTCAGGTAAATTTTGAAAAAAGAAATAAGAGAGAGAGAAAAAAAGAAAGCAAATTCATTCAAAATTGAGATAAAAAGTTTGGAAAAATTTTACAAGCATTGAAATTAAAACAAATGCATTTCCAACTAACTCATTCACAATTACTGTACGATGATGAAGCAACTGGTTTATACTTGCACTATTCAGTGGCCATCAAATAAATACTAGACCATGTTTTATTTACAAAGATCCCCACCTGTCTGTACTCTGACTGTGATAACATCTGGCATGTGGTACTCCTGACGAGGTCGATATGATTTGATAGGTGTGTTGACGGGATCAGATGACTGCATCTCGAGCTGAATTGTTCCGTTGGGTCCCACACCCAGATCAGCCAGTGTCTTAGTCTCCTCCATATTGTTACCTAAAGGTCAATGTGCAGGGCATTATTTATATTTCTCTCATTTTTAGATTCTCTTCCCTTTCTTTCTCATTTTTTTTCATAATTTGAATTCAGATGCATGGGGTTTTTTTTTATCTAGTTCTTTAAAATTGTCATTCCAATAACACCCAGCACTAGTAAACAACAATCTAAAGCAGATGTTTAATTACCTGCAAACATGAGCATGATCAGGTTGATGGGCATCTTCAATTCTGCAGCAAAGTGTGCCTTGAGTTGGGCAAGGGTCTGTCCCAGTGTGCAAGCAAGTGTTACAACCTGGCCACTGGGCATCAACACAAACTTCACTATAATGAAAAAAGGTCAAACCATCAATTATTTCTTATAATATTATATAGTACTAATATACAAAATTTGTTAACACTGTGATGACAAAGGACAAATAATAATAATAATATACTAAATTTATATAGCGCCTTATCTAATTCGTTAGGATTACACTAAAGCGCTTTACATAGAATTAACATAAAAAATTAAGCATAAAAGTATATCGTTCATTATCCATCAATGTAAAATGTCCATCACAAAAAACCTAAAACATTAAAACTATGTCATACACTGTCTATCAATAGAAATGCTATCACAATTTAAATACAAATATTTGATTAAAATAACATTTGGTCAACTTGAATTAGATAAGTTGATGTATGCCAAAAAATTTCTAAATAATGTCAATAATACCTGTTGCTGTAGCTTGTAAGTTAGCAGTGGTCCTAAGAGTTGTATCCTGTACTGGTTTTGATGATGCTGGTTCTGGTTCTGGCCTTGGTGAATTGGGATCATCTTTCTGGCTTGCAAAATTCTCTGTTGTCTGTTGCGCTGGTGCTTCTACTTCTTGCTGAGTTGGGGCTGGGGCTTCTTCCTGCTGGGTAGATTGAGGTTCTTGTTCAGGTGCTGCAGCTTCTTCTGCAGGGGTAGGTTCTGGAGCAGATTCTGTGGCTTCTTGTTGAGTTTCCCCCGAAGGCACTTCTTCACCAGCAGGAGCCTCGCCCTCTGCCGGAACAATGCCTTCTGATGGCGCCTCAGCTGCTTCTCCTTCCTTTTGCTCTGCTTCCTGTGTAGCCTCACCCTCTACTGGAGCCTCAGCACTCTCACCCTCCTTTTCTTGTCCTTCTGTTGTTGGATTTTCTTCATCCTTTTTTTCTTCCGTAACTTCTGTCTTCTCTGCCTCAGTTTCTGTAGGTGCTGTTGTAGTCTCTCCTGTTTGCTCTGTAGTTTGCTCTGTTGGCTTTTCTTCAGCTGAAATTATAGAGCACATTGAGTTTAACAATGTCATGAAATTACAATAGAAGTGTTACATATTTATCTAATATAGGTATATTAGCCAGTAGAAACAATACAGTGCCACACCAAGTAAATATATACAAGTGAATTCTACACACGATACCTCATACATATGATAATTTTTTGATCATCTGAAAATTTCTTCATATGTAACTGCAAAAAACTTGATCTTTGATTATTTTTTTTAATTTCCAGTTTTAACTGAAGGCAAGAAAGCAAAACATCAATCATGGTTATGAATCTGTTTGGGGTAGGGGTTGAGGGTTTGAGATGGAAGTTCTTAAATCGAAATTGTATACAAAGCAAGAGAAGAGGGTGCATTGAAAAAGAGATTATCACCAAGTAGCAATATTAAAATAAAGTATATGTGTCATGTCTTACTTAAACAAACAACAACATATTGAAATTCAGTATCAAAGCATAAATGCATACATTGTGTCTCAGCTGGAGGTGCATCAGTCGGAGCATCCTCTTGCGGAGTTTGTTCTTGTGTAGGTTCTGCTGGTGCTCCACCCTCTTCTGGGTTGTCTGTGGGAGGGGGAGCCTCTTGGTCTGCCATGATTTGGACTGAAAAATACATGGTACTTTGATGGTGCGTTTACATCCACAAATATTTCACTTGCACAATGTTCACGAACAACGACGGATGCCTCACCAACATTTATCATATGTTCACTTTATTGAATACAATATCTCACAAGTAAGCAGTAGCTTAAGTAGACCTAAAACAATTTTTTGATAAAACCGAAGCTGTGTCGTGATGAACAGATGAAGAGGCTGTTCTGAAAATAATACTACTTCGTGACTTTTAGGCCCTCTATGGCAGTTGATCAAAGTCAATGAAGTATGGAGAAATAAAGCACAAGGTGTATAATACCGATGATATATACAGCATTCGCAAATTCATTACTTTATCATACTTACATTATCTTTTCCCTCACAAGTCGTCCGCCATTTAGGTTGTTTTCATGGCGTCTAGGTAACCAGGCTATACCGAACTCATGGCTGTAATAGGAATTTTCATTGGACAAGAGAAAGATTTCAGCCAATCAGCATCGATGTACTATTCTTATTTCAATTTACTTCGAAGTCTGGACCTCAGAGTCCATAACAACAGGCTTCGACGGAGGCAAAGTAAAATTTATAGGATAAATATAAAGTGTACAAAAATAGTAAATATGTAGCGGCGATGCAGATATAGACACTTTATAAACAGGAGAAATTAGACTGTTTTCTACTTTGAGAAGGTGAGTTTAAAGCATTGTTTAGCTGTCCTTACACCAACACCCGCATAGTTTACAAATGGCTGACCAGGAGATTCTACTAACCTTATACTTTGAATCAGCGTAATGCATTGTGTTCTACTCTATCAAAAGAACCAGTTGCTTACTATAGTATCGTTTGTATACGTGATTTCGATTTCTTTCGATAGGGCCGTTTTCATCAAAATGCCATTATTGGAAAAGTTGTTGATAATGTCATGGTTGTGTAATTGTTTTACAATGAATGTATGACTCAAGCTCATTTGTGGCTCTTGTTCTAAATTATTGAGCATAGTCATAATGTTAGGCTCCACAGTGTTATGGAATAACTTTTCATTAAATTATGACACCACAGTGTTATGAAATAACACTATTAAATATACTGAAATATGGTATAAGGCCCTTGACATCACAGTTCATGAAATCTTATTATGACATCACAATTTTATTTTAGTTGATTGTATTTCGTAGTGTTCTTATATATACCGTAGGTATATGTATATAAGTTTTTTTTTTGTTATTTTATTTTAGATGCATTTTGGATTCGCCAATCTCATACCTTAAGCAGTATATATTTTAAAAAGATTTCTTTCGTGCATTCTATACTCAAGACATGGTTGACACATATTATTCAATATACATAATACCATATGTACCTATTTTGCTAAGTTAGTGTGCAAGTTATGTTTTGTCCAATAAAAAAAAAATCAAAGTACTTATTTAATAGTGAGAATGAATTGCAAAAAAAAAAATGGGAGACTTGGCACCATATATTCTGATAACATTAAACCAAAATAACTGTATTATTGATTGGCCACTAACACAGTCTACTGCTATGTAAGATTGTGTACAACAACATTATCAAATAGTTATGTGAGATAATTTTATACTTTAGTTGTTGATAAAATACAATATGTTATAAAGAAGACATAGAAAAACAACCACTTACTATACTGTTGCTTCATTTGAATAGAAAACTTGCTGTTTTGAATGCAGTAATTTACAAACAGTGAATCTCTAAGAAAGGTAAAAATATCAGTTTCATTGAAGGAAGTTAATTGCAAATTTCAATACATTGTGTAGTAGTAAATCATGGTTTGTATTTTGTAGAAATCATATATTGTACCCTTTTTTATATTACTATATAGTGATATACAATAAAAAATATATCCTATGCGAAACCTAGGTTAGATTAAAGTTTAGTAGTTGGCTCTTTGCCAGAGCTACTGTGTGTATATAGAAAAAACTTGATCATATCAGGCACCAAATGCGACAGAAAAAAATGTTTCTAAATTTCGTTGATTCATGCACAAGGTAGGCACATTTCTAAATTTTATTTTTTTCAATTTTGATTTGATTTGAGGTGATTGTGGCAGAGATTTTATTTCTTAAATCATAAAAGTACATTATAGCATTGGTTTAAATTTTGTCCTATCATTGTTCTACTGCGTAGTTAATTTTGGCTTGAGAAGTGGTAGATATGATCACAAAATCTGAATGTGAAGCAAAATATTTCTGGCTGTGATTTTACTGTGGTAGACATGTAATCTTACTGACAGAAATATGATGGATTTAGCTGTGGTAGACATGTAGTATTACTGTCAGAGATATGATAGATTTTATTGTCATATGATGTTACTGTCAGGGATATGAATTTTACTGTGGTAGACATGTAATATTACTCTAAGGGATATGGCAGATTTTACCATTGCAGATGTAAAAATATCACTGGCTGAGACATGGTTGATTTTACCAATGTAGACGTTGAATATCACTGGCTGAGACATGGTAGATTTTACCATTGTAGATGTAAAATATCACTGGCTGAGACATGGTAGATTTTACCATTGTAGACGTAGAATATCACTGGCTGAGACATGGTTGATTTTACCAATGTAGACGTTGAATATCACTGGCTGAGACATGGTAGATTTTACCATTGTAGATGTAAAATATCACTGACTGAGACATGGTAGATTTTACCATTGTAGATGTAAAATATCACTGGCTGAGACATGGTAGATTTTACCATTGTAGATGTAAAATATCACTGACTGAGACATGGTAGATTTTACCATTGTAGATGTAAAATATCACTGGCTGAGACATGGTAGATTTTACCATTGTAGATGTAAAATATCACTGGCTGAGACATGGTAGATTTTACCATTGTAGATGTAAAATATCACTGACTGAGACATGGTAGATTTTACCATTGTAGATGTAAAATATCACTGACTGAGACATGGTAGATTTTACCATTGTAGATGTAAAATATCACTGGCTGAGACATGGTAGATTTTACCATTGTAGATGTAAAATATCACTGGCTGAGACATGGTAGATTTTACCATTGTAGATGTAAAATATCACTGGCTGAGGTAGATTTTACCATGTAGATAAAATATCACTGATTTTACCATTGTAGATGTAAAATATCACAGACTGAGACATGGTAGATTTTACCATTGTAGATGTAAAATATCACTGACTGAGACATGGTAGATTTTACCATTGTAGATGTAAAATATCACTGGCTTAGACATGGTAGATTTTACCATTGTAGATGTAAAATATCACTGACTGAGACATGGTAGATTTTACCATTGTAGATGTAAAATATCACTGACTGAGACATGGTAGATTTTACCATTGTAGATGTAAAATATCACTGACTGAGACATGGTAGATTTTACCATTGTAGATGTAAAATATCACTGACTGAGACATGGTAGATTTTACCATTGTAGATGTAAAATATCACTGGCTGAGACATGGTAGATTTTACCATTGTAGATGTAAAATATCACTGGCTGAGACATGGTAGATTTTACCATTGTAGATGTAAAATATCACTGGCTGAGACATGGTAGATTTTACCATTGTAGATGTAAAATATCACTGGCTGAGACATGGTAAATTTCTTAGACATTGTTGTTTATGGCAGAGATATGTTTAACTATACAGTGATAGAAAAATGTATGTAATATTAGTGACACAAATATCGTGGATTTTACTGGGATAAAGGCAACAGTGAAATTTCTATCAGATTTTTTTTGTGTAATTCTATTGTACACTTTTCCAAGTAATTGCATCATTTATTATTTTCTTAAAAAATCACTTATTACAAAAATGTACAATAAATTGAGAAAAAACATATGTATTTTAAGTAGAAATATTTCAAGTTTCAAAACATTTTTTGTAGCATAAAGTGTTAAGGAAAAAGAACTTTACATAAATCAACCTTAACCATATATTTCTTTTGCAGATGGCAACATTAAATGGCTTACACACCACTAGGAATGGTACCACCAATGGGAATGTGGACCATGAGGAAACAAACGGTAGCAGTGCCCCCAAACGAAGGGGTAAAACACTTAGTGGTATCGGTCCTGATGGGTATCCCCGTTTACCTCCTATCAAGAAACCCATGTTGAAAATGGATGATCCATATGCAAACAGCAAATTGATGACATTCAGATTAGCCAATCACAAACAGGCATTGCTGATGCAGATTTTGTAAGTGTTTTATTTGATCATTTCAAATTAATTAGAAGTAATCAACTTTTCTTTAATGTTTTGTTAATTTTTCTCAATTGTCTAAGAAACACATACAAAATATGGTACCAGTACAACTAATATTTCTTAGAATTCCTCTATCTAAATGTTGAAAATTTGTCTTGATTGTTGTTAAACAATATTCTTGTTGGTTACATTGAACCAAATTAGAAAAAAGTAAAGAAATGATTTAGTCTTATCTTATGTATAGACTTGAATGTATTGTAAGATAACAATAGGAGTTAAGTGTAAACATGATTTGATTTGGAGAGAAATCTACTAAACACTTTATGTCCCTTCATTCACAGACATGATGATGCCATAAAGGCTTATGAAGAAACCAAAGAAATAAATGAAAAAGACACAGATCGGAAAGAAGATCCTGATTTTCCCCAAGAGGTATATAATCAGAATAAAATGAAATTCAAGAGAGTTTTTTTTTTTTGTTAAACTTTCCTGCTGTAGGTGTTGATACTGATCTAAAGTTTGATTGACAAATTGTTATGTATTTGCTGTTGGAAGGTTAAAAAATTGATACCATCATTTCAATCCTAAAATTTAATTAGTGTTTAAATGTAGTGATGATATATTGTAACCTTTATATTTTTTTCAAATTTTGGTTTTAATACAGTTCTATTTATTTTCTTTTTGGTGAAAATATATAGAAATATCCGTATCGCAAAAAATTTACACCTGATGATGAGTGTGGACGGAAATATTCTGTTTTACAGAAAACAGTTTCCATCATGATAATCTTCCAAGAAAGTTTTGTTGACATGTTTTTTCAGTATGATCCAGTAAATTGTCCTTATTAATTGTTGTCCCCACACAATGAATTTATAAAACTTATGTTTACATATTTTTATCTGTTTGTTGACAATTTCTACTATTCCTATAGCTTGACCCCAGAGCGGTTAGTCATCACTGGTCACATTATTTTGTGATAAACACACAATTTCAGCTTGTATCTGGCTTCAGTTTTTTCTGACATTCTTATGTTTCAGTTATGTAATATTTCAATAATGAAATAAGATTACAGAGACTGATTGATGTACACATATTATTTTTAAAAAATCTGATATTCGTAAAAATGACATCTCTTAGTTTCCAATAAATGAAAATCTATATTGAATTCAGAAAATTAAGAAGAAAATCATTAATTTGATTCTTCGACAAGAAAGAAAATCACCAAAGAAAAACACAAGCCAGAAATATGTTTTTGATGTTGTGATTTGATCACCGACATTTCTAGGATATGATACATCGTCCATTGCATGCTTCTATTTCACAAGACGTTTATGATAGATATTGTGTATCATTACACATTAGAAGTCACACCACAAACAACGCCTAAATACATCATACACAGTCATCTGTCAGAATGACTTTACACCTGATCAACTTTCTTAGAATTATAAAGCAACAGTTCAATTTATGAACAAAACTTGAATGATTTAATTGAAAAAGAAAAGAAAAATTTTAAAAAACATGCTTATAATATAAAAGATGGTCTTTTATATATAAAATATATATATATATCAGTCAAATCAAGTTTTATATATATATATATATAAATAAAAATGATTTTTGACAAAAGTAATTTTGCATAACTGTATTAGATGGGTGCATAGTAACTGTATATATAAATATATATATATATATTTATATATAAATATATATATATATATAAATTTTTTAAGATAATCAGAGAATTTTATTAAGATGTCAGTGATTTAAAACTATACACTCACCCAACAGATGATGAGCAAAGAAAGGAGGATTCGGGTATGTTATACCTCATATGATCGTGTTTCCCTAACATCATTGCCTTTGCTTACCATACCTTTTCTGGTCATATCTCATTAATATTGATGCTAACCATATCTTCTTCATGTATGGTGACATACATGTATATATATTGATATCTTAAACACTTACTAGACTAATGTTTGCTATACTTAGTGCTTATATAGAAATCTTTGCTAACATATATTTTGTGCAAGTCGTCTGTAGTCCAATTATGTCACATTTTCTTTCCGTTAAGAAATGTATATTTACCCAAATCCACAGATCATTAACCATGTTATGTAATTTGAGAAACAATTTAAGAAATCATATTCACGTCTGTGCCTATATTTTCTGCACTGTATAAATTTTTTGGTTAATGTGTACAACAGGGCGGAGTTATTTTCACATCTTAATTAAATGTCATGTTTAATATTATCACATTCCACATCATGTAAATTTTGTTATTGTCACTTATCATTTACATAGTTTTAACAAGTTAAGTAGATATGAACTGATCTGGTTATTATCAGTCAATGTCATATCAATGTGAAATTACCTAGAATTTCGGAAACAAATGTGACATTTCTGTTGAACTATTCTTTGGCTTATCTTATTAACTTCATCAACCAAGTTTTCAATCATGTCTGTCAATCATGTCTAATCTATCTAGTCCTATACCTCAATACTTAGTAAGAGCTTTTTGTTCATGTTTGATGCCAGATTTTGGTCAGAAATGAAAGGACAATGGGTGACATACAATACTCAACTCATCCATTTGATTATGCCATAACATTCATATAAAAGTTTTGTATTTTATTTCATCAGCTCCAAATTAACAGTAACCCTAATGTTTATCTCTATGGGTCCGAGGACTCTTGGTGCTGTCTTCAAGCTCTATTCACATTATCTCTTTTCCCTACAAACCTCAGTCTGTAATGTGTTAAAATTTGTGATCTTTTCTGATCCTTTGACTTTCAGAACTGCACACTTCTACCATCAGTTATCTTTTTAATAGTACTATTATAATTTTCAAAATTCAGACTTCTTTCATTTAGTGGTATATTACCATATTTATCCCCAAATTAACCTCCTCGCCTAGCATAAAAGTTTGGAATTAAAGTTTGGGGAAGGCTTATTTGTGAACTTCTTTAGTGTTCAAATTAATAATTCTGCAAAATTGAAGGAGGTTGATTTGTAGGCAGTAGCATATTTGTGTATAGATATGATGCTTGAATCTGCTTAAAATGTAATTTTTATGCTAAAGCATCAGACACTTTGTAGAAAACTTGAATGAGAGATTTTTTGGGGTTTAGAGAGTACTGGTGAGGTCACTTGATATTGTTTTGTTTATAAAACGGTATAAAATAAAGATCAAGAATCATTGTATACTATGTAATATAGGGGAGTTAAAATCTAGGGTACCTGATCAGTATACTATGTAATATAGGGGAGTTTAAATCTAGGGTGCCTGATCAGTATACTATGTAATATAGGGGAGTTTAATTCTAGGGTGCCTGATCAGGCGGTTATTGGTGCATAATTTAGTTGGATAACTTCCAACGACGTGGTCCTTTTTTATTTGACAATCTGCCAAATTTAACTTAAAACATTTAAACCATACATGTATTCAACACCTAAAATGTATAATGGAATTGTTAAACTTTCAATACAGGAACAGTTCAAATTTATTTGTAGAGGGCAAAGGATACAAAAAAAATCTTGGGTTTTTCATAGTTTAAACCAGAGAAAAATATTGGTACTTAAAATTTTGAATCTGGTATTTCAATGGTTTTTTTTTTTTTGGGGGGGGGTATTTTAACAGAATTTGTGGTAAAATTCTTCATCTAGTCACAATTTAATCCATTAATCTTTCACAATAAACCTGTCAACGTTAGCACACATGGTTTTTGTTAGTAATGTCTTGCAATGTTGTTTGCCAAAAATTTAGCATTTTAGTCACAAATGAACTATTGCTGTTGTTATCAGTGTGTACAGTGTCTGTCAGCTTCTTGGCAAGTACCTCTAAAGGATATGAGTTCATACTCATATACATTTTAAATGTATTCCCCATGTCAAAAAGTGGTTGTTGCAAATAATCTATTTTTAGGTTTTGAGCAAATTCTGACAAAATACATACAAATATTATGATTATATCAAAGAGTCAAAGTTCAATAGCTGCATTTTGAGATAGCCATTTCTGGAGTGGGTTTTGTGATTAGTTTCAGCATTTTTTTTTGTTTTATTAGCCCTTGTTGGTCAATGGCAAACGAGTGTTTAATCAATGATACTTGCTTAATTCAAGATTACTGAAATATTTTTACATCTCAAATATAGTTCCATCTTTTTCTGTACAGACATTTAAAAGCAATTTTTAGATATTAAAAGAATGTCACACAGTTATAACTGAGTCTCAACTGGATATCTGATGACAGTTTAGGTGATAACACTACCAAAAGGTCTGAGCAAGCTTTTTTCAACCTTGAAGTATTTAGGGGGTTGGAAATAAAGGAAACTTACTTATGATATTTGATGGCATCTTTCTCTTTATTTCCATCAATCACCATAAAATAATGCATTGATACTTGAAATTCCCCCACTGCTGACTATCAATTGCACAGGCCTGAAATTCCAAGGGCTAATAAAATTGTAATGTCATGTGACTGAAGTGACTAAAACTCAAGAAAAGTTTCGGATCTAACTCAAATGGTGGCTATTGAACATGTTCAAGACTTTAAAAAAAAATGGAATAAAAATTATATAAAGTATACAGATCCTATTCTTTATATACTGACATGATTTATTTGAATAACGAAGATAAAAAAGGGAAAGTGAAACTGAAATAATACATGTACTAGAATTATACTTCATATATAAAAAATGTTAGTAAAAATTATCAACATGTTTGTTTAGTAAGGTTTTATTGAAAAATGATAAAGAAAAAGAAAAAGTAAGCCTCTCCACTTCATCAATATATTATGTGATGTTTAGCTAAACTACCAGTACCTAAGAAAGTGTGTGGAGGCAGGGCCAGTGACTCCTATGCAGCCTGAGTGGAATGCTCAGATTCTGAAGATGGTCCCAGAACGTTTACAAAAGTCGGCCATGCTAAAGGAAGTTATCAAGGAACTCTTTGATGAGGTCAAGGTCGACTTCAAGTCCAGTATGAAAAAATCTATGGGTAAATACAACAATTATCATGTTTATAGATATCATACAGCTGATCAGTCTGGTTGGAGTCTTATTGGAATTTTTTTTAAGAGGTATTTTTTTCTTCTGTCTGTTTGTACTTTCTAATAGTTTTAATCCCAAAATTTCTGAGCAACTGAGTATCATAAAATGAAAATTCTTATGTATATGTAATGTGACATATATGTGTGTCACAGATTACGTACTGATCTACAAGGTCAAGGTCATAGCAAGAGGGTAAAAGTCAACTCAATACACCCCTTTTCCAAACTGTGAATAAAAAATGGACAGAATCACTCTACATTTCTGACGAACATCTCTTTTTTTTGTGACAAGTAAATATCACAATTTCAAAACATATTTGCTCACCCATGGTTTGAACACTTCTTAGCTATTTCTATCAATATTTTTGTTCTGTTTAAATTTGGTTTATTGCATTAGGGATGAAAATAAAATAGCAGTTAAGGATGCTGTTGCTTTTTTGTCCAAATGCTAATGAGCCTAAGATCTATCAATTGAATATCATTAACTATCAGAAAAACAGTTTACTCTCAAACTGCTTCATCCATTTACCTGTCAGTAAATATATTTCTCTGCTCTTCTAACAGTACAACATGTACTGGTCAAGCCTGAGGTCAAGGGACTGGACAATGAGGAGGCTGGACCCCCACCACAGGAACCAAGGTCAGAGCAAATTAATAGATACTTATTACATTAAAAGTTCTTGTACAAAATCAATTTGAAATGTTTTTCAATTGCTCTTCACATAATAACAAAATGGAAACTGTCACCTGGAAATTTGTTTATAATTTTGTGAAAAATGTGCAAGAGTGAAATTTCCTAAAATTCTTTTAAAATATTCATGATTTTGATTGTCTCAATTAATTTCTGTAATTTGTGGATTAAAAAACACCGAAAGCCATCATCAGAAATGGAATCAATGAGTTTAAAGGACTATTATGAGAGATGAAAGAAACTTACTGGACCATGTTTTCATTGACAGTGGACTAGATTTCTCTCGTCCTTGGCATGAGAGTTATGTCCAGTCCAAGGAGGTCATTCTGGAAAACTTGCATGTCTTACACCCCTCTATGCAGACCGTTCTAAACATGTGTCAAACAACCCTTGGGAACCTCATCCTGGTGGACTGCTCCAACATGAGGTAAAACACACATGGAGTTGTTGCCTGACAAGGCTGAAACCTGTTGCTGTTAATATTCATGATCCCTATGTTTTTTTTGCAATGCTAGTGATTTATCTACTTCAATAGTATTTCATTGATACTATAAAATGAGTGGAAACCATGAAAAATAAATCAACTATATGTAGAGCACAGACCTCTTTCAAAATTGTTGTTGGAGTCAGTTTTAGATAATAGGTTGTAGGTTACTTTTATTAATCACAATGAACATATTATTCAGATACCTTCCCCATATAACATTCAAAATTGCCTTTTAATGTTAAATTATATATCTTGTTTTTTTTTAAGACTGTACAATTCTGTAGGCTTTTTGAATCAAGAGTACCCACAAAATCAATGGAAAGAACTCTCCCACAAAATGTATGATTTACAGAACCTTAGTTTTGCCCCATGACAACATTGTCCTTAGTTTAGTGTTTAATGTACTGTTCCTTTTCAGAGCACGTGGAGCAGTGGAGTTTGAATCCATGAAAAATAATATCCAACTTGACCTTGAAAAAATGGAGGACAAACTTATGCACAGGTAAATGTGACTTAGTTATTAATTAAAATTGGATTAATAGGGAACAATAGATATGTTTTAACCTATTTTGAAAAATCAAGAAAAGTAGAAAAATTATTTTTCCAAAAATTGTATTTAAACTTATATTTATAACTATATATAAAATTTATATTATTTGGCTCCTTGTCAGTCTCAATTAAAAATGTGACCTTTCTTTATAGCTGGTTTCCAACCATCATCAATGTGTTTGCTGACAAAGTGACATTTGTTCCTCCAAAGGCAGAGAAAACCGACTCCTTTTACAGCAGTGTGACTACCCTAATATCTAACCAGGTAAAGAATTGTGATATCTAAACTAGATGTTTTAAGAATTTTCTAAGATTTGATTACTGTGTTTTAAAATTACCTGTAATAATGTTCTGAGATTATTGTTTTTTTTTTGTTTGAAAGAAAAAATGTTCCAGAATAAGTGAGATTGTTGTCACTTCAGATTTATTTTTATGTCCTTTTGCGAAATGTGTGTAACATTAGGTATCATATGTCTGTCTGTCAATAGGACTGTTAGAGATTGTAATTAGTTCTGATACCACCAATCCCTCACTAGTCATTCAACTTCACATACAGATTTATAGGAACACTTCACCACAACACATGAAGGCCACTCTAATTCAGTATTTTCTGTTTCAATGAATTTGGTTTAACTTTGTGTCGTTCTCAATTTGCATGAAGTCTAACTCATTTTGCCTGAAAGCGGGATGTAAAACACATATATGATTTTCATCATTTTTAAGTATTTTTTCTTTTATATACATTATATTTATATTTTGTTTCAGCTCAAAAATCTACTGGAGCGTACAGTCCATGCATTTGTTGACCTGTTCAATCCAAATGACAAATCACACCTCCCCCAAATGAAAATGGAGCTGACTTTTGATGACCAAAAGATGCAGTTTTATCCTCCTAAGGAAGACTTGGAGGAAACTGTTCTGTTTGTAGTCAAGCAAGTTTGTAAGACCATGCAGCAGGTACCAACAGTCCAGTCTTGGCTAGCAGGGGGCAGCACTGTCAACCACACTGATGTTACAATTGCGAAACACATTCTGGATGCAGCCAACCAGAAACTTAAGGAGGCTGTCAAGCTGAATTTTGAGGCACCCCAAGCACATTTGGAGTCGTTTAGTAAGTTACCTCTCACATATGTGATATTGAGAAGTATTGTCTATAACAGTAATATCTAGAAGTTATCATAATGTTCTGTGTGTCTAGAACAGTAATATCTAGAAGTTATCATAATGTTCTGTGTGTCTATAACAGTAATATCTAGAAGTTCTTGGTGTTTTACCTAGTTATTTGAATTAAGTTTGACTACTACTGAAGTACTGTACTAATCAATGACAGAAGTTAATTAATTGAATTTTGGCGTGATTCCTGTGTACTGTTGGAGATGAAAATTACCACCTTATAAACAAAACTGAACACTTAAAGCAATGCTGAATTTTTTCCATTCCAGTTCAGCGTTATGACTACATCGTCAATGGCGAGGCTCTTGCTGAAATCCACGAATATGTGAAGCACGAGCACACCTTTGCCGAATACCAAGAGGTAGGTCTATATGGAATGGTTGTGAAAACTTAACCTGTATCTTATTTACGAAATGGAAATATCATGTTTTTAACAGAAAATGTTCTTCAGCATTCAGAACCTTAACTGTCTGTGGAAAATGATGTGAAATGTTTGTTATACAATAGTGAATGGTAAAAAGTTCTGACTTTGTAATACAACAAAAATATAAAAAGTCAAGGTCAATGTCCCATAAAATGGCAGTGACATGTCCAATGATAATTGTTCGTATGCTTGAACTGGAATCAGTAATATATGACATAAATGCCTTGTCAATTGTAGGGTGAATTTTTGTCAGCTAAATTTCAGACTTATCAAATGATATAGATATATCTATTCGTAACTTTTGTATAAAAAATTTTGTTGTCATTTCTAAACAGCAAATCGAGAAGTATCGAAATGTAGCACGTGAGATTATGGGTTTGCCAAGTATTGAGCACTTTGATATGATCCGCCTTGACTGCGAGGATCTCAAGCGAGGTCTTGCTGAGGCTGCTAGGGGTCTGGCTGATGAACTTCTGAAGAAGGTGTCCAATGATCACAGGCAGGAAAACATGAGGTCAGTGTTTGAAAAAGTGCCTTTTTAATCCTCAATGTAACTAAACTAAGTAAAAATAACAAAAAATAAATTTGTCGTTTGACTTTCTAGAAAGTGTCTCATATTCTAATGATTTCATTATCAACTACCTAAAAATATAGCTTTCTTAAATATCAGAATATTGACAGACAAATTTTATATGATGTAAACACTGACAAACTCATTTGGTTGCAGTATTTGCCAAGAGTTCACAACAATGAGAGACCGTGCCCTACAGGACCCAGAGACCACAGAACAACTGATGGACATGATGACGTTCATAGGCAATGCCAGAACTGTTGGAATGGTTGACTTGAACACACGGATAGCTGATTCTAAAAACAGGCTGGCTTACCTTATTGATGTGTACATGTTTCCACCTGAAGATATCAACCTCAACTGTGAGGTGCTCACCTGGCCGAAACGTATCAACCCAGTTTTTGACGACCACGATGATGTAAGAATGGAATGCTTCATGATGTGATAAAACAAATCTTAATGTACCTTGTTTTCCTGAAGATGTTTCATTATCATCAAGTACTTGGACAGGATCTTTGATCTTTAACAATTACTCAAAAATGTATATGAATTTTTACTGTGAAATTATCAGAAATTTTGACCATATGTTTATGGATTGATTTGACCTTCAACCTGTATGTATGATATGTTTAACCCACACCATGAATTCATGTCTCATTTAGACTAAACTCTAACCAGTTTTTAATCTTTACCTTATAGTCATTAATATGCATGACCTTTAACCCTTTATTTATATATGTATGACCTTTAACTCCTGACTGTATTTGATATTGACCTTGTTCTCATGAACATGCATTACCTTGTTAGCTGGTGGAACAGTCTAAGATCAGTGGTGAAAAGCAACTGTTAGAGAAACGAGAGAAGGTAATACTGGAGCTGGAGAAATTACGTCAGCGTGTGGATGAGTTTAACGACTATGGAGAGTTGGACATGATGCAGCAGTATGTTCAAGATGTCCGTCTCGTACAGAAACGTCTGGCTGACGTCACTGAACAGATCACTTGGATCAACAAGGTATGGCTGTTAGAACGAGTTAGTGACAACCATTCAAATCACAATGACCTTCAGCAAACTGAACCTAAGACTCTCAATGCATGAAGATGAATTAATTTTTTATGCTTCATATTCAATTTCCAAGGCTTGCCATGATTGTGGTGCCTTTATGTTTTTGAGGTAATACTTAGATGATGTCTTTCTTGTAAAATAATTGAGCTTTGAAATGCCAGTTGTGCTATCTCTCTGAGTTTAGATTTGAATAAATTTTGCTTTTTTGTCAAACTGTTGATATAAGAGGATGTAACTGTTTTGTAGGAGGAGCTCCTGTTTAAGTATCCTGTTTCGACCTACCCAGATGTAGATGACATCACAAGTGCTGTGGATCCATTCCAGAGATTATTCAATGTGGTACTACGCTGGCAAAAAGCAGAGAAAAAGTAGGGAAAAATTCAAAATATTGATATCTAAATCATATTTACCCTTGAAACATATTCTGGAAAGAAAAGTGATATTAAATCAAATGTTTAATGATTCTTGAGGATAGGGATATGATATTAACATGATTAAAATAATATTAAAACTGACAGCAGGCCATCTACTTTAAATATATTGTATATTAAGTTTGGGGGATTCAAACTTAAGCACATTTCAATCAATAAGGCTTGTATTGGAACATATTCCCACTGTCACTGCTTTGTCCACAGGTGGATGGATGGCTCTTTCCTGGATCTGGATGCAGAGGTAGTTGATGCTGAGGTTGATGAGTACAACAGAGAGTTGTACAAGATTCAAAAAGTGTTCAACACACGCCTGAAGAAGCTACAGATTGAGGTCGACGACCGTAACAGAGACAGAAAGAAACGTCGACGTGGTGCAGAGGAAAGTGGTGAGGAGATCAAACCTGAAGACCAAGACGAAGTTTTACACCCACCACAGGCTGTGACTGTGTGTGCCAATGTCATGGACAGCATGAGGGATTTTAAGGTCAGAATCATATACAACAGGATCTTTATTACTACTTAAATCTTTAAAAAAACTGAAACGGTTGGAAAAATCTCACTTGATGCTTATACAGAAACATTTATTGATGGAAATTTTAGAATTTTTATGAATGTTAACCTACAGGTCATTGATAGTTCACACTAATATGATTAAATATGGTTTTGACAAGTCAATATTCCAAAAGTTTCAATAAAGAAAATTGGTGTTCTCAACCTAACAGGTGTAGTGTCATTTACTTGTAGTAAAACAACAAAATTTTCAGTCTTTATCTTCGACTCACTATGTATCTTTAATTACCAGTTATGTTATTGTATAAAGTAAGACATGATAAAATGATGGTGACAAATTCTTGAGTCAGAATTTGTATGCTAATTTCTATGATCTTGTTTGCAGGATGTGATCCCAGTGATCAGCATTATGTGTAACAGAGGTATGAGAGCTCGCCATTGGAAGGATATGTCTGATATTGCTGGCTTTGATCTAACGCCTAACTCTGGAACAACACTCCGAAAAGTCCTCAAATTTGAGCTTGATTCACACATGGAGAAGTTTGAAGGGATCAGTGCTGCAGCCACCAAAGTAAGTGAAAATTTTCCCAAACATCTGTCACTTCTTACTTACATGCATGTTTGCCTAAAATGAAAATATGAAAAAAATCATCTTGGTTTTGAAAGACATGAAAACAATTTGTAAACATAGATACTGTATGAAGCTTAATGAAAATAATTCTATTTTTCCTTTGATATTTCTAGTTTAATTTTTGTCAGTGGCTGTCTGAATTTCATTTTGAATGACATAACATATTTCAGTGAATTTATTAAATAGAAATTTTAGCAATGTCTTATTGTTGATGGTACCGTATATGTATTGAAATGAGTGTTTTTGTTGACATATTTGTGCTTCAGTTACTCAAATCATTATAAATATGCAAATTAGATAATTGAGAAGCAAGATATTAACAGGCTCATTGCATTTTGATGGATAAAGAAATTATATTTTGATTGCCCTGATAGGAACACTCCCTGGAGAAAGCCATGGTGAAGATGATGGAGGATTGGGATGCTGTAGACTTCAATCTTATCGCCTATCGAGACACGGGTATAAGCATTTTGTCCTCCGTTGATGATATTCAGACCATTCTTGACGATCAGATTGTAAAGACACAGACAATGCGAGGCTCACCATTCATCAAACCATTTGAAAAGGAAATCAAGGTAAGTGGGCAGTTCACAGACTATATAACATTACAGTGAACTTTATATAGTCTGACACGTTATATAAACAGACCTTCACTTTAAAATGTCTAAATTTCTGCATTACTTCATTACATTTCATTATAGACTTTTCAAACCCCTGTATAATGTGGACATCTGTAAAAACCAGACCTTCAGTTAGGCCCCACTGTACACATTTCTGTGTAACCCTGTATATTCTGGACACCTAACTTTTATGTAAGATATTTTATATACTGACTCATGAATTATGTAAAGCTGATGTGTTGATTAAATAAAACTGTCATTTATTGGTTGGTTTGTAGGAGTGGGAGGAGCGTCTGATCCGTATCCAGGATACCACAGATGAGTGGTTGAAGGTGCAGGCTCAATGGCTGTATCTGGAGCCAATCTTCTCCTCAGAAGACATTATGAGTCAGATGCCCGAGGAGGGCCGTCTCTTCACCATTGTTGACAAGAACTGGAAAGACATTATGAAACATACAGTCAAGGATCCCAAGGTGATCACCATATTAAGGGGCAATAACTCAGTTCTCGATCAGATCACCATGTTGAGTGGGAGTTACACAGATCTCCATCAGATCAGAGTATTGAGGGGCAGTGACCCTTTCCATCAGTTCACAATATTGTGGGGAAGTAACAAAGTTCTCCATCAGTTCAAAGTATTGAGGGGCAGTAACTCAGTTCTCCATTAGTTCACAATATTGTGGGGAAGTAAATCAGTTCTCCATCAGTTCACAGTATTGTGGGGAAGTAACTCAGTTCTCCATCAGTTCACAGTATTGAGGGGCAGTGACTAAGTTCTCCATCAGTTCACAATATTGTGGGGAAGTAAATCAGTTCTCCATCAGTTCAAAGTATTGAGGGGCAGTAACTCAGTTCTCCATTAGTTCACAATATTGTGGGGAAGTAACTAAGTTCTCCATCAGTTCACAGTATTGTGGGGAAGTAACTCAGTTCTCCATCAGTTCACAGTATTGAGGGGCAGTGACTAAGTTCTCCATCAGTTCACAATATTGTGGGGAAGTAAATCAGTTCTCCATCAGTTCAAAGTATTGAGGGGCAGTAACTCAGTTCTCCATTAGTTCACAATATTGAGTGGCAGTAACTCAGTTCTCCATCAGTTCACAGTATCGAGGGGCAGTAACTCAGTTCTCCATCAGTTCACAATTTTGAGGGGCAGTAACTCAGTTCTCCATCAGTTCACAATATTGAGGAGCAGTAACTCAGTTCTCCATTAGTTCACAATATTGAGTGGCAGTAACTCAGTTCTCCATCGGTTCACAGTATTAAGGGGCAGTAACTCAGTTCTCCATCAGTTCACAATTTTGAGGGGCAGTAACTCAGTTCTCCATCAGTTCACAGTATCAAGGGGCAGTAACTCAGTTCTCTATCAGTTCACAGTATTGAGGGGCAGTAACTCAGTTCTCCATCAGATCACATCAAGCCATATCATAGTTAAATAGATTGTATCATTTTATAATTCAGTGGTAGAATTTTATAATTTAAGAGTAGAATTTCATAATTTTAGTTGTTGTAGAAATCTCTAATTTACAATAGTTGATGGACCTGATTGATCTGTTTCTGTAATCTGGATGTACTACTATATAAACTGATAAATAGTTTGTAACATTTCATGTTAGAAAAGTCACTTACAAAAGCATTGATCTTAAAGAAAATTTAATGGCTTGTTTTCTATTTCAATAGGTACTTGTTGCTACGAATATGCCAGGACTTCTAGAAAAGTTGATAGACAGCAACGGTCTTCTAGATAAAATCAACAAAGGACTGAATGCATACCTAGAGAAAAAACGTCTGTTCTTCCCTAGATTCTTCTTTCTTTCCAACGATGAAATGTTAGAAATCTTGTCAGAAACAAAAGATCCGACTCGCGTACAACCTCATCTGAAAAAATGCTTTGAGGGAATTGCTAAGCTTCAGTTTGACAGCAAACTTGACATTCATGCCCTGTTCAGTAGTGAGGGTGAAAAAATCACACTTATTACGCCAATATCCACAAGCGAGGCTCGAGGTGCTGTGGAAAAATGGCTGCTGCAAGTGGAAGAGATTATGCTGAAGTCAATCAGGGCTGTGTGTGCAGATGCCATGGTGGTAAGAATCCTTACCCTTTATATTTCATGTGGGGCATATTAATTAAGCATTGTTTTCAAAATAAAGTCAGGTGTAGAAAACACATTCCATTCTATGTAAAGGATAACTTTGAACATTTCAAGTTGGCAAAGTCTATGGCTGTGAAATCATAGATATTTTTTTATTAAAATTTTGAATTTGTTAGGAAAATTTTGTCATGAAAAATTTTGTTTGAAATTTTGTTATTAGTAGTTTTATCAAGAGAATTGTTGTTTTACACTCCATACAGCTTATCAGTGAATACTCATAGGCAATGCAGAGATTATCATAGGCTCTCTTATTATTTGTCACATCCAGTAATTCTTAAAATTTTTAAAGCCCTAAGTAGCACTAAAAGGCATGATTCAACAAACAGTCTTATTATGGTAGTCACTAATTTTAGATTCATTATGAACTTGAAATATGAAAATTGAATAGAATTTGTCTGAGATATTTTCAGAACTGTAAAAGTTTTTGTGTTTTTAAACAGAGTCTTTATCTTGTTTGACTACATAAGATTGATTTTGTGCTTTTGTTTCAGGCTTATGCTAATGATGCCCGTGTTGATTGGGTGCGAGAATGGCCAGGACAGATTGTTCTGTGTGCTTCTCAGGCCTATTGGACCCGTGAGGTCCATGAAGCCATTCCTGGGGGTCCTGAGGGGCTCAAAGACTACTGGAATATGCTGCAGAAACAACTCAATGATATTGTCATTTTGGTGCGAGGAAAACTCTCAAAACAGATCAGAACATCTCTAGGAGCCCTTGTTGTGATAGACGTACATGCTCGTGACTCTGTTCTTGAAATGGCAGAAAAAGGTACAAAGTAATGTTTATTGTGACAGATACTTTTTCCAACTTTTTTTCTGTTTTACTTGGACGAAAAATCAGCTTTAATTAAGGAATAGACAAAATACAAAAACTTACATTTAATTTTTTTGCTCTTTTAGGTGTTTCCTCAGAAAACGATTTTAACTGGCTTGCCCAGTTGCGTTACTATTGGGAAGATGAGAACATGCGTGTAAGAATCACCAATGCTACTGTAAAGTATGCCTATGAGTACCTTGGCAATACTGGACGTCTTGTCATCACTCCCCTCACTGACAGATGCTATAGGACCCTGGTAGGGGCTTTCCACCTCAACCTCAATGGAGCTCCTGAAGGGCCTGCAGGCACTGGTAAAACAGAGACCACGAAGGATCTGGCCAAGGCTCTGGCTGTACAATGTGTTGTGTTCAACTGCTCTGATGGTCTCGACTATATTGCCATGGGCAAGGTTTGAAAATTTGTCAACTTCCTCTCATCTATCTAGTAATACTGAGCAGATTAAACAATAAAGTTTTAAGGCTTAGTTTCCCAAATCCAAACCATTGATTTCTTTGGGGTAAAATCACTAGCATTCATTTTTTATTTAGAAAGAGACCTCTCTATTACAGTCTCTCTTCCTGGCATGTTCATAACACCATCTATATACCTTGTTAGACTGGAATGATATTTCAACAAAATAATTATGATTGAGTTACTTCTGAATGTTCATTTGATACAGTTGAAGTCATCACAGCATCTACTGTAATTTCAGTTTTTCAAAGGACTGGCAGCTGCAGGAGCCTGGGCATGTTTTGATGAGTTCAACAGGATTGACCTGGAAGTGTTATCTGTTATTGCTCAACAGGTTTGGTTTTTTCTGTCTTTTGACATGCCACCATAGAACAATAAGAATAGATGATGACTGATAGAAATCAGCCACATATTATAGTTTACCAGTGGAACATGAATTTTTTGCTTAATCACGACAAACACTCAAAAAAATTTAGTTTTTGAAAATAATGCAAAATTTCTATTTACCAACTTCTTTCTATTATGGAATTCTTAACAAATGAATTAGTCACAACATTTTTTTGTTTTTTGAAGCCTAATAGCAAGACTTCTCTCTGTATCAGCCCTGTTATTTGGTACCATGGGTGTCTGGTTTAAACAGAATCCACAGTGTACAATATTATATAACTGGACTTCATTTATATCTTTTGTAAGATATATCGGGGGGAATAAAGGGTTGCATAATTCAATGCACGTTTTGGATTCTTGCTTTTTAAAACATTTCTTCAAAGATTCAACTTTTTGATAAAGATGGCTGCAAGGCTTAAAGAAAATGTCAGTGATAGCTAAATTATTTGACATGTTGATTTCATATACATGTTATATATATGTATAATTAAAAGATGAAATCAACAAGGTAGTTTGCTAACATTTTCAGACCTAACAGCCATCTTCAGGTGCTTGTTTTGTCTATGATTATATACGCCTTGTTCCTGAGATTTGCATGTATGAAAAAGTTACTTGTTCTACAAAGCTTTGTGTTTAATACAAACTGCAAGGAAAAAAATACATTTGATTCTCTTTATTACTCTTTCAGATTTTGTGCATCATTCGTGCTGTGCAAGCTCATGTGGACACATTTGTATTTGAGGGCACAGAGCTGAACCTGAATCCAAACTGTTATGTTTGTATCACCATGAATCCTGGTTATGCTGGCCGATCTGAACTGCCTGACAATCTGAAAGTCCTGTTCCGAACAGTGGCTATGATGGTACCTGACTATGCTATGATTGCTGAGATTTCTCTATACTCGTTTGGATTCCAGAATGCCAGAAATTTGTCAGTGAAAATTGTGACAGTATACAGGTTGTGTTCAGAGCAGCTGTCCTCACAATTTCACTACGATTATGGAATGAGAGCTGTCAAAGCTGTGTTATCTGCAGCCGGAAACCTTAAACTTCGATTTCCAGATGAGAATGAAGATATTCTTGTAAGTATTTGTTTATGGTTAATATCCCTTTACTTACATATAGATTTGCAGTTTATCCAGGTTTATCATTTAATACAGCCGTTAGTTATTTTCTCTATATGTGTATGAATCACATATTTATTATATGCACTACATGTCAGAGTTGAATTGCATGGAACAAAAACACCAAGCAGCTGTGACATCAGTGGCCACTTTAAACTCATCCCTTTAAAAAATTGTTTTAATCTTATGGAGCTTTATGTGTACCTAAATTGTAGTTATATTCTTTAATTTCAATTTCATTTTAAATTTTTGAATTGAAAGTAGGCATATATCAAAATTTATTTTGAACTTTCAGTTGCTGCGGTCCATCATTGATGTCAACTTACCAAAGTTCTTGGCTCATGACATTCCACTTTTCAATGGTATCATCTCTGATCTGTTCCCTGGGCTGTCCCTTCCGGAGGCAGACTATGATGTGTTTGTGGATGCAATGAAGACAATCTGCGCCAAAAAGAATCTTCAGTTTGTGGACTTCTTCAGGGAGAAAATCATTCAAACTTATGAGATGATGATCGTCCGACACGGGTAAAATAAAAATACAAAATCTTTTCCTATTCTGTCTTTTCTTTTCATAAATTTGCATGAGAAGTTATCACTTTACATTTATCCAGAACTATGTGATTTATGCTACATCATGTTTATAAATTCATTTAATAAAGTGCAACTCCTTAAGACATATAATGGATTTAAATCCATGGATTAAATGACCATCATTAAGCTCAAATTTTGAAATTATTGAAAATAAGCAACAACCTTGGAAAGAGCAACTATTAAAATTGTTTAGAAATACCTATTAAAATCCTATTAATTCACATTATGCATGTTAGCAGGGACATTCCCATCTAATAGACAATTTTAAGTCTAATAATTTCTCTAATTTTTGTGCCTTTATGACCTGATCCACTAGTTAAGCTGAGGAATGATTCTGGGTCTAGTTAAACCAATAACATTTCACAGTGATGGTAATATCCATTTTTCCTTTTTCAGTTTCATGTTGGTGGGAGAACCATTTGGTTGCAAGACAAAGGTGATAGAAACGTTGAGTGAGGGGATGACCCTTTTGTTTGAGCAAGGGGTTGAAGATTACAACAAAGTCTTCTTTCGTGTCATCAACCCGAAGGCTATCACCATGGGTCAGCTGTATGGTCAGTTCGATCCTGTATCCCACGAGTGGACAGATGGTATTATTGCCAACACTTTCCGAGAGTTTGCATCCACGGACACTCCTGACAGAAAGTGGGTCATTTTTGATGGACCAATTGATGCCTTGTGGATTGAAAACATGAACACTGTACTGGATGACAACAAGAAACTCTGTCTGATGAGTGGTGAGATTATCCAGATGTCAAATGAGATGAGTCTGATCTTTGAGACCATGGATCTCTCACAGGCCTCGGTAAGTTAGTGTGAATGTTTACAGATCTCTCACAGGCCTCGGTAAGTTTGTGTGAATGTTTACAGGTCTCTCACAGGCCTCGGTAAGTTAGTGTGAATGTTTACAGGTCTCTCACAGGCCTCGGTAAGTTTGTGTGAATGTTTACAGATCTCTCACAGGCCTCGGTAAGTTTGTGTGAATGTTTACAGATCTCTCACAAGCCATGGTTAGCTTGTGGTCTCTCACAAATAAAAAAAATTTAGTATCAAAGTGCTGATAATCAGAGGATAAACTCCAATATCTTACAGTGCCAGGATAATTGATGTCTGTTCTCTAGGCGATGTCTTCTTTCATTGATAGTATTGTTGTTCCTTTTCTTACTTGATCTCTGGTTTTAGGCACTATTGAATTTGAAAAGCCTACAGGCTTTTGATTTTATAAAAAAAGTGGAGATTATATTTGGGACTCTTCAATTATTATTTCAATATTGGAGATCTTATTTTTTTTTTTTAAATATAAGGACATCCATTGTCCATGTTTGCATATGAAATATACATCATATGAATAGGTTTATTTGTCAATGAAAGTACATTTTATCTCCCAGCCGGCGACTGTGAGTAGGTGTGGTATGGTGTACCTAGAGCCATCTACCCTTGGTTGGCGACCCATTATGAGGTCCTGGATCAACACTTTCACTGGAGCAATGGAGAGGGAAGGTGCAGAAGTGATTGAGGCCATGTTTGAGTGGCTAGTAGATCCTTGCCTGGAATTTGTCCGTAAAAACACAAAGGTGAGAATTTGTAAATTTGAAATGAAAAACAGACAGAAAAATGAAGTTATTGGAGGATTTATTTTTTCTGAAATATGACAGATGGCATCTCATCTTAAAATTATTTTTCACAATATCATGCCCAATCTCCATAATGATTGTGCATATATTGTTGCCTATGTTTGTCTGTATAAAAACCGTTGTTGTTGCTGTACATAATGCAATTGCCCTTTAATTTGTCATCAAACTATACATATGTTACCTAGTCCTTTTAAAGTTTTTAAATCAAAGTCAATATCTAGTTCACCATCACTCAAAGTAGAATCAAACTTGGTTTTGTAATGATTGAAGTAGGTTGGAAACATGGCCCCAGATTCACTGAAATTCTTAAGTATGCTAAAATTTTAAATTAGTGAACCACCAATGAAAAATGATAGTTCACACTTTTACATATCTTCTGATTGGCTGTTCTTAAACTTGAAAATGAAAATGTACTTCAGAATTTTTGTGGAATCTGCGCCTGGAACTGAAATGATTGAAGTAGGTTTTGTCCCCGGTACTGCATTGTTTACGATAACTGTTTTTGATTTATGAAGGAGTACATCGGATCTAAGGAGTCTAACCAGGTGCGCTCCCTCATGTATCTCGTTGATATGTTGATGGCTGACCCCCTTGGTCAACCAGACGTGGACGAAAATAGGCACCTGAAAACATGGATCATTGTGAGTAATTCGTCCATCTGTGATGATTCTATAGACCATCTCTGATTTTATTTAACTGACCATCACTTATTTGTCAAACATTGTGTTTCTAATATCCATTTGAAATACTTGTATTTCTTAAATAAAATGGGATTATTGCATGTTTCAGAAGAAGTTCTCAGCTAAATAATTTTCTTTTTTGTTCTCTTCTAAATTATATTACAGGTAGAATATAACATAAAATCAAACCTGCCTGTCGCTATGGAATTTTGCTAACTACTTATAAATTACCAATGTAAGACATATATATTCAAAAGCCATTTGAATTCTCATAATCACTAAGAAATATACATATAATGATGGACCTTAATACTATCAAATTATGAAGAATTAAGAGAAATGGAAAAAGAATAAAGTTTTATGAATTACATTTATTATGAATGCAGGATGAAACTCACTTGTTTGTAGGTATATTGGGTTGAAAAATATTGTTATTTAAAGGTTGACTTTCCCGTTTCAGTCAACAGTACTCTTTTCCATCCCCTGGTCCATTGCTGCATGTGTGGATGTAGATGGAAGAGAGAAGTTTGATGCCTTTTACAAAGACATAGTGGCCAGTAAGAATGATAATCATCCATTGCCAAAAGTTATTGGGAAGTTGGATGTACCTCTGCCTACTGAACAAAATATCTACAATGTCTTCTTTGAGGTTAGTTTGTTGTTGTGGAAAATTCTATTCATGTGACATCACGTTTGAGTAAGATTTTAATTTGTAGTGATTTTCTAGATGTTATTTGAAGCTATATCTATAAATCAACTTCTGCCCTATGATAATTGTTCTCGTTTGTTTTCTCCAGCAAAAAGCTCGAGGCTTGTGGAGGCCGTGGCTTGACTTGAATAAAACTCTGGATACCCAGAATAAGAAGATTCGTGAAATGCTGGTCCCCACCATTGATACCGCTCGTTACAACTTCCTTATGAACCTCTGTATTGAGCATGGCAGGTAAAATCCCAAAATACCAAGTGTAATTAAAAAACTCAAAACTTTAATTTCATCGACACAACTCCGTGGCTGAAACCATATCTAGACAGTCAACTGCCAACCTGATTTTTATTCTACAGCACGTTTTCCTTTTTCTCCCTTTGGTATTCTGTCTGATTTTTTTATGCACATGTTTTGTTTTTCTCCAGGGCAATACTCTTTGTGGGGCCCACTGGTACTGGTAAAAGCGTTTATGTTCAGGAGAAACTGATGAACAACTTGTCCAAGGACAAATTCCTGCCTGCCTTTGTAAACTTCTCTGCACAGACCAGTGCTAACCAAACACAGGTAGGTGTCCAATGAAATCATTGCCTGTGTTTAAGTATAGGTGTATAATGTTGAAGAGATCTTTTAAAGAATGGGTCACTCCTGTGTAATGTAGACCGATTTATCTCATGACTTTGTATTTCTACATCACACAGACAATGGAGTAATCAATTATTTCTTTCAAACTCTGTATGTGTGAAATCAATGCATAGTACTATTTGTCATTTTTAATGGCACATGGAATGTATAATAAGATTGATGGCATGGTACTATTGTGATGTTGTTGTGCTGTCTGAACTGATGACACATGATGATTCCTGTCTGAACTAAAAACTCAGGATGATTCTCACGTTGAAATATTTGAAAAATGGAACAAATAATCTTTGTTTGTATATCAGTGAGATGACGTCGTTGAATAACATGTATTTGTCTGTTGGTAGAATGTAGGGGGTTTAACTTTTGTCATATTCATTCTGAAAACCAGACCCTTGTTATTTGGATGTGTCAGTAGACCTGCTATATTTTCTTGTCTTGACATGACAGACTTCTTTTCCTGATCTGACCATTGTTAGGGCTCTTTCAGTGAAATATTTACCCCATTAGGAGACTCCAGAGTTGTCAGATATGGATTAACTGAAGAAGTGATTAATTCAGTAGGTAATATATGACAAGCAAAATGTTTTTCAGCATTTGCACTAAATAAAATTCATTTATGACTCAGAGATTCCCATGGGTGAGACATTTTTCCTTAATTGTGTGATAAATCTCAATCTGACCACTGGTTCCTTGTATGTCCTACAGAACATCATCATGTCCAGGCTGGACAGACGTCGTAAGGGTGTGTTTGGACCACAGATGGGCAAGCGAGCAGTCATCTTTGTTGATGATCTCAATATGCCCCAGAAGGAGGTGTATGGTGCACAACCTCCGGTAGAACTACTGAGACAATACTTTGACCATGGAAATTGGTAGGTATCTTTCAAAACAATGAAGATGCAGATTTGATTCAGTTGAGAATTCTAACTAGTATTTCTAAAAGAAAATCATCAGAAACAAAGTCCAACAATCCTGTTATGAAAAATCTCTGTTTCTTCCATTCTGTTATAAAAAAATCCTTATGTTCCTGTCATTCTGTTTCCAGCATGCACATTTTTGTTTTTCTTTTATCTGCAGGTATGACTTGAAGGACACCACAAAGATAACACTTCAAGATATTCAGTTCATTTGTGCCATGGGGCCTCCTGGAGGAGGAAGGAACGATGTGACAGCTCGATTCCTACGCCATTTCAACATTGTAGCTATGAACCCTTTCAATGAGGAATCCATGATCAAGATCTTCTCTACTCTCATCTCCACATACTTTAAGGTAAGGCTGCAAAAATGTTTCAGATAATTTCACCTAGATTACAAATCTTACCTGTTTTAATCATTTCTAGATTTTTGGCCCAAAATTTGTGTTTTTAGAAGTTAGTTTTGGTTGCTATATTCTTTTATTGGTATTAGACTAAAGCTATTGAAGTGTGATTATAGTTACAAATTGCAGTTTAAAATTTTATATTTTGTTTTTAGTCCCAAGAACTTACTGCAGATTTCTTCTCTGTCGGGTCCTTGATTGTGCAAGCCACTAACGATATGTACAAGCAGGCTATTGCTAACCTGTTACCCACACCAGCCAAGTCTCACTATGTCTTCAACTTGCGTGATTTCACAAGGGTCATCCTTGGTATCTGTCTCATCAAAAAGGCACAGGTGGAAAGCAAAAAGGTTCTGACAAGGTATGTAAGCTTCTGAACGAGTACTCTAAGTGAATATAAAAGTGTCTGCCTGAAAGTTTACGAGTTGAAATTAACAGCTGCCAGTATTTTTTCATTTCATACACCATTTTATCAGTAATATGTTTTAATGAAAAGAAATTTGAATTCTATTTACTTTATCAAGTTTGATTTAAATGCATTAATTGAACTCTCTAGAGCTAATTCAACTCAATTTCTTCTATGTTTTTTAATACTGAAATTGCTTGCTTGGGATTGGTTTACAGGTCTGAAGGTAAAGGGTCATGTTGGCTACATGAATGACACACCCACTACATGTTTTATTGAAATCTGAGATGGGTACATTTGCTTTGTTTTGTACATTTGTGTTTCATATTATCCATTTCTTTTCCTTATCAGATTGTGGGTCCACGAAGTTATGCGAGTCTTCTACGATCGTCTAACTGATGATGGAGACAGAGATTGGCTGTTCAAGTAAGTTCATCATAATATTTCCACATATCAGTGATAATGTTAGTAGTAGTGTGCTAATCTGTAGATCTGAGGGAGAGGTGGCTAGATATTGATATGTAACATATGACCCTGCCAACTATCTGTAAAAATTAATACATGTGTTCATTACCTTACTTGTATATTGATTATTTTTACATTTTCATGTTTTTCTTGGAAGTTTTGTGGCATCTCTCTTTAAAATTTTCCTCAAAGTCTTTGAATATCTTATCTGTGTGATCAATACCTGATTTAGTGGTGCTGTTCTAGCCTACTTCACATTTTAATGATTTTTGGAGAATTATGCCTTGTTAATGTCTTTATGTAGGAGTAGCTGATAAGACATCTCTGGCTTGTAGTTCTTTCAGAAGTTCCAGAGTACAATCTGTCGGATCATATTTAAAATAATTCTTGAAAGCTTTAAAACATTGACACAGTACAACATGCCATTTCTGTTTTAAAAGGGCTGTGAAAAAGGCTGCTAAAGACCACTTCAAAGAAGATTTTGACTCCCTGTTTGAACATCTGGCTGGAGGAGGCACAGGAAAGGGCATGGTAAGTGCATTAGTAAACAATCAAGTTTTGTATTTTTGTATGAAGTAGAAGTTTTGAAAGAATATTGATTGTCTTTAAAGAGGACAAACAATTATTTTAGCATTGGATATGTAGATATAAGCCTAAGGAAAACAGATTTGTTATTTTAGGCACTCCTGTTATAAATGGAAACTATTACTAAGTACTGGAGTTATTCTGCTATCTATTTTTGAATGTATTGTTTACCCAGGTGGCCGAGGAAGACCTTAGGAGCTTGATGTTTGGAGACTACATGAACCCTGATGCTGAAGTAGAGGATCGGTGTTATGATGAGGTGAAGGACATCAACCAGTTCTACACAGTCGTGGAGACATGTCTTGAGGAATACAATAACACCCACAAAAACAGGATGAATCTTGTTATCTTCAGGTGATTATTTTGATGACTATGACAAGTAGGATCAAATGCAAGTCAGTATAGCCTTTAAATTACCATTCATATCTTGTGAAAAGTCCTGGGGCCAACTCATATCCTCAAAGTCAGGGGATGGGCTTATTACAGGACAATGAATTAGCATTTGTTGGTAATTCTACTTATCAACGATATTAATAGGTGGACCTATTACCTAATATAGACTTGCAGGATAGATAGGTCAGTGGTTAATAAAACAATTCAAATTTATAAAAAATAAATTGCAATGTATTTCTGTAAAGGTGTTATTTGTACTGAAAAAATTTGCAGTTGATGTACGACATATGAATTATTTCCTTTTGATTCTTTAGATACGTGCTGGAGCATTTGTCCCGTATCTGCCGTATTTTACGAATCCCAGGAGGTAATGCCATGTTGGTAGGTGTGGGAGGAAGTGGACGACAATCTTTAACAAAACTTGCCACCGCCATGGCCGGCTACAATATGTTCCAGCCAGAAATCTCTAAAAGTTACGGCAAAGTGGAATGGAGAGAAGACATAAAGGTAGGTCAGTTATTAGTGCTCCAGTAATGTAGGTATTCATCACTTTTCTTCTGTAAAGGCTGGTATCCAGGCCTGAAGAGAAATGGCTGCACACACCAAAGAGTCTGTTAACGAATATGATGGGGAGTTTTAAGGCAATGTAATGTTAACTCTCATGTTTCTAGAGATAAGGAAAAGAAGTAGTCTGAAGCCCTCATTTTTGAAGTCTCAAGGTCTTAATAAACATTTTTTAATCCTGTTGTTGTTTTGATGAGTTTGTGTGGGTAAATGTTTAACAGTTTTTTTATTTGTTTGATACCAGTCGGTGCTGAAAGCTTCCGGTTGTCAGGGTAACACCACTGTCTTCCTCATCACTGACACTCAGATCAAAGAGGAATCCTTTTTGGAGGACATAGATAACTTACTCAACACTGGCGAGGTGCCCAACTTGTTCGCTACAGATGAGAAAGCAGAAATAATGGAGGTAGGCAATTCAGGACGAACAAATCAATTATGATAAAATAATCAATAATAATGAAGAAATTGCTTTTCACTGCATCAGTCAAAGTCATTGAACACACAGACAACAAGTCACTGGATTTCTTGTTAATTATATCCCCCCCAAAAAACTCAAAATAACGATATGGTATGTTTCAATGAATTAATAATTCAGTATGTAATTTTTCCTTGTTTTATTTTTGTTATTCAGGCAGTGCGACCAGTTGCCCAGGCTGGTGATAAGAATGCTGACTTTAGTCCTCTCTCGCTGTTTGCATTCTTTGTGAACCGTTGTCGAGAAAACCTCCACATTATCATTGCTTTCAGTCCCATTGGAGATGCCTTCCGCAACCGACTTAGGCAGTTCCCAGCCCTCATCAACTGTTGTACCATTGATTGGTTCCAGGTAAATGTTTTGAAATCATTTTATAAATCTGACATAGACAAAAAGTAGAAACAGAAACTAGGCAAGACTAGTGCTGGAAACACACATTCGATAGTATTTGACCCTGCAATACTTGATATTCTTTGATATCCTTATAATTGATTCATTGATATTGTGATTATGTTTCTCAGGACCTTTGTTGTCCTAATGATGACTTACTTAAAACAATCATTTTCTTCGTTTCTAGCCTTGGCCAGAGGATGCCCTGGAACGAGTTGCCAATAAATTCTTGGAGCAAGTAGAACTGGAAGATCGGGAAAAAGTGGAGACTGTTCACATTGTGAAGTATTTCCATCAGAGTACAACCAAATTGTCTGACAAATTCCTGAATGAACTGGGCCGTCATAATTATGTGACTCCTACCTCGTATCTAGAACTGATTAACTCTTTCAAAAATCTCCTCAAGAGTAAACAAGATGAAACAATGAAAGCAAAGAGAAGATATGTTGTGGGTCTGGAAAAGTTAGCCTTTGCTGCAACACAGGTAAGGAACAATGAATTTTTAAATTAGACTACCCAACCAATCCTTAAGAAACTCTATGACTTTGTTTTTAATATTCATGAATTTTGTTTAATTCTTTTAAGGATATAGATATAAGGGTAATGGTATCAATAGAATAGAATCTTACATTTTTTTATCTGGCCTTGTCATCCACTAGGTGGCAGAAATGCAGACTGAGCTGGAGGAACTGCAGCCACAGCTAGTGAAAAGCCAGGCAGAAAACTCTAAAATGATGGTGGTCATTGAAAAGGAATCTGTAGAAGTTGAAGCCACAAGTAAAGTTGTTAAGGCAGACGAGGCAGTCGCCAATGAACAAGCAGCAAGTGCTCAAGCCCTCAAAGACGAATGTGAGGCTGACCTAGCAGAGGCCATTCCTGCCCTGGAGGCAGCCTTAGCTGCCCTTAATACACTCAAGGTGAAGTATATATACCATGGACATATGAAATTTGAAAATTAAAAAAAATAATCTATTGAAATGAAAAAAACTTCTGCATCAAACAGTTTTATTTCTGATTAGAATTGGATGTTACAGAAGTTTGATTTGAACTTGAGGCATCCATACAGAACATGCTGAAATATCTAATATTGAAATGATGTAAACATTTAGTTTGTAGTAGTTATCTTATAATAGTTAGTGCCTTTTGTGTTTAAAGCATTGCATCTTATTTTTACACTAATTGCAGTTTTTCATTGTTTTTGTACATAAAGATAGAAATACACAGATTTATCAATGCACTACATTGCTAAAATTTGACAATTCATGATGATTTTGCCATTCTATAATACTGTACACGAGTTAGTTTGTATTGCTGTGATCCAATTTTTGTTCTGTAATTTAACAGAAATTCAAAAATTATAATTTTCTCTTACATATATTATAGCCTGCTGACATTACCATTGTGAAGTCGATGAAGAGTCCACCGTCTGGTGTGAAGCTTGTCATGGCAGCTGTATGTGTAATGAAAGATATTAAACCAGACAAGATAAACGACCCAGACAAACCAGGACAGAAGATAATGGACTATTGGGGTCCCTCTAAAAAACTCTTAGGAGACATGAGCTTCCTCAGCATGTTGAAGGACTATGACAAGGACAATATTCCAGTATGTTATTATTTCTCATGTGGAACATTACAATTTCCATTATTAAAACGTTTTTTCCATTCAAGTTACAAGTGATTTTTCTACTTTACGTTTTCGACTTCATTTCTTAACAAAGTTTAGCTAAACTTCAGTTTTTACATGGAGCTAAAATCAAGTTCATCATTTATATTATATAGAAAATTTTCCAACAAGGACAAGCTGCATGTTTTCATGAAATCAGAAGTGTTCATTTCTTCCCTCAAGTTATTTTTCTGTTTTGCACTTTATGTTTTGTCATTGTCGTGTTTATTTACTGACAGGTCCATGTAATGACAAAAATCAGGAAAGAGTACATTCCTAATCCAGAGTTTGACCCTGCTAAGGTCGCAAATGCATCCTCTGCTGCTGAAGGATTGTGTAAGTGGATTATGGCCATGGAAATCTATGATCGTGTAGCTAAAGTTGTAGGTCCTAAAAAGGAAAAATTAGCAGAAGCTGAAGCAGATCTCAAAACCACAATGTCGGCTTTGAATGCCAAAAGGTCGGAGTTGGCAGCAGTAGAAAAGCGTCTAGCTGATTTGAAATCAACCTTTGAGGATATGACAGCGAAAAAGCAACAGCTAGAGGATCAAGTGGACTTGTGCGGAAAGAAATTGGTTCGAGCAGAGAAGCTGATTGGAGGTCTAGGTGGTGAGAAAGACAGATGGACACATGCAGCAGCCAACCTTCAGAACATATATGACAATTTAGTGGGAGACGTACTGATATCTGCTGGAGTGATTGCTTATCTTGGGCCATTTACATTAGCCTACAGAGACAGCTGTACTGTTGACTGGGTCAAGGCTTGCACTGTAAGTACATCATAGCTACTTAGACCTATAGGAATTACTGCCATATAAAACAGGTAATTACTACCATATAATACAGGTAATTACTACCATATAATACACAGGTAATTACTACCATATAATACAGGTATTCATTCCTGTATAAAACAGGTAATCACAACCATATAATACAGGTAGTTACTATCATATAAAACAGGTAATAACTACCATATAAAACAGGTAATCATTCCTGTATAAAACAGGTAATTACTACCATATAATACAGGTAGTTACTATCATATAAAACAGGTAATAACTACCATATAAAACAGGTAATTACTACCATATAATACAGGTAATTACTACCATATAATACAGGTAATCACTATCATGTAATACAGGTTATCATTTACATATGATACAGGGTGTAATTATTACTATGTGATACAAGTTGTCACTGCCATCTAATACAGGTAATCTTTTTCATATGTGTCGTTTGAAAATTGATTACAAAATATATCTTAAAATATGGCGTTCTTTCCTTAGGAACGACAAATCCCATGCTCGCAGGAATTTTCACTCAGCAAAACCCTTGGGGAACCAATCAAAATCCAGGCATGGAATATTGCAGGACTACCAAGAGATAGTTTCTCCATAGACAATGGTGTGATTGTGGCCAATGCCAGAAGATGGTATGAGCATTAAATTGTTTCTAAAACATCTTATTCTTTATCACTTTTTTCGTCATACATTTAAACTTTTATTTGATCCTAGAGTCTATCTAACTAGAGAAACAACAGACCTTTCTATTTCCCTACCTAGATTCTTTGTCACTCTTATGTTTGTCATCAAAAGCACCTAAACTCACTTTGCAGGCCTCTGATGATTGACCCTCAAGGCCAGGCTAACAAATGGGTGAAGAATATGGAGAAGGACCATAAGCTGGCTGTTATCAAGTTCACAGATCTCGACTATATGAGGGTTTTGGAAAACTGTATCCAGTTTGGAAACCCCCTCCTGCTTGAAAATGTCACAGAGGAGCTGGATCCTTCCCTTGAACCTCTACTTTTGAAACAGACCTACAAACAAGGTAAGAATGAAGATCGGTTTTTCCTTCTATATTGCTAGGTAAGCTTTGGTTTCTGTTCAAATTTCGGATGTGAAAGTTTTAACTTGTATTTGTAATTTTCAAACTGTGTGTGTAATGGCTGTGTTAGGGACAGACATAGATCTTACATGAATTTCCATTCCTTTAAGATTGATAAAAACAAGAATTTTTCATTTAAGTGAGCTTTAGGCATGGTAAACTGATACACTATTTTGTTATGAGTTTTATAAATCTCATATGAAATGGAAACAAATATTTTTCAATATTCTTTATATTATGTAGGTGAGATTTTGCAAGAACTTTTAAAATGTGACAAACCACTGTATTATTAGTTGGTTATCAAATTATCAAACATCTGTTGTGTACATGTTATTAATGAGATTGTTAAAAAATACACCAAAGTGTCATGTTTGTTTTGAATTCTCTGTCAATATTTTAAAGTTGTCACCTTCCCAGTGGCTCACCTCTACCTCTCCTGCGATTAACTGGGTTTTTTTTTTTTGCTGCGATGTAGGTGGCGTCGAGATGATCCGACTGGGAGAAAACGTGATAGAGTACAGTAAAGATTTCCGATTTTACATCACCACCAAGCTTAGGAACCCTCACTACCTGCCTGAGGTGGCAGTCAAAGTGTCCCTCCTCAACTTCATGATCACACCTGAGGGTCTGGAGGATCAGTTGCTAGGAATAGTTGTCGCCAAGGAAAGGTTAGTGATCACCTGTTCTCTCCTGTCCTTCCAATTTATTACATACTGATTTCATCTTTGGTTCATCAGAATTTGGTTTTCAGAATAGATAAATCTAAGAATGGGTGCTTCAGATGTTCAGCTCAGTAGACAGGGAATGCTTTTTGTTATAGATGGAGTACATTCTCTGAAAGTTCATGAAGTAATTGGTTTCTTAACACAGTTGGTCTCTTATAAAAGATTTAGTTCACATGAACATAGCTGTAATGAGAACTTTTCAAAAGTGGTATCCTAACACAGGTGGTCTCAATTTAGAGTTATGTCTGTAGATTGTTTGACCCTGAACACCATTAATTTTGTTCATATTACAGACCGGAGCTTGAAGAGGAGAGGCAAGCCCTTATTGTACAGAGTGCTGCTAACAAAAAGGCACTGAAGGAGATTGAGGACAAGATCCTACACACTCTGTCTGCTTCAGAGGGCAACATTTTGGAGGATGAATCAGCCATCAAGGTCCTTGACTCCTCAAAGATCCTCTCCGACGAGATCTCCAAGAAACAGAAGGTATTCATGCTTTCTTCTTTTTGTTTATAAAACTGATAGCAAGTGCCTCCAACGATTGACTAGCCTAAACCTTAGCAGTTGTTACTCTCTAAACCCCAGCAGTTGTTACTCTCTAAACCCCAGCAGTTGTTACTCTTTAAACCTTAGCAGTTGTTACTCTCTAAACCTTAGCAGTTGTTACTCTCTAAACCTTAGCAGTTGTTACTCTCTAAACCCCAGCAGTTGTTACTCTCTAAACCGTAGCAGTTGTTACTCTCTAAACCCCAGCAGTTGTTACTCTCTAAACCCCAGCAGTTGTTACTCTCTAAACCTTAGCAGTTGTAGCATAAAGAATGGGAATGTACTCAAAGGTAAAATGAATTTAACCTAATGCACTCCAATAAATGATTATATAGATATCCTTCCAATGTGAGAGTCCAATTATGTAGCTGTACCTTGAGAGAAACTGACAAATGAATGGCTCATTTGCCTGAGATAATGGCCTTTTCTTGACCTGTCATCATTCCATAATTACATTTCTCTATAAACTCATGGACAGTTTTAATGTTTTAAAAAAAGGTTAATCAATCAATAACCATGCGAATGACTAAATTTGGTAAGTATGTTTAAATCTTGTTTCCTTCATCCTCTTATTACAGATTGCTGAAGAAACAGAACAAAAGATTGACACCTCTCGTATGGGTTACCGACCAATCGCAAAGCACTCCTCCATCTTGTTTTTCTCCATTGCTGACCTGCCAAATATTGATCCAATGTACCAGTATTCACTTACCTGGTTCGTCAACCTCTATGTGGCATCCATTCAAGACAGGTACAGCATACACCTATTTGAGTGAATTTATTCAGTGGATAATTTTAAAACAATTTCTATAGGATTTTTGCGTTATGGGTGGGAATTTTCATGGAATTAACAATTCTGCTGATTTGCAAGGCATATAATAAACAATACCCATGACAGATTGTAATATACTGTAACAACTATTCCACCATTAACGTCAGCAATAGTCTGTCATCTATCACAAACAACATACTTACTCAGTAGGTGTGACTGACATAGATTCCATAAGTGTGTAAGTCCTGAGAGATCAGAATTACCATGTTGCTATGTTACACTGACTTTTCAGTAGTGTATATTATATTAGTCTAATAAATGTATGATGCAAAATTTAATCGCCATATTTTAGTAAAATTTGTCAAGGTTGTTTCATGGAAATAATGAACTCTGTATTTATCTTATTTTCAATAAATGATGAATTGTTTCTTCTAATTAGATATCATTAATTATTCATATCTTAAACTAATATTGATATTGACTGGTATTGGTAAAGAAAATGTAGAAATTTTAAACAAAATGTATTAGAATAAAAATATTGATTGATATGCTGGTTTATTTTTGTAGATTTGCGAGTTTCCATACAAATTCACATAACAGTTGAAATATATGCATTGAAACTATGACCATTGCTGTTATGGTCAGTTTCCTTCAACCGAAAGTTCCATTCATATTTAAATCCACCTCATATTGTGAATATTTATGATAATTTGCTCTTTGTACATATTTACCTATATTTCTAATTCAGTATATCATGACACCCAGTAAATAACACTAATATTCTTTTGGGGTTTTAAAATTGCACAAACTTTCCCAGCTTGTTTGATCACCAGTAGTATTACCAACAAATTCATAATTTTGTTTCATCCATTTTGAAAAAACACAATTGTTTAATTTTTGTTAAAGCATTATATTCACATCACAAGGAAAACCTGTATTGAACATTTTCATTTTATCACCTTATTATCAATTGGAATAATTGTAGAATTTTGCTGTTTTAAATTGGTCTGCAAGCCTTCTCCTAACCCTCGGCCCACATTTGATTGTGATTCACTATAAAGAAATACAAATATAAAAAACTTTTCTGGCCTGTCTTATTGTTGTCCTATAAAATCACATATATTTTTCTGGCAGTAAGCACATGCCTAGTGATTATAAGCCCACTAATGTATAATGCTGTTCACCAAATAAAAAATGCAGACCAATGCTTTAGAATGGTCCTGTAATCAGTCCATCTCCCCACAATGGGTAAGAAGTCATGTGTTGTCCTCTGGCTTATTGCAGGATGATACAGGAATACAAAAGGATCTACATAATGATAGATATGATGATGTTAAGACAAAAGTTTAGGTTACAAAGTTTCACAATTAGCTCCTGATAACATTAGCTTCAATTAGAGTGAAATCTCATTAAAGTTTGATTGTAAATGTGTTATGAAGGTGTATGGAATTTATTTGAAATAAGCAAAAATATCATCTGATAAAGAAAAATGGGAAAATTTATTCTTATTCCAACAAATTTAAATTTTACTTGGATAAGTTTATAATATTATACCTGTCATCAACTTATTTCAGTAATAAATCCAAGATTTTGGAACGCCGTCTGCGATATTTGAAGGATCACTTCCAGTTTCAGTTATATGACAATATAACACGCTCAATATTTGCAATGCATAAGCTCGTGTTTGCATTCCTACTGTGTGCAAATCTACAGTTGTGAGTATACACACATGAAAATGTGGAGTATAGTTATAGTATCGTCTAGTCCTGTATAGTCGTTACTCCTAAAGTACTCATAACCCAGAGCTCGCTCAACAATCTTCCTGCATACTTGCTACACTTGTGTATTCACAATTATACACCAGTGGTACTCTGTAAGTTGCGTACTCCTGCATACTTACTCTGACACTCTCATATACTCACTTTCTTGTACAGTATATTCATGTACAGAATGCGCACTTCTATACTCACTATATATATATATGTATAGCCTCCTACAAACAGAGCTTTTAGTACAAGAATTTTGAACCCAACACTATATTTTCATGTCATAACTTTTACTAAAATTATGTTTTAAAGATATTGTCTCTATCAGACTTTCTTCATTACTCTGTTTTCACCAACATTTAGTTTAGATATATTATATTAGTATTTACTGACATCAAAATGGAGTTTGGGTTCAGAATTTAGTGCGATTACTGTATTTACAGACATGTCTGAGGGGAGAACTTTTTAGATCTACTACATAGCCATTAATTTTGAAAAATTGAAATGGAGAGAAAGTGAGAGGCAAAAATGGAATTTGCATTTTCCTTTTTGATATAATACTTTAAAGACAAAAGCATGAATATATGGTTTAGAAAATATTTAGAATACATGTGTAACAATTTGGAGTAAAAATCAGAAAATTTAAACAAAGGGATGGCAGTTATCATGCACCATCTTGAAAAACTACCATGAAGACATGATTGTAAATATAGTATTAGTCAGAGACTTTTGTCTCTGGTATTTCTCTTATGTTGTCACCTGTCATGTGAAGTCTTTTTAGCCATCCATGGACACTCAACCAGTGCCTGCAGGGACCTTGGAAAAAGGGGATAGCTGTTGTCAACAGCTTGTATACGAGTTTGCTATATATGTTTATTCTGCATGTTTTTCAGCAACAAATCCAAGATTCTGGAGCGTCGTTTACGATACCTATCTGACTACTTCACATACAGTCTCTACTGTAATGTTTGTCGATCCCTCTTTGAAAAAGACAAACTGCTCTTTTCTTTCGTTCTCTGTTCAAACATGTTGTTGTAAGTATGAAACTGAGTGAAATATTGAAATGGTTTGGCATGACTCTTTGTCATATTTTAATTATTTTTTGCTTCTTATTAACATTTCAATTGAAACTCATTTTCTTTCTTGTTTTGGTTTTTGTGTGTTAGCCTTTTTGTTATCAAATGTTGCCAAATGGCCTAAAGATCACATTGATAATAAGAGAGACCAGAAGAAAATATTCAGTAAATTTTAAGAGTGATACTTATTTAGGCTGTTTGGCAACATTTTGTTTGGTGTGATTTTCTCATGATTGTTTTATTTGCCAAGATGATATTGTATTTGTATTTTCTTTTTTTTGTGATTTTGTAATGATTTACTCACATTTTAATATTTTTGAAAAAATATTCACCGCGTAAATATTCACCAAGAATTTGTCGCTGAATCTATCTGGTATGTGGATATCAATGACGTGCTAGTAGTTTTATATGTGGTTTCATCAATAAGCTTTACTTGATTTTGTAGTTGTTTTTGTGATGGTAGTTTTTGAACTGTCTGCTGTTTTACATAAAATAACTTCCATCTTCTTTGAGCACAAATTCTGTACTGGAGATAAAGATTCAGATTAAAGGTCAAGGTCATTGTTGCTATAAATGAAATTAAGATAACTGGACCCTACAATGATCAATATTTATATATAGACTGTTAATTTGAAGAAATGGAATGTATATAAGGTCAGAATGGGATATCTATTCAACAGTGATTCCCGATATCATTAACATATACTGAAATTATAGTGTTGAAGGGTCAACTTAAGTAACTTACCATGTAAAAATTGCACAAGAATATAACAGTTTTGATTCATAATTTTTGAGACCTCGTATTAAATTCATGTAAAAATGGGTTGAGTGGTAATTTTGTATTTTAACTTGATTGGTCCTAATCTACTAAACACAAACCTTAGTGGCCGGAGGAACAAAGGTCAGAGTCACAATTATTATAAAACACTCACGTGTGTAAAATGATTTAGATTATATCTATTGCATATCATTTATTCCATTTATGATTTCACCTTGAAAATATAGTGTTTCATGTATTTGTTGAATAATATCTTGTACATACAATGATATATTGTGTCTTTTATCTAAAATTATGCAATATGTTTTTCATAAGTTAAATGAATTTCATAAATTAATAAATATGTTACATTTATATCTTAGAATTTACATTGATAATTCATATAGAAATTCTTTATGTTATATTTGGTGTGTATCAACTAACAAGAGATTGAATATTGATGAAGTAAATTTTAAAATCTTTATAAGTGTCTCACCTTAAACATCATATATCAGCATATATTGGTAGGATGCAGTATCCGATTTAAAGACCAATATGCCAACCTTTGACCTTTCTGTTGATAGAGCCAAGGACGATATGGATTCAGAAGAGCTCATGTTCTTCCTCACCGGTGGTGTTGGTCTGGAAAACACCATGGCTAATCCAGCCCCAACTTGGCTATTAGACAAGAGCTGGGATGAATTGTGTCGACTCTCAGACCTGAAACATTTCAAAAAGTTAAGGTGTGTATGGATTTGTCAACCGTTTTATTGTAAACCAATATTCTATCACAGCTATCAAGTAAAGTGACTTCTGTTTCACAACATGTTCGCTGCAATTAACTTTCAATCCTCTCTGAATTTGTGATGATTAACTTCTGCAAATTTGTTTCTAATTGCAAAATTTATGGAAATTGTTTGGCAGTATTTGAAACTGAAATGGATTGAGGATTCATAAGATTTCACCTTTCAGGTTTGAATCAGTCTTTAAATTGGAATAAGACCATCTGCAGAATAAATCTTCTATGAAAACACTTTGAAAATTTAAAGAATTTCTGGTGATAAAAAGTTTAAACTATTTCCAAATACATTTTATCTTTAATTTTGATTTAATACAGACTGTGAAAATTTAAAATTTGAAGTTATTGATATGTTACTGGAATTTAGATCCATTTTCAAACTGTGTACAGGCCTCACTTTATAAAGAACCTTGATGCTTGGAAGAAGTTTTACAATTCACGAGAGCCACACAACGAGATATTACCAGAACCCTGGGATAAGGATGCCAATGAGTTCCAGAAGATGATGATTCTCCGAGTCATTCGACCGGATAAGGTGTGGACTATATTTCTACTGAAATAATTCCAGTAGAAAAGAAAATCTTGGTCAGAGTATGACTTGAAAAGAATTTTCAGTTATGATACATTCTTTACTGTATAACTGGCATGGTTCATCTGTTCTCTTCAGTAATTGATACTACAATTTCAATGATTTTCTCCATATTATTACTTCCTTATGACAGGTAAATCCCACTCTATGTTGGCAAAATTCAGACCTGTTACCTAGAATACAGAATTGAACATGAATTGATGTGAGAAGTTTTGTGAACATTTTCACTTAATGCACAACCTGATTTGTCTAACATCAACATAAACACCGAATAAGTTTAAAGTTCATTTTTATAAATGTTCTCAATTAAATTCTCTCAAAAATGCTTTAAAAGTTGCTTGGAAAGAATTTCATCAGTAACATTTCTTTTATGTTTTAAGGTAAATCCGGCTATTACCAACTTTGTCCGTGAAAAGCTTGGTAAGAAGTTTGTAGAACCTCCTCCGTTTGATCTAGCCAAGAGTTACGCCGATTCTAACTGCTGTTCTCCGTTGATCTTTGTCTTGTCTCCTGGAGCTGATCCAATTATGGCTCTGCTCAAGTTTGCCGAGGATAAGGGCTTTGGTGGAAATAAATTCAACTCCATATCTCTTGGGCAGGGACAGGTAAGTTTAAAGGTGGTGGTTGGTATCAGATTTGTCTTGGGAATCATATATCTTCATTTCAAATCTTTTGTTATAAAGTTTTTTTTATATATGTATATATAAAGAGGTTGACATTTGTTGAAAATTTTGTATTATCCATTTGGCAAGATATTGTTGCTTTTACACTAACATTTGTATAGTATTATATTTGATGAGAGTTTTTTAGAGATAAATTTAAATAGAAATCCTTAAATATCTAAACACACTTTCAAAAAAAAATGTGGAATATTTTTTCTGTTTATGAAGAAAGCAAATGATCTGTTTCTTTGGGTTTTAAATAACACATTTTTCAAATAAAAAGTTCATGCCTGGTAAATAAGCCCACTTACAGCTATTGTTGTTCAGTAGAATTACCAACAAATGTTAATTAAATGTCCTGTAATAAGCCCTGACTTTTACGAAGGATTTGTATGTTGACCCCACTATTTTTTGCAAGATAAATGTGGTATTAGAGAAAATCTCTCAAAGACATTGTGTTATGCATGACTGCAGGGCCCGATAGCCAGTAAGATGATAGAGAATGCCAAACAGGATGGATCATGGGTTGTACTACAGAACTGTCATTTAGCTGTTTCCTGGATGTCCGCCCTTGAGAAGATTTGTGAGGAATTCAGTCCAGAAAACATCAACCCAGAATTCAGACTGTGGTTGACCAGTTATCCTTCAGATAAGGTACACCTCTTTCATGTGATCAGATTTAAACAAAATCTTTGATGAAAATTTAAGCTTAAACACACTAAAAATTATGTATACAAAATTTTCAAAGAAAAACAGCTTATTGCAATAGTGGAAAGTTATTTTTCTTATCAGAACCAGATAGTTCATTGAGGGATTATAATAATCTATAACAGGAAATGGTATTGCAGCAGGGGCTTCCATTTATATTTTTGATAAATTAAAAAGTCTCAGAATGTGAAAAAGATGTTTAGCTGTTTTTGTCAAATTTGAGTATCCCAGGTCATGACTGAACTTTTTCAAAAGTTTCAATATTTTTCATTTATATTTGAGTTATTTGACATGAACCAGAATGAAACTAGATTCTTAGATAATATTTATGTACTTTGTTTCAGTTCCCAGTTACAGTGCTTCAGAACGGTGTTAAAATGACTAATGAACCTCCTACTGGACTGCGACAGAATCTACTCCAGTCTTACCTCAATGATCCAATCAGTGATCCTGAATTCTTTGTCGGTTGTCCAGGCAAAGAACTGGTATGGGGCATTAATTGATATCAAAACAGCTTTTGTGTAACTTGCTTGAAACAGTTGAAACTTTACAAAACATTACAGAAAATAACATATGCATTTGTACTGGATATGTGCGACAAACTTCAGTTCAGTTTTATATTTTTCTACCCAACTTTTTCAAGCAATTATTACAACAGCTTTTAGAATATATTAGTGCACCAATCTTTTTTAATATAAATAATACTGAAACTTGCTAAAGTCAACCTTTAATTATGCACTTGCACCCCTCTAATTGAACCCCTCTATGTATGCCATAGATTTGTGCTTTCTGTTTACATTGAACTGCTTAAAAATGATCTACACAAGTTTTACTTGTTTTATCCTTCATCTAAAATGCAACTTTTCCAAAAGATGTATTTCTTTGTTTGCAGCAATTTGAGAAGCTTCTATTTGGGTTGTGCTTCTTCCATGCTTTGGTCCAGGAAAGGCGGAAGTTTGGACCCCTCGGTTGGAACATCCCGTATGGTTTTAATGAGTCAGACATGAGGATTTCTGTCCGACAGCTACAGGTAATTGGTTTTTGTACCAATAACCAATTAGGAACATCTCCATATTATATCTCAAAATGAAATAAAATACTAAAAGAATTCTTGGATCAAAGTATAGAATGACGGGAAATAGACATTTCTTTTTACAGGAAGAAAACAAAAAGTTTTGATAGATGTTTTATTTAGCAGTGATTAAAATGCTTGATTCCCTCATATGCACCCACATTAATTTGTATGGTGGGAAGGGTGTGCCTGAACTCTTGTTTATTAGACAATGAGAGGAATGTTATTGTGTATTGTATATATTAGACAACAGGAAAATAGGTGATGCCATATAGTATACAATTGAGACTAAAGATTTATAACAAAATAGAGATTTACTGTGTTTTAAATTTTCTGCAGATGTTTATCAATGAGTATGATGAAATTCCATACGATGCACTTAAGTACATGACGGGTGAATGTAACTATGGTGGACGTGTTACGGATGACTGGGACAGACGTTGTCTTCTCACTACAATGGCCGATTTCTACAACGCTAACATCATTGATGAACAACGCTACAAGTTCTCAGTCAGTGGCACCTACTATTCTCCACCAAAAGGCTCATATAATGACTATGTCCAGTTCATCAAGGTAAGGAATTTTATTTTTTTTTCTTATGGTCAATACTATATGAACTAAGTTCTTAAAAGTATTACAGAGACTCTACTTAAATAAATTTCTCCCTAGATGTTAGATATGTATCAAATGATAACTACAATGTGACTGATTGTGAAGACATTTCTGTTCTCTGAAATTCGGTTTAGATATTTTCTTTGTACTTGAATAAATCAATTTTTTCCAAAAAATTGTTATATTACTGTCTGTATATCGGTGTGAAACACTGGTATGAAAATTTTATGTAAGACAGCTGTTTATCACTTTTTTCTCCATTTTATCTTCCTCTAGAACTTGCCACAGCAACAGACTCCTGAGGTTTTTGGTATGCATGAAAATGTTGACATCTCTAAGGAACTTCAGGACACGACTCTCTTGTTTGACTCGGTACTCCTCACAAAGGGACGTGGATCTGGAGGAGGCGGTGGTGACACAGACACTAGTCTTTATAACATGGCTGCAGGTATCCTTGCCAAGGTAATATTACAATGCCCTATTATCAATTTTCCATCAGCAATGGCATTCTTGTTAATGTGTTACAGAAATCTCAATTTCTCAAAGTCCTACCTCATGAAGTGGTAGTCTCGAAGTACTACCCCTTATAGGGGTAATCTCAAAATACTTCCTCTTATAGGGGTATTCTCAAAGTACTTCCTCGAAGGGGGGTATTCTTAAAGTACTTCCTCTTATGGGGGTATTCTCAAAGTACTTCCTCTTATGGGAGTATTCTCAAAGTACTTCCTCTGATAGGGATAAGTAACACCATTAAATTTTATTTTTAGCTCCCGAAGTTATATGATATTGAAGTGGCAACAAAGAAATATCCTGTGGTGTACAATGAAAGCATGAATACTGTATTGGTGCAGGAGATGGAGAGATTCAATAGGTAAGTCACTCCCTCTGAGTTCATTTTGTATGACTCAGGAATTGATGATTCTGTGGTAAAATACTAGTGCAAATGTTTTTCAATCATTTTTTTGTGTTTTTACAGATTGGCAAAAGTTTCATGACATCAAACTTTCAAATGTTCTTATAATCTTATCGTTTTCTAGAGTTTTATTCTTGGTGACTTCATTGTTTTTTATATTTTAGGCTGTTGTCAATCATAAGCTCCAGTCTTAGTAACCTACAGAAAGCTATAAAGGGTCTGGTGGTCATGTCATCAGAGCTGGAGGCCCTCGCTGCCAGTCTCCTCATTGGTAGACTACCCGCCATGTGGGCAAAGAGATCCTACCCCTCACTTAAGCCACTCGGCAGCTACATCATTGATTTCCTCGAGAGACTTAAATTCCTTCAGGTAAATTGAATGAATTAATTAAGTTATAAAAAGACGAAACAACTATGTGAAGCAAGTCAATTTATTATTCAGGTCTACGGCATCATATTCTAGATTTGTATGGAAAGGTACTGTCCACATGCATGTCTTTTGTACAATAATTTTGATGATGACATAGTAATTTCTTCCCATAGACACAATCAAGTTTTGATTTATATAAAACCTTTGGACCTGTGTGTTACAGAAATGGTATGATGAAGGGAAGCCACCAACCTTCTGGGTGTCTGGATTCTTCTTTACCCAGGCTTTCTTGACAGGTGCCATGCAGAACTTTGCCAGGAAATACACCCTACCAATTGATATCCTGGCTTACGACTTTGAGGTAGCTATTCATTTTTATCTCAAGACAAATGTAAAATTTACAAAGGAAAACAAGATACATCAGCTCTATGTATTTTAATTTGCTTTCCAAGATTTATATTGTAATCATTCACACAAATACTGAAAACAAACAATCAAACTGCTGTCTGAGAAACAAAATGGCAATCTAAATTAATTTTAATTTTTAATCCCAATAGTTCTATCAAAGTTAGACACAGAGAATGTAACTTTTTGAATGAGATGGTTTCCATCATTGTACATGTTGCCTTGTCCTTAGGTCATGTCTGTGGACCACACACTTATAGATGAGGCTCCAGAGGATGGTGTCTATATTTACGGGCTCTTCTGTGATGGGGCCAGATGGGACAAAAACAAGTAAGTTACCACTATAGATACTCTATTTATGAATCAAGGTTGATCATCTTCACAACATACCAGTGCACAAAGTTCAAAAAGTCTTTTTTCAATTAATAGATCATTTTACCCAATAAAGTATAGTATTTACTTATATATGGATAATCATTTATCCTCTATAATTTGTATTGATAGATAAAAAGTTCATCCTTTTATTGATAGAAAATTGATTATTATTCTGTCCTTTATCTGTAGATTAAAACTATCCCTCCTGCACCTTCTCTTTATAGAAATGAAGTTTTTAACCAATCAAATTAAATAAAAACATCAGGTACACCAGAAAAAAGTACATACTGTATCATTTTCAAGGGATTCTGTTTCTCTTTCTAGGCTGGAGTAAATCGTGAAAATATTGAAATAGTTACATTAAAAGTAAAATGAGTTAAGGAAAACTAAATCCCTTTCACACTTTGCCCCTCATTATCTATTGCAGGAATGTTATTGTGGAACAGTTACCCAAGATTTTAAATGAGGCTCTGCCTACTATGTGGCTCAAGCCAAAGAAAAAGGACGAGATTAAGGAGGGTGACCGCTACAAATGTCCTGTCTATAAGACCAGTGCCCGACGTGGTGTTCTGTCCACTACTGGTCACTCAACAAACTTTGTCCTCTCTGTGCTACTGAACACAGACAACACCAGGGAACACTGGGTCAAACGTGGGTTGGCCCTCCTCTGTCAACTGGACTCTTAAAGTGGACATTGGACAAGAACCAACTGATTACCAATTTGGATGTGTTTTTGTGTAACTTATTCATACATTTAGACATCACCAAAATACACTGAATTAGGGTATGGGGTTACAAGTCTGTTTCGACTGGACTCTTGAGTGGACACTGGTCAAGTTTTGACTGTTTTTTTTTTTTTTTTTTTGTATATTTAAACTAAATTGAGAGTTCAGTCAAAGAACATGAAATAAAATGGAACTAAGTAATTTAAATCCAGTTATGAATGTTTATCTGCTTCATTGGTATTATAAACCTAGATGTGATGATGTTGATATCTATAGTGGTACAGGAACCAATTGAGATACTTTTATCTTGTGATGACAGCATGATATACTCGTGATAATAAAATATATCTGTTGGTCAAACATTCTGAAATCACAGTGACAGGTAGTGCTGTTCTTTAAGTCTGTAGAAATGCGGTATATAACATATTGACCCATAAAAGGTTTTGAATTTTGTTTACAAAGTATGTGTGTCTCGTTATCTTCCTCTAATGTTTGTTATTCCCATTCCAAATAGTTTTAATATCAGAGAAACAAAAGAATTTATCTCATGGTCATCACTTCACTGAGTGTGAATTGAATGTTATCTGTTCCACAAAGTCCCATGTGTGTTGACATGGACTGAAGTGTATCAAAAATCAATATTCACAACTGTTTGTATATTTACTTAAATGCTGCGGCAACCACTTATAGTATAATAGATATGATCTGTTGTCACTTTTAGTGACACTCGGCACTGTTTACAATAAAAAAAAATCATTAGTTCATCACTCTTAGATCTTATTGTCTGCCAAGGGTAGATAACTCAATACCATAGACACTATCAGGGGAGATAATTATATTTGCCTTCATTGTTATTGTGCAAGTTGCACAAGTTATCTCAAAGATAGCATTAAGTTGACTCTGTTATAATATTCCTGACTTTATTTAACATTTGAGAAATTTAGCATACATGTATTTATATTGAAACATTATTGCCTGTGTATTTCAAAAGGAAGAATTTTGAATTTAAATAAGCATAGAAAAATATTCTAGTGTACATGTAGGTTCCAGTAACTCTTTTATTGAGTAATAATTCACTATCTATGAAGATATATCCTTAGATTATATTTTTGTGGATTTGTTTATGAAGAGTAATACTGATGATAGAACTAGAATCCATCCATTTTATTTACTGTTAATCAAACTCAACTATTCCGTCCAGTCACTTTTAAGAACCATGGATGTAGTTTCTTTATAATATCAGTACCACAGGTATATTTTCAATGGTTCATTTTATTAAAGAAATGAAATTGAAATCTGTTTTACAAGATGTGCTTATTTTGCAGGCGTGTCTTTCACTAAAACATCAATCCTTTCATGGTGTTGAAATCATTTTTCCAAACTCTCCTTTTCATGCAGTAGATATGGCTAATAAAATCATGTTATGATAAACAATTGTAGTGTGAATATCTGTTAAATAGGTACCAGTTCCGTCCCCTTGATTGTATTTGATTTACCTGGCGTCAGTATGTTACCTGTACATATTACTGTTTTGTATTATATTTTTGTTCACTAATAACTTAATATGCATTTGTTGCAAATACAATGAGCTGTGATATATTTATACTTGAGTAAAGAATTCAACATTGAAACCATGCTTTTGTTGTCTTGCTGTGTTTCCACTGTTGCTCCATTACATTTCCACAGAGGAACACTGTGTTGGTGCCAACTGTTTACCAGGATAAGGATTATACAACAGATTTGACTAATTTGTTATATTCACCAATAACAAAAATGCTGAATTTACCTTTATACAATATTTTTTTTCTGAGCTCTGCTACATGGAAATTCAATATCATAAATGGATTTTTTTAACAGACCGTTTCGACTTGCTTGGTGTCTCAAACTGTAGGTACAGATCGATCCACTTAATATCAACTGACACCCTACATATACATCTTTACTGAGCAATGGTTATAAATCCCTACACACGCCCACAGAAGACTACAGATAGACAACGATGTAGACATTCTGAATTGGTTTCACTTTTAAGGTGTTTTATACATTAAAGCCATTTCATTCTTGAAACTAAATTTTTTTTTTAATGTTTATTTGGTTTCCATAACGTAAAACAAAATTACAAAAAGAAACCCAGAAAATACCAAGAACTGAACAAATCCTAGCTGAAATTTTATTAAAGGGAGGCAAAATATGGACGAAATAAATATTTACGTGGAGAACCATGAACAGTTACAAGGAGGATAAGACTGGGTGTTCCGGAAGGGTAAGCTGCTTCGTGGATAATACAGGCTATGCCATGTGATCAAATGAAAACCAGGTTGGATAACGAGCATCTCGCTTCATATCGTACACGGAAATGGAACATTTCCCTAATGAGATCATGATGTCGACCATAATACTTCCCCATCATCTTCAACTTAACTCGACATCCTGTGTTGTAAATTGTCTGCCGCATCGACACTTTTCATGGAAATAGGGATATTGAGAACAAGCCCTTGAATGTCGAATCAACTGAAAAAAATAATAGTGTGCCTGAATATGCTAACCATCACACTTCTCATACAGCGTAGTGGATGTAGACGAGTCCGTTGTATTTGTATGGACATGGTCAATAAATTCCTTGTTGTCTAACAAGACATCGATATTATCATGAATAAGTGAAGAACTTGGCAACATCAAGTTAATAAATTCACTGTGGTACAGATAAAAAAACAAGTCAGTCATGAGAGGTCACTACAGTTGTGTTAGCAAACTTAATGGGGATAGTGTCACGTCAGAATTCAATCATTTGGAAAAATAAGCAATAAAATTCACCATCATAAAACGGACATCGATACAGCATTTGGTTATGAAACATTCAGAAACACATCGCGTTATTGCAGAGGTGAGACATACGTAGAAATCACAAGAAATGTCCCCAGATTCTCTTTATGTGAGGCTGTTTAAAGGGTAACTATATCATCAACGGTTAGATTTATGTGCGGAACAGGTACTGTCTCATTAATATCACACACTAAGGAATGTCTAACCACGAGACCTTATTGTGGTTAATCCTTGGTCCCACCGGCACAATATGTTCTGTTTTGGTGCTTCCAAAAAGAATAAATTCAGTATTTGCAGGAATAATGGTGTTTTTGCAGGTAACGAACCCAAATGGAGAGTATAAATTAGTGTTGGATACTTTCCATTCAAACGCAAACCAGACTCGGCAACAAAATTGTGATGATGCAATAAGAAGACCGTTATTTGCGACTTTAAGTTCCAGGTTCTCATCCAGTTTTTCCCTCGGGTCTATATTTAATGGGTATGCTGTAATAAAATCCGGTAGATATGATAGTTACAGCAGCCCCCGCATTTCAGTTCCCCTTTGTATCCTTATAAACAAAGGGCAAAAATATCGACACTCCATCCTTTGTAATGCTCACCAACTGAAAAGTATCACGCCCAGTACTGCTTTGGTCCTACCCACAAGGATTTGGCACGAATTAGCGATCCACGGTCCATATATATGCTTTATAGTGACTATAATACATTTATGTGGACCGCGGGTCGAGAATTCGTGCCAAACCCCTTTGGTCCTACCTACTTTTCCACCTCGGACTCGTCTGACTTGTCTTTGCTTGCTGGCCATTCTCGTGTATTTTTTCCGATTTTATGATACTCATAACACTCAATACTAACACGATTTCCTGGGTTACGGTCATTCTTACCCTGGAAGTCTCGCTTAGACATTTGCACGTGGATGAAATCTGTAATAACATAACAAATCCGTCATTGTTGTCACACACTTCCTCACATTTTCCATTTCCAGGAATATTTCTCAATTTTGTTTGCACCTCGTGAAAGCTCATCTTCAAGACTCTTGTATATTTCTAGTGCCTGTCTAGCTTCTTCAGTCGTTTAAAGATCTCCCATTCCAATTGCCACGACCGTTTGATGATCCGTCAATTTCTTCATAAAGTAGCGAAGATAGATTGCTTCGTGTCTACACGTCCGCGGTGGGAAACCCCTTAAATATAAATCGCTTGATATCTGAAACATACTCTCCTTACTTCTCTTTTGTCCCTAATTTCCCATTCTCAAGCTCAGAACCAGATGCCAGAGGTCATTGGTCTTTAAATCTTGGTTCTAGGGCCTGAACCAAAGCTGGGTAGTGGTTCAATGTCGCAGTGACCATTAAGTGTTAGCAAGAAGGATACGTCTCTGATCGTCCTACCAACCACAAGCCTGAGACGAGTTAAAGGGTACAATGAAACTGCCCCGTGTACATGCATAGGAACATTTACCGTGAACCTGTGGAGGAGTGAGCTATCGATAGTGACGAAGGTGGATTCCTGTAAGGACTTCTAGCTGAAAATCCAAATAAAGGCGAAACACTATGTACACCAGACAATTCGTGTAATTTCTCCCTGTGTCTAGCAACGAGAGTCTCCGTCTTAGGTGTTACACCTTTCTCTTTTTCTAGTTCTTTTTCCTCCATAATTCTTTGTCAGCATCCACTAAAGCACACTGGAGACACCCCTTCAACTCTTCAATATCCCTTTGTGCACTCTTTTCAGCGTTAATTTGCAGCGAGGATTCAGCTTAAGATAAATCACAAACAAACCGTAATTAAACTACAAATGTACAAGCTTACTATATCATATAAGGTTTCCAATTAATCCTCTGCAGCTTGCGGACATACATTACACAAAAACACCTTGGCATTCCTGGTATTTTCATTTTGTCAGGCATCATTAGTTAAGTCAGTTAAAGTTCCCGATCCCACTGCTCACACCAAAATAAAGTTAACAAAGAAGGGTAAGCCATCTATTCTAAATTTGATTAAGTACACCGATAAACGTGAATCATTAGACACTTCCCAAAAAACCACCCTTACAATCTCTACTGGTAAACAGTGTGTAAGTTACTTAACATTTCTCAAGTCAATTACTTCTGTGCCCTTTCCAGGTCTAACAGGATATTATAGTTGATGTAAACGGTTGGGAGGATATTATAGTTGATGTAAACGGTTGGGAGGATATTATAGTTGATGTAAACGGTTGG